GCCAACCCAACGAATCGGAACAAAGCACAACACACCCGGACACCAAATCCCCTTCTCGCCAACCGTCGTGTACAAAGAGCCACAGTATAGAAAAGGCACAAACCATCCTCCGTCCTCTGCTTGGGCTGCACGGTGATGAGAAGGCCGTCCACCTCGACCATGCTGTTGTCCGTCAGGGGCTTGGACCAGGGGATGGCTACCTCGATGGACGAGATGAAGCCGTCCACAAACTGGATCGGCAGGTTGAACGTCTCCCCCAGCTCGTTGAGGCCCTGCATGACCAAGGCAGATTAATAATGCAAAAGCAGCCATTGCCTGCCGCTTATCCTGTGGAATGCTTAACCAATCAAAGGCCAATTTCTTTCTCTTTTGTAGCGTGAGCTACACTGGCCGAGGCTGAGCAGTTTCGCGTGGCTCGCATAATGAGCCGTGCTCCGTGCTGCGCAAGCGCGAAGAGCAGTGACATCACACGGCGCACAGCTGGCGCGCCAGAGCCGCCGCCGCAGCGCCCACCTCGTCGGTCTGCGCATTCCAGAGGAGTGACGTCATAGAGGGCAGACGCACTAGCGCCGCCGCATGCACAGTTGTGCGCCTCCGTTGCGCAGTAGCCAAGTCTGACGCTGCACCGGAGCCACTTGATAGCGCCTCTCATTTTGTGTGCATAAGCTCACGCAACGTATATTTTGGCATAGCCGAGCTAAGCCACCGCAGTTTTTTATATATATATATTAAGTTTGCCACAAAATTTTATTTCAAATGGGAAATTTGCATGAAAATTAAACGAAGCATTCATTTGGCCTCCCTGGTGTAGTCTGTTGCACTCACTATTAATGCCCAACTATCTGATGTGTTCATATGGGAGCTATTAATTGTGTAGAGGGATGGGCAGTATTTCAAATACAAGTATTTGAAATATGTACTTTATATACTTTGTGTATTTTGCACTTGTATTTAATTACAAATTGGGTAATGTATTTGACATGTGTATTTATATACTAAAACGTGAGTATCTCAAATACAATTGTAATTAAATACAATTTTGAAAATACATCCCTCAAATTTATTGTCACTGTCTAGAGCAGGAAGAAAACTATGTTCTGCACCGAATGCAGTGTCTCTCAATCAAGCAGAAGCGTTTAGTGACTTTGTGATTACGGTGCTTACGGGCAAGAATAGTGACGAAATCGACGTTCACCGGCAGACTGGCTAACTAAGTGCCTGTGACAACTTGTGATGCTTTCCAGCCTGATTTCCATCCATATTTTTGCCTGGAACATTCTAAATGCACGGGTCGTCCAGATTTTCGTAACTGGTGCGAGTTGCAACAGTAAAAAATTCTCTAGCTAGTGCTGCGCGTCTTGGTCGCCTTGGTTCTTTGTTGGCCTTTACCAAAATGTAATAGACAAAAAAAGCTGCTTGAAGCTCTGTACTTTTTTCACCTATTACGTCCAAGCTGATTACATTTTTTTGCGATTATATTTCTATTACGTTACTAGAGCCTCGCACACTAACTCCCGAGTGTGCGATGCAAAATTAAAATGAGAAACCCAGAAACCCGTTGCAGGTACCCTGAAGTCGCTGACGCAAATTTTGACGAATGTATTTGGAAAAGTATTTGGAGGAGACCAAATACAATTGGTTGTATTTGTATCTTGTACTTAAATGCTTTTTTGGAAATGTAATTAGATCTATAATTAAATACATTTTTGACGAAGTATATGTAGTTGTATTTCGATACATATTTGCATGTATTTTGCCCATCCCTAACTGTGTGTTACTGCCTGAATGGTAATGGAATATCACATATACTCATTAATTCCTGCAGATCCATACAGTTATCAGCCAGTGGAGCTCGTGATTAGTAGCAGTAAAAAAATTAAGGTCTCAGCGGCGTTTCGACAGCCAACAAATGTCGAGCGAGCATGCCAGCTTGACATCGCAATATGATTAAAGCAAGTTAATGGGGTGAATACCTGATTATGTTATTTATTAAGGCATTTCAACCTGACTTTAGAAGAAAGTCACAAAGCACTTTATCTTGGAGAATCACAAGAACAAATTTACTCTTTACTTTTTTTTTATTATTATTTATTCAACAGCAATGCTACCCTATGAAAAGCTAACAGTGCCTTTAATAACTCAAAAAATGTCCAACCGTAAAAAAAAAAACAGACTTGCGAGTACTAGGGTTTAGAGGGTGGGCGCCTCTGCTCCAGCAACTTCAGACTGGATTAATATAAAGTTTCCATATATGGAACATGAAGGTTGTCCTTCATGGATGGATGGATGGATAATAACGGCTCTACCCTCTATAATGGTCGGTAGCTTGTGCCACCTACACTAAAAACAACAAAGACATGATTTCCCCATTCCCCCTTCCAAGCCAATGCATTTCTGTAACCATGGCCAGGCAGACCTATGATAAAATCTGCTTTTCTGTGATTGTTTTTTTTTTTTTTTTTTTTTTTTTTTTTTTTTACAGGAGTTTACAAGCAAAAATTTGGATAGGTTTCACCCACATTTAATCTACCATGCTAGCTAGTGGTCTACCGGCCACAAGTGCTGTCTTTATTGTGATTATTTTACGCTGTCCAAATAGTACTTGGGAACAAGCGGTAGGCAGGAGCAACCCCAAAACATTGCACAATGATTTCACGCGCAAGCTACGAGGCCATTTGCAGCATTATCTAGAAATGCAACTGGCACACTTTTTGACATTACTACATTGAGAAGACACATTTCCCGGGTGTTTTAAACAAAAACAAAAACTATGCAACGCCTATTCCTCGAAACAGTGCACTTCCATGGACTCCACCAAGTCAACAAATGTAACTGGAGCACAAGGAATACTAATAAGTGACAACGATAATAACACAATGCCTAATCTTGTTTACACATGTGTTAGTAAACAAGTGAATTCTGGATACCATAGAACTAAGCAATAAAGAAAGTGCCTTGTGTTCTCAATGAGAAAATGTCAAGAAAGTCACTTAGACAGATGTTGAAAAATGTATGTAGATGGTGGGATATGGATTTGACTGCACATGTGCCAGCTGTTTTCTTAGCAATCTACTGACCCAGTTACGAGCTGCACACAGCTGGCACTTCGCTGTCAAATGATCCTAGGGATATAATGCAATCTCGTTGGTCTAGTAAGGCACAATCTGTTGCTAGGGCGAAAGGGTTTGCAAAGTGAGGTCCTGGCCTCCATAGTTAACTGTAGCTCGGAATACATAAACACTGAAAATTGTTTTTTCTATGAGACAAATCTTTTTTTCTATGTTGACTGCCTCAAATTTAGCTTTGTCAAAATTTATGTATACAACCTGACAAAGCAACTTCAAGCTCCTTTGTTTCGTATGTGCGCTCCAGTGGTTGTCAAAGTGCAATGCAACCCGAAGCAATAAAATGTCGCGGGAAAAGTCCCAATCTGGAAATGGAAGTGCTTGCACGGCAAATTAATTGTGTGCAATAGTTGAATGCCAAATTAAGGTCACTTTAAAAGTCAGAAAACGTTAACAATTACAATAACTTAAACGAAAAAAAAAAAAAGAGAAGCTTAAAACAGTACGCCTATGATCACAACAGAAATAGGAAAGCATTTGTTTTATTCGTTTTCCCTTAAGGCGCGGGTATGGTTAACAATAGACCTTTGTTCAGCAATGAAATAAGGCACTGAACGCGGCGGAATAGTATTAACGCACACACGAGGCAAGCGCGCGCATCATGCATGTACTACGCTCCCACTCAAAAGCGACGAACGCATGGCAATAGCCTTGTACGAAGGTTATTTCAGGAACGCCGAAACTTTTTCGCGTCAACGCGAATCTCCCCCAGTAACCCTGGCACCCGTCCAAAAACACGTCCCAACATCGAACGCTGCACACACACAAAAATAAACTCGCTATCAAATCGACAATTTTTTTACTACGGGGGCGAAGTGGCGACGCGATTCAGAGCGCAACGCGCATGTAAACATTGCCATCTTCTTTCAGTGTCGGTTGGGACACAAAAGAAACTTCAAGTTTTCGCGAGGTCGCATCACTTCGGAGTATCTTTACACAAAGGAATCGTGGAAATATTATCCACTCCAGAAACCCACCCGACCCTGAAGCCTAGCTTAGGCTGAACAATAGAAACAAAGTATGTTCGGCGTGTTTCGACAGTTTGGAGTTCGCACCACGCAAAACTATGCCCGTAAAGCAACCAAAGCAGGGACAGACACTTCGGCGGCTAAGGGTGGGGAGAGACGAGGGGAATTACCGTGACATCCAGGCAGACATCGGTGATTCTGCCTTTGCCATTGTAGAGGTCCACGGAAAGCTGGTCCAAAGTGAGCTTTTCTTGCAGAAACTGGCCGAGGTACCGCTGGAGCAGATATCGACACGCTCGCTTTTTGATTCCGTCTGGCCAGTTGAACCACGACATTATTTTGCTGTCGTTTCGTTTTCAAAAAGTCGACGGGCGCCCTTCAGCTAGGCATCTCGGCGAAGCTAGAGTTCAAAGCGATCAGCTGTGTTGGGAAACAAAATTCAGTAGTAAACAACACCACGCCATTTCTACTGCTGCTGCCGCTCCTCCCATGACATCAGGCTTTTCGTCAGAAACGGACACAAGGAAAACAAAGCACACAAAAGAAAACCGCTTCAGTGCCGCCTGCTGGCTTTTCACGTGAAGCACATGAAACTGATAAGTTATATTTCTAGCAAATATTTAATTAAATTATAATTTTAGTATAGACAATAGTAGATTACATCATTTAATGTAATATTATAGTAGTTGTAATAATTTAAAACAAATGCAGTGTGATCAAGTTCTTCTGGTGGTGTCTTTAAGTATAGCAATAAAAAAAACGGTTACATTGGTTATTCATTATTGTGGTCATTATTAATTTTATTAATATTTTTCTGCAATATAATTTTTTTATCAAAAACCAAAGATCTGAGCGTAAAGTTCGTATTATATCTAGCAGACGCGGGTGAAAATGGAGGTGTACGGCTTTCAGTTCCGTCGGTGAATTATGACACTTTCCTCAAAATTTATCATTTGTGCCGTCTTTGATTCATCGCGTTAAATTTCCGCAAAGTGCGTTTAGCTGCGGCTACAACATCGTGTAGATATAAAACACCGCTTGGTTGAAAACAATCAAGCGCCGTCGGCTTCAACCGTCCTGCTGGCTGGCATCGGTGTTCATAATGGCGAAATTCTGCATCGGCGACATCAAGCTAGTCATTCGTGGTGCCGAGAAAGTAGCCCGAGCTCTGACTGACCACGAAGTGCAGAGGCTCAGACTGGCATGGAAAAATTCGAGTGTGCGGGATGTCTCCAACAAACTGGCCATGAGCGTCGAAGACCGCCTCAGCTCCACCATTGCCAACCCCGAGAAGACCGCTGTAAGTTAATGACTTAATTACATTTTAATTTTCACCTCCCTTAGCTTCAACTAGAGGAACTCAGCTGTGCGCCAGATGCAACGCTACTCTTTGTGACGTCACTGCTCGCTGCCCTTTCATCTGCTTCTTAATTATAGTTTTTACAGTGCGCCAGTTTGTGTTTCTGGAAGAAAAGCACCAAAGTACGTGTTGCGCAATCTGGCAACATAGCATAATCGTTGCTGTAATCTAAAAAGTTGGCATTAAAACCAGAAATATAAATTTCCAGAATAACTGATCACAATGAATCTTTAAAACATGAATCGAGGATTAAGTCATTGGTTATCTGTTCCAAAGACGGCAAACTTTGTATCGTGTTTTAGTTACTTAATTGTTGACATTATAATACTACTGCATGTAAGTGTTTATATATATATATGGTACGTTTTTGTCCTGTACTTGCAGCTCGAAGCTGGACAACTACTGTCCGAGACCGCGCAAAGACTCTCCATGATTCCCGAAGGCGTCAGACAGTTCTCAGCCTACTCCCTGCAACGAGCTCGACGTCAACACGACTTACACTCTCAACCCGAAGATTCTTCACCGAGGGACTACACCGTGGATGGAACTCACCTCGGTTATTTGCCAACTACGAGCTTCTCCTCTACAACCAATCACGGCGTGGAGAGTGCCGTCAACAGCTCCCCCACCTTAAGCTTCCAGCCCACGGCAACGCTAACGGATCTGCCCAAACCGACGGACAAGGTCGCAGCAGCCGTCGATTCTCCGGCGTTCCAGCCTGTCCCCCCTCCGACGCCGTCGACGAGTAAGACGAAAAGCAGCAGGCCGAAGAAAGCCGTCCCAACACTCATGGTAATTTCGCCACACTCTAAACAACTCCCGAGTTGATAAGGTTTAATCTGACTGTGCCTTAATTGCCTCGATAGTCTCCTCGTGTTTAAGGGGGTTGACTGTCTTTTTCTCGCAGCTGACCGAGCAGTCCAAGGCGACCAAGGTGCCCGCTTCGAGGGTTGGGCGTCTCTTCTCTTATGGAAGTAGGTAGCACCCACAATTTGCACGGGAACTTGCCCCACGTCGTCACCCGCAAGGTGCAAGCTTGCACCGATCGTACGATGCATTTAGTTCCTGGCAGGTCGAGAACTGCAGGGCTGAGTTTCAGTTGTTTTGCCTCGCCGATGGCGCTTTGGCATATTGTGTGCGTCTTGCAACAAGCATGTACCAGAAGTCGGCCGTTCAAAGGAGGTGCTTTGCCGTTTTCATCTTGTCAGTGACTATACACTCCGTGCGGGAACTATAGGGGGCGCTTTGAAAAACGCGCGCAGCGCCGCTAGCGGAGGAGCTGGCGTTCGACTGTGAGGCGCGTCCAGCAGCCTGCGGCGCCTTTTCGCATGCCAAGCTGTGGCGGCGGAAGCGCGCACGGACGAAACTTTTGCTTTTTGAGCCGATAAGTTGAGGGTGACGTTGCACGAGTGCTGGGGCAGAAGGGCATTTAGCTGTACTCCACTTCTTATATATTGAGTTTGAGTCGTAATTAGGAGTAATTTCTCTAGTTGCGGCCGAAAAAGGAGTTGGAGTAATTTTCCGAAAAGCAAGACGGCCGCCACCTTAATTGCTCTGAGTGGGAAATTTATTTCGCTCATCGCTGTAAATTTAGGACTGCTGGAACGATGATATTTGGAGGCGAGTGAGAGGTTTACGAAGTTTGTGCACGAAGTGTGCCAAGTTTCATTAAGACAGCTGGTGTGAAAGTTATGTTTCTAACGAATAAAGAAATAAAGCTGTACGGGGGTATCCAATATTGGACCCAAAATGTTGTGTTATAGCGGGCTGTGCAAAGTGCAGATTTGGGCACACTGGTGCTTGGACTTGACAGTAACATGACACAGCACTTATTATACAAAAAAAAAAAAGGTGGCATAAGGAAACCAGGTGAAAATTTGGTTTGGGCGGCGTAACTCAATGGGAACCGGGTTTGATCATGAAAAGGCTGTCAAGAGAATACCACTGGTTGGGGGAGTGGAGACTTTAGAGGTAGGAAGAGACTAGTGGACTGCACTTCCAATTGAAACAACTTTACGAAAGGTGGTTCCAAAGCCGAGAAAATAAAGTTGTCGGCCAACACACGGTTTGGCCGCCAAGGGCTTTTGCGGTCAGCTGTTGTGTAATAACCTGTTGTGCGAGGTGCTGATTTTCGGCGCACAGGTACTTTGACATGACCGTCACTTGGCACAACACTTATTATAACAAAAAGATTTGGCATAGCGAAACCAGGTGGAAATTTAGTTTGGGCGGCGAAACTAAATGGGAACTGGCTTTGACCGTCAAAGGCTGTCAGATAATACCACTCATCGTGGGAGGTGCACACTTTACAGGTAGGAAGGGACCAGTGGAGAAAAAAGAAGCCGAGAAAAAAAATTTTGTCTACAGAACTCGGGGTGTCAGCGTTTCCACATCCAAAAGGAGGCTGGTCAAGAAAGAAAGCACACAACATAAACTTCCATACTCAAACGTCCATTCTCCAGTGATTCCGAGTTTCATTGTTGTTTTCTTTAGATTTATATTTGTCACTTTTTTTACCTTTCGAATCTTTCTTCATGAAGTGCAGATTGCGTGCCATACTTGTCCGGAAATATCATCGACCCGTACGATGGGGACGAAACTTCTTTGGAAGGCATTCCTCCAACGAAATTGGCACTGCATACCTGCGAGTGTGGGTTTGTCCCATCGGCGCTGACACATGTAGGCGTTACTGGTACGAAAACAAACGCAGAGCGCAAAGCGGCAGTGTAGAATATGTCAGCCGTGCCGACACAGTGGCAGACATGATCGGGAGACCAAATTTCTCACATCGTACGGCACGGCTCCATCGTTGTCGCTGTCCTACAAAACATCGGCGAGGTGAAAAACTGTGAAACTTTGTCTCCACGAGATACGACGCAAAACTATTGAAGCACCTAATGACGTAGCACAGGCAGCACTTCATGCTGTGAACCCAGCGCAACCGCACCACTCCGACTTCAATGCGTACCAACGTACGCGGCGTGGTTTCGGTTTCGTTTTCTCGGGGGTTCTCGCTGCCTACCTTCGGTACCGGCCGCGCGGCGGCGCGCCAGTCGCGTCGCACGGAGTGTATAGTCTTCCTGCCTTTCTGTGTGCTACTTTGGTTGCCACGAGCCTTGACTGGCAATAAATATCCTTATTAATTTTTGTTTCCACCCACTTCCAACACCTTTGTTGCAACATCGCCTTCATTGTATATGAATGCGTCTGAAACCCAGGGTTGCTGGTAAAGGCTGCAAGGGCACACGTGACCGACCTTACATGTGCATCGCTCGCTCGTTCGTTCAAACTCGGAACGTCCTCAACACATGTCGTTTCATGCTCAGCAGCTTTTATTTCTACCCATTGCGTGTAGAGTGCGGACAAAGCTTTCTCATTTACCAGAACATTTACAGATTATATTTCGTCGCCGAGGGTCGTCACGCTTTCATCGGGATCTCTGCAGGCCTGGCGGCAGGACTGGGCATGGGCGCGCTGGCGGAAGTGGCCCGTCGCACGCTGGGTGCCTCGAACAACCCGGGCCAGAGCCTGGAGTCTGCGGTGCTGGGCGACAACCCTTTCCTCACCCAGGCCAACGTGAACCGCATCGTGGACACCCTCTGCAAGGTCAGGGGGGCCGCACTCAAGATCGGGCAGATCCTCAGCATACAGGGTGAGTGGGGAGAGGCTCTCGATAGGGGCATAGGTGGGTGAACAAATTAAAAAAAAAAAAAAATAAACTCGTAAAAACAAATTTCTGAGTGCTTGGGTAGGACACGTATGTCACAAAATAAATTTAGCGCAATATTTACGTTACTAGAGTTATTTCAAGTTATGAGCAATTCCAAAACACGCTTCAAAACACACATCTATTTTGAGACATCGACCCTAAAGTAGGAGCCTGTTTCGGAATCGCTCAAATTGCCTCGTGCATGGCCGAAAGGAAATGCCACTCCACGTGTCTAGAAGATTCGCATTTACTCTCACCCCAAATGTTCGACGCTGCAACAATCTAGGCCAAATGTTCGAGATACTGACTATAGTAGATCAGTTGCAAGTAGCGCGCTGTGTTGTTCATTTGTGTTACTTGCCCGTTGTTTTTAGCACTATTACCTTCGGAAATATGGATCACCAACTAGCCCAAGTGCATACCCTTGTGTAGATATAAAGAGCCCAGCGTGACCTTGCCAACTCACTCTCGGACTCTTGCACTAGCCAGCTGTCACGCCGACACCTCAACGCTCATTCTTTCTTAAAGGACAACTCCGCTCAATTCCAGGAATTTCTGGGTTTTTGGTGATTATACATTAAGGTATACTAATAAACGGTTCGACGTCGTTTGTTTCTCAAAAAAGGAAATATAATTCTTGTAATCCTTCTTTACTCCTGATCACAAACCGAAACCGAAACTGCGCCCGCGCCTGGCAACATTGGTCCCGCGTCGTCATAGTCTGGGACAACCCACGTGGTACGAACGTCACCGCACGACCTCGCCGACCGCGCGGACGGACGGATCGGCGGAGCAAGCGTCGTCGCGCCGTGTCGTCTGCTCCACGGTCTCTGCTATCCAACGACGTGTGCACTACCGCGGCCACAGAGTGTTTTGACGCAGAGAAAGGCAAGTTGTTTTAGAGTTATGTTTTGGAACCATTAGTAGTTGAAGTTAAGTAAACCACTCGTAATATGCCAGGCATCGCAGCACAAAACGTTGCTCCGAGACGCAGCAGGTTCGGTCTTCCCGACGACGAGCGCGGAGCGCTCGCTCAGACGCTCATCAGCGCATGCGCGTTTTGGATCACGTGGACATCAGTATGCACGCTGCTGGCGCCGCCTGTAGGCTGCGCCTCAATAAAGTAAAAAACAAGAAAAAAAGCGGTCCCAGACTATGACGTGCGGCGCAGTGTTGGCTGCGCCAACACGCGGTATTGACTGCGCTGTTCTCTGCGCCGCACATCGGCCGCTAGAATTAGCAGATTTCGGAGACTTGAGGCATCTCAAACTTTGTTTACCAGTTTAACAAACTTTTAGGCTTAATTACATCGTAAAACTTGACGTGTAGTCTTTCTAGGTGATACTAAAGAGAACTGCGTTGTTTTTTCAGCATCGAAAATGAAGCGGAGTTGCCCTTTAATTCCTTAACCGCTTGTTTTGTTTCTGCAATTTTTTGTTCTAAAATTTTATTTTTATTGCACGTGCGGCGTGGGCTGCCTGTGTCTCCACAATTGGTTGCCATCCTTAAAAACGTGTACAATAAAAAAAACAAGGGTTGCCATCTCTGAGCAGCGCCGCAAACTAAGCTCTGAATGAGCCTGGGTCGTCCAAAACAGCCAAGTGGCGAGGTAGGCTGTGCGGACGAGCTAGGCTCGTCCTAAATGGTTTGGGGACGGCTTTAGGTGGCCAAGTTAGGCTCGTCCAAACCGGTTTAGGAATTAACTGGCACAAGTTTGCCGATTAAACCTTTATTTTCAGTTTTACGCTTGTCGATCCTTTTCCATTTATAACAGTGTGAGTTTTGCAACTAAATAATGCGCTAAAAGATCTTTTTTTTTTGTGACTACGTCTGCGATTGCAACTTTTTTCTGTGATTGATTTTCTATACACCAGCCTCGGTGTGGTGGGTGACTTACCGTGACAAGAGGCGCAGCTTTTTTTGGCTGAGTCTCTCAGCCCTAATCTCTAATCTAAATCCGAATCCCTCTAATCCCTAAAGAAGCTGTGTTTTGCTCTATGGGCTGATTTCGGACGGTTCTTCTCCAAACATTCTTGCTTGCCCATTATAATTGCCTCTTTGCTGCATCATTATAATTGCCTCTTTGCTGCACCGAGACCAGTGTCGCTAAATGTCTACAGCAGGTCCACCTCTCGATGTATAGACATTCGCGACATATGTTTTTTTTGTTGGCTTGGACGTTGTTTTGGATTTTATCTTTGTCAGATCTGTGATTTGTGATTCCCTCCCAACAGACAACACCCTGATCAGCCCGCAGATGCAGGCCATCTTTGAGAGGGTGCGTCATTCGGCGGACTTCATGCCCGAGTGGCAGATGGAGGTACGTCACGAGTTTCCCTGCCACACAAGCCCGCTTCATTTGTGGCACAAGTTCCCCCATGAGACCGGTGCCCATTCAGCGTACGTCAGACAGAAAGCAAAATTCAGTTTCGTAATAAGTGTCACTTCTAATCTTGCTGCACAGGTGTGACTAGATGGCACACTCTTTTCGTGAAGATATGAAAGGATTAACTTGCTTCGGTTAAGACTCAAGAGTCACGAATCAAATGCAAAATCATCTCAATAAGCTGCAGGACCTTTTCAACCCCTCTTGCATAGACTTTATGTAATAAATTTAGCAGAAGAGGCCTGCCATCGTCCCCTGCATTTTGTAGAAATGCATGGTAAGAAGAGACCGCCATCGGTGGACCCAGATGTGACTTTACTAAACAGAAAAAAAGAATGGTAAAATATTGGATCATTTTTAGTTTTATTGTTTGGCCATCATTTTGAAAGATTGCTTGCAAAATTAATATATTGCAATAGGCTTCTTATGTGCTGTTTCATTGCATTCTCAGTGTGAGTACAGCAGTGGATAGCATCGCATTAAAGGGATACTTCAACGAAATTTCAAATATTCCCGTCGTGTTCAAAAATAGGTTGAATATGATCCACAATATCCGTAAATGACAATCGCACGTTTGTATTTTGATCCTGGTGGCTGTATTTTTTGTTATAAACAGCACCACTCTGGCAAGCGCTCGGAGAAGGCCCAGCTTAGAGCACGTGACATCCAACGCAATCATGACGTAGGTCGTCTCAAGATGAGCAAAGCTACGGCGAGGCTGACGTAGAGAGGATGGCCTAGTCGTTCCAGCCACCGAAGCAGCTGCTTTTGTACAAATTTTGAGTGACGGGTTAATCTTCTATAATCTTCTAGGGGGACAATAGCGACTTCTGCGACACACAAAAGGGATTCGCGGGAAGAGGGGAGTTGCTCCTTCCCCCCTTCTCGCGTCGTGGCCGAAGACGAGACAACCTCCGTCACTAGCTGTCAAGGTTCCTAGACGAGCATTACAAACGAGGCGTTAGCAACATCCACCAGGTGCTCTTTGCTAATTGTTTAATTCGTTTTAAAATTCCTTTTCGAGACTTTTTTTAACAAGATATTGGTATGTTCCATGTGATACTGCTCTTTTGAAAACATATAGACCAAAAAAATGAGCACCGAAATTTCGTTGTAGTATCCCTTTAAGGCATTGTTAATACAAAACAAAGAGTTGTCAGTGTTAACATAGCCTAATGAAGGTAACACCATTGCTTTCTTTGCACAGAGGGTGCTCATCAAAGAGTTTGGAGACGACTGGGCCAACAAGGTCTCATCGTTTGAGCGCAAGCCATTTGCAGCTGCCTCTATAGGACAGGTTCACCTGGCAACCCTACACGACGGTCGAGCTGTTGCCGTTAAAATCCAGGTGAATCCAGGTTCGGTTCTTTTGCGCGAAACGACGACTGATCAGGCTTGCATCTCCAGTACCCTGGGGTAGCCGAAGGAATCAACAGTGACATCAACAACCTCATGACAATCCTCAATTATTGGGACATCATTCCCAAGGGTGAGTGAACTATAAAGTATAATATTTAAGCTTTTTTTTTTTGGATATTAAGAAAAGCGTGGTGGTTGTTTATATAGTTGTCTTGCTTTGTGCGGTGATGTTCAGAAACTAAACTTGGGAACTGTTATTTTCGATCCTGAATCGCAACCTCTAAATTTCAAAAACTTTGGGAACCATTATTGACCCATTCCACACAAAGGGTTGACTCGTAAATTTGTTTAACTTTGAGCAAATTAGTACACTATGTCCTTACAAAAAGATTTTATATCACCACGGAGCTTGTTGTAAGGGAGTCTCTGTTCCCCGCTGACTGAAACATTCTAAAAAGAGCCACAGTTTGTTTAATTACTTTCGTTGCAATACATGCCTGTAGTTGAAGCTCAGGTGACGTGCTCCTGTAAGTTACTTTTGTTGCAGTACATAGATGTCATGCAGAAAGTTCAGGTGGATTTAAGCGCCTAATGGCTTTTTTTATTTGTTTATATGGTGCAGTGGAGCTCAGGTGACTTTTTGTTCCTAGAGGCTATTTTTCTGGCAGTATATGTCTGTCATCTGTAGCGCAGTGAAGTTTAGGTGACTTTGGTCTCCTAAAGGCTACTTTCACCGCATTACGTGCCTGCGATGCAATGAAGCTTAGGTGATGTCTTGCACCTATAAGCTGTTTTTGTTGCAGTACATGCTTGTCAAGCAGTGAAGCCCAGCTGATTTTGGACTTCCATAGGCTGTTTTCATCGTAGCACATGGTTGTAGTGAAGTTCAGGTGACAGCTTGGTTTTGCAGACTTTTTTTGTTGCAGTACAGGCCTGTCGTGCGGTGAAAGCATACACGAAGAGCGCTCTCGTGTTTAGGAGTGGTTGGGTGCTCAATGTGCCTCCGTCCCCGTCTTCCAGGCGTCTACATAGACAACTTGGTAGCCGTGGCTCGCAGGGAGCTCGCATGGGAAGTGGACTATGTCAGGGAAGCCAAGTGTGCCAGGAGGTTCAAGTATGTGACTCCAATGACGGGTACCCTACTATGAAACGCGTGGCCAATAGCGCAGAGATATTAATGTTGCCAAAACAAATACCAAGAATTTTCATTGCGATAAGTGTAAGACCTCTCAACAATCTTGGCATTCATTCAAGAACACCAATTAGTGGAAAGCCAAAGCCGAAAAAATCCCTGCAGCTCGATGTTGATAAAATGCTCTGTTAATATTTCGCTGCTGTGCCATGCATTTGCCAAAAAAAAAATTACCAAAACCACGAGAGTAGCATAAAGAGTCACTTCGGTTGTTTTAGTTGCCAAAACTATAGGTTCGCATTTTCTTTATATCAACATATTTTTTAATCTTTTGGTGGTCGTAAAATATTTGTTGTGTACTAGATTTTGTTGTTTTAATTAATGAAGATGTGCCTCAGGCGGTTGATTGCTTTTCAGATATTCTGAGATGCATATACTTGACTTGGGAAGAGATATGAGGGGGATGCAAGCCGATTTTCACCGGGTGGTTTCTGCGGGGAGAAAAACAACTAGATTTTGATCCGTGAAAATGTTTTCTTTATGGTTTGGCCCAACGCATTTCCTGAAACGTCTAGGAACACACAATTATTTCGTTAGTGCCGGCCCTTCTGAGGTACCACTCAAAACGTAACATTGTTTCCTCGGAAAGAAAAAAAAAAAAAAAAAAAAAGCCATAGGTCCGGTTGTTGTGTGCATCTCAAAAGGTGGAAACTTCTGCCAGTGCCACATAGCCAATAGTGTGAAACTATCTGGATTAAGATCTGACCTCAAGCTCTTTGCCTCTGTGCTACCCTGTTCCGAGTTACCACCGTTTTTCTTCAGGGAGCTGGTGCGACCCTATCCCGAATACTACGTCCCGAACGTCATCGACGAGCTGTCGTCGGGCCAGGTGTTCACGTCGGAGCTAGTCAGCGGCATACCCGTCGACAAGCTGGTAGACAGTCCACAGGAACTAAGGAACAAGGTATACTTACTACGCTCCACCTCCCAAGTTACTAGTCTGATATGTGCAGGTTGCAACATAGCACGAATAAGATTATTGGTAGTATTAATTTTTATTTCTCTCGCAGGGCTGCAATTTTTTTATAAAAAGACTACCAGCGTTAACTTAATTTGCTATGTTGGACTCGAACCTAGTGGTCGTAGGTTGTAGTTTTCAGCACCTTACTTTATTTACAAAAAGTTTCGGTACTTCCTAGGCAACTGGCTGACCTCATATTGTACCAAGAGTTCATTTAAGGGGAGCGCTCTTGCCTTTAAAGAAAAAAGTGATTCACCGATCAATTAGCTGGTTGATGTCAAGTTTGCATTGTGCCATGTAGTGTATCGTAGTATGTGCAGTCTTCACCTGAAGCAGCTTTTAGCCATGGTCGAACTTTTGCAGCTTTTGTTTTTCTTGCATTCCTCGGTGACCAAGTGGATTATCTGCTGCCGAGATAAATTCATTTTCGTTTCTTTAGATTTCAACTGTTCATTCTGGGAAGAAGCGTTTAATAGTTGAAGAGAAATGGAAGTCTCAGAAATTTCTATTCAATGCAAAACCAGGATGCATAGACAACAACCTAGTATTTCAGTTCCATGCTATAAAAGCGTTAAAGGGGCACTGACACCCCAAAGGTCGTATTTATTTTTATTGTCTAAAACGATGCAAGTTGCAGTCATAGACATGCAAAAAAAACCGCATCGCGAAAAAAAATTTTTTTGCGCGCGCGCGCGCCTTTTTATTTTTGCCGTTTGATTTTCCCGCGTCTCGCCTCCTCGCTTCTTTTGATCGGTGACGTCAAAAATCAGGAAATTTAGAAGCTTTGTAGGCGACATCTCTATAACATTTAATTACGGCAATCCTAAAACATGTTTTTTAATGCAATTGCGAACGCACTACGGCCCTTCTTTTTGAAATACCAAAAATCGGGAGTTTGTTGTGGTGCCGTCTCCTGGATTTGTATCCTCCAACGGAAAACAGGCGACACCGCTCAAAACCGGTCCGCCGCAACGCCGGGCGCTCGCTCCTTTCCTCCTCGCTTTGGGTCGCCATGGCAACAGCAGGGAGTGGTGAAAGGAAGTCGACTCTCAGGTCTCCGCGATTTTTGACGTCAAGGCACCGGCGCCGATCGCGCGGGAACTTCGAATTCGGCATTTGGAAATTGTTTTTTTACTTCACGAATACTGAATTCCCAAATCTCAAATTTTGAGGGTAATGTCCCGGCATCGTTTTCAATCGTTCCGGATAATAAAAAAAAATATGATTTTGATGTGTCAGTGCCCCTTTAAAAAAAACATTTAAAAAAAATGTTTTTTTTTAGGCACGAGGTGTTCACGTCAACCTAGAATTTCGAAGTGTGTTTGTGGAGTTAGAGTGCTCCAAGTATATGTGTCTTGACTGTACCTGCCCAACAGGTGTGCTACCTGCTGCTGAAGCTGTGCCTCCTTGAGCTTTACGACTTCCGCTTCATGCAGACCGACCCCAACTGGTCAAACTTCTTCTACAACGAAGAAACCGGCCAAGTGAATAACCTTTGAACCATCTCAAATGTCGAGCAACAGAGACATGAGGATTCGTGCAAAACTTTTAGCATTGCTCTTTTTGGCTGGCACAACTTTCAAACAGATCTTGGAAGCCAGTCATGCGTCGGGATCTTTCGACCAGATGCTTGTAGCGGCTTCGTAGCTTTTTGTGGAGTTCAGGCGGGCACGAGAAAGGTGTCCTTTATTTTTGGCACCACCAGAATCTGCCGAGGTTCTGTCGTGTTGAATAGCAGGGTAAACTGATAAAGCACGAGAAATTATTTGTTTATAATGACAATAGGGCTACCGTGAAATACCACAGAAGCACCCACTTTGTTGAAGCACCCACTATTTACATTTCCCAAACTTGGGAATTTTGCAAATCATACGTTAACCACCTGATTTGGTCGGATAAGTCCCCATATCTAGATTAAACCAGTTTCAGTGAAAGTGGGTGGGATCTCCCCCGGTCTTTTACGGTAGGTTGGTGCAGCCGTGCCTGCAGTTTTGTAGCTAATCTAATCCTTTGAGAAGAGAGATTTCATGTACGAAACATCACATGTGGCATATAATGTCGCACATGGTGTCACGTGCCAGCGAGAGATTATTTTATGTCCCACGTGACAAGCCACATGACAGGATATGACGTCTTACATGCGAGATATCCTATGAAAGTAAGGCGCGAAGCTGCATCGGCGACACGTGAAACGTTGCGGCAACTGTAAACGTTCCACGCAATTTTTGTTCCGCGTCAGCTAATGTTGCTGGACTTTGGAGCCTGCCGAGAGTATGGCAAGCCATTTGTGGACAAGTACATCCGCGTCATCAAGGCCGCCGCCGACCGCGATGAGAAGAACGTCCTCAAGTATTCCCTGGAGCTGGGTTTCCTCACCGGATACGAAGCGAAGGTGAGCGCCTCGAACAATCTCGTCACAAATACCCCAAACCATAACAAATAAAATTAGGTTCGAGGTTGTGCGTCGAAACGAGTGCACAGTTCGACCTGCACCGCCGCCACCGGCTTCGACGTTAGTGTCTACCGTGCTGGCGTGCCAGCATGTAATGCACATCCAAGACCACTGTACTGACAAGACACACTTTACAGCAGAAGCTGCCGTTCAAGGCATCCCATTCTTCCCATTGTGGAAGTGCCCATGCGGCCAATCGAAAAAATGAAAGCCGTTTACAACTCCCCGTAACGCCAGATTAGAGCGCAGCTCTTGAGGAGGAGGATGGAAGGGTACTGAGTAATAGGGCGGTAGGGTACTGAGGGATAGGTGACTCCCTGAGGTCAAGTGACCTCGGGGGGGGGGGGGGGGGGGTCACATAACTTCAGGGGTGTCACATGACCTCAGCGGGGGGTCACACCACCTCAGGGGGTAACCCTTATGACCCTCGTGAGGGTAACCCTCGTGACCTTCGTGAGGGTAACCCTTGTGACCCTCGTGAGGGTAACTCTCATAACCCTAGTAACCCTTGTGAGGGTAACCGTCGTGACCCTCGTGAGGGTAAGTCTCATAAGCCTCGTGGCCCTCATGAGAATAACCCTCGTGAGGGTTTCGAGGGTTGTTACCCTCACTAGGATCACGAGGGTTACGAGGGTTACGCGCAATTACGCCGATGCCCACGCCGCTCAAGCCGGAAACGGGCGCCTAAGAGTTGCGCTTTAAAACATTTCGGTTGCCCGTCAAACGGTACCCGGGTGGTCGAAACTCATCCTCAGTCGTCCTTGGCTTGCTTGGTCACCACGATAACTCGCAGTCCTATGTTGATGCAAGAGTCTTTTTCTAGACTTGAGTCGGTGGGCATTTTGCAGGTCATGGAGAGGGCGCACATCGACGCCGTGATGATCCTCGGCGAGGCCTTCTCGCGGGAGGGCGAGTTCAATTTCGGGACGCAAGACACGACGCGCCGCATCCAGAACCTGGTCCCGACCATGCTCCAGCACCGGCTCACGCCGCCACCAGAGGAAACCTATTCGCTCCACCGCAAGCTCTCCGGCATCTTCTTGCTCTGCGGGAAGCTCAGGGCCAACATCAACTGCAAGGAGCTCTTTGACGAAACGTACCGGCGGTACCGGTTCGACGACTGAGTCTGGGAAGGACGAGGACCCTTAATTACGCGCTTGTGATAGAGCGAGTTTCGTACATTTACGCGTGTCGATAGCAGCTGTGCACCGTTCTTTTCGATGGATGACTTCCGTGTCATTTTTGTAGGGCGGTTACAGCTGGGGACTGTTTTCCTAGACTTACGACCTTAGTGTTGCTTCTGCTGGTTGCAGCACAGGCTCAGTTTGTCCGGTTATGCGCCGTTTTTACCACTTACGGCACATAGTACATTGTTTTCTCGGTTTAGGTCTCGTGTCATTTCTGCTAATTACGATTAGATATTTTTTTGATTTATCGGTTGTATGTTGTCTCTGTAAATTGACTATGTCTGTGGTCTATCTTTTTAGATTTGGACCTGGCAGGGCCATTTGATTGAAAAAACTGCTTTTGTCTACCTTGACCTCGAACATGACCGTGCTGTAAGGGATCTGCAAAGACCCAGAAATTTGAGTTTCATCTATTCAGGAAACAGATTTGGCAATTAGCTAAATTATGAGCAAATTGCTGTTCAAAACAAAAACAAAACTAATTAAAGTTACCTTCAGAATGAATGGTCATTATGGTAGAAAGGTTACCAGTTTGTATTGTACAGCTTTGTTCATAGCAGTCCGAGAGCCTTGGCTTTCATATTCAGTGCACATACACTGGCGACTGATGTGTTGGCGCCAATCCTTGTTAGTCATTGCTTCACATTTTATGACAAATTAAATACGAGCAACGGAGCTTAGCTTTGAAAGTTTGAATACAACAGAAAAGTTATACAAGAGGCTGCAAAAATAAAGTTTGTATGCCCAGTTTTGTGTTCTCTTATTTTGCCTCCAGCATGCTATTCGTAGAGCACAGATAAGGCACTTGTAGGCAGACTGATGCAATAAAATTGAATAGGGTTGTGCGAATATTCGGAACTTCGAATAGTAGTTCCGAATAATACACTATTCGATATTTGCTTCGAGAAGAAGTGCACTATTCGCGTTTTTCGAAGTGTGGATTGCGTCGGGTTAGCCCCGTTGAGTGCGCTTCTTAGCGAGCACCGGTGCACTGCGGAGAAGCAATACCCGCGAAAGCGAGCTCCGCGGGTGTTGCTTCTCTGCATTACATCGGTGCTCGGTAAGAAGCACACTCAACGGGGTAACCTGCCGCGATAAACACTTGGAGAAGTATGAATATTGTCATTGCGTGCTTAGAAGAAAAGCATACATTCAAAGCGGGATGGTGCACGCGTGCCGTCTGCATTGAAAATAAATGGAAACTTTGTGAGTGTGTATGTCTACTTCGTAGTAAAAGTTTCAAAATTAAACTTACTGTTATGCAAGAGTATATATACTATGTTGGGCAGAGATGCCCTTACAGCCTGCATTCATCATGCCCGATTCATTCCCTCTTAACTCGAGATTAAAGAAAGAATATTTTATAAAGCAAGATTTGTAAATTCACTCAATTGGGTATAGTTGGCAATCTATAGGATTCATTTTATGTCAAATTTGTCGTTTACTTGCCATCCCAAGACATCAGACCTTCTTAGTCCACAGTTCATAAATATAGATAGATTAAACTTAGCTTTTAAATTAACAAGTGGAACAACCTTCACAAGTTTAGCTGGGTTTTCATCTAAGCATTACACAATGGTAGTGAAAGGGGTGGAAAAACTATTCAATTAAAAAATATTCGGCCAAAACCACTATTCGCTTCGAACTCAAAATCCACTATTGGCACAAGACTAAAATTGAACTAAACGCCGCTACGCCAAATTCAGTTATGCAGTCGAACCCACCGTAAAATACCGCGCATTGGCCCATCCACACTAAGCGCCTATCCCTAAATGTTTGACACCTGAAAAATATGCGCAGTACAAATATAGATAAAATGTGTGACCTAACAAGCTCCCATCCCCCACTTTCTTGCAACTATCATCAAATTTTGAGTGGGCGCTTGATCGGTACTTTACGGTAATCCTTTTGGAGCAGCTAAAAGTCCATTTTTGAGCAGCAAATGGAACTTTTGGAGCATAAGTTTATACTTTATTTGCATTCCTACCACTGCAAATATTATATCTTAAGATCAATGCATTAACCTGTCCATCAAGAGACATTCCTTACTTTGCCCTCCCACTTCTGTGCAACTTTTTGTTATCAACTGCACGGCAGGTTGGGTTCCCCCAAAACCGAACTAGATGTTGCAGAACAACCAGGCACGACAACAATATGCTGAATGATGAACAATATGAAATGTTGCGAATGCTTATTTTATAGCCTTGTGCAAATAGTGGATTTTGAGTTCAAAGCAAATACTGGTTTAGGCCAAATATTTTCAATTTGAATATCGAATAGTTTTTCCATGCCTTTCACTACCATTGCATAATGCTTAGACGAAAACCCAGCTAAACTTGTGATGGTTGTTCCACTTGCTCATTAAATGCTAAGCTTAATCTATCTATATTTATGAACTGTGACCTCCAAAGGTCTGATGTCTTCGGATGGCAAGTAAACGCCGGATTTGACATAAAATGAATCCTATAGAAATGGCCAACTATACCCAATTGAGTGAATTTACAAATCTTGCTATATAAAATATTCTTTCTTTAATCTCGAGTTAAAAAAAATGAATCGCGCATGATGAATGCAGGTTGTAAGGGCATCTCTGCCTAACATAGTATACTCTTGCATAACAGTCAGTTCAATTTTGAAACTTACTACAATGCAGATACACACATTCCCAAAGTTTCCACTTATTTTCAAATACAGCCGGCACGCGTGCACCATCCTGCTTTGAATGTATGCTTTTCTTCCAAGCATGCAATTGCGATATTCATACCTCTCCAAGTGTTTATCGCACCGATATAATGCAGAGAAGCAACACCCGCAAAGCTCGCTTCCGTGGGTATTGCTTCTCTGCAGTGCACCGGTGCTTGACCGGTGCTTGACCGGTGCTTGACCGGTGCTTGGTAAGAAGCGCACTCATTGGGCTAACTTGCTGCAATCAACACTTTGAAAAACACGAATAAAGTAGTTCTTCTCAAAGTGAATATCGAATAGTGTATTATTCGAAACTACTATTAAAATTTTGAATATTTGCACAACCCTATTATTTTAGTTACAAAGCCAAAGGAGAACCAAATAGTATATTCCAGGGAAATTGTGTTAGAGCAAAATAATTTGAGCACCCGAGTTGGTTTATTGAAGTCCAAAAAGTTGTAATAAAACAAATACTGAATTAAGAACAAATCTGTTGTAATCTGATTATTAACATTAATGACAATTTAATGTAGGACTTCATGAAAACAAAAATTGGCATTTCGAAGGATAAAAACAATCTAGTCATACTCATTAGCGTGGTTCCCAAGTTTCCATCCACTCCTCTAGCTAATGGAGTTCTAACTTACTCAGTTCACTGTGCCATCGCACAGATAGAACCTCTGTAAAGGTAATAACTAAACCACAGAGAGTCCATATCAATCTTCCCACAATGCACAAGTATCCTTGCTAAATCTCGAATTTGAACCAAAAAAAACCGACAGCCTTTCCACTTTGGTGAAGAAGGAAGACCAGTGAAGCTCTACTGTAGTGGGAATGAAGTAATGGCCAGCCACAAGTCGGCAAGCCAGAGTGCAAAGGCTCAAAAGGTTGCCGCCGTCGCTTATAGATGACTAGCTGTCCAGAGTTCTGTGTCATCATTTGTTTGCCGACGGACAAGATCCTCGGGAAACAAGCCCATAACAGCTTCACTGTAAAAGTCGTCAGAATATTGCAGCCTATCTTATACTATACAAGCTGCAGATTCAGAACTTTTTACTGCAAGGCAAAATTGTTACATCAATGTTTACCAAGCTCTTTTTTTTTTTTTTTTGTATATATACGGTATACATATATATCTAACGTTTGTGCAAGCAACGCCTCGCTTTGGAGAGGTGCTTTCCCCTTAGTACGTGGCAGCGCTGCGGTGAACCACGACACTCCGCGGTTTTCGTTTCACTGCAGTGCACCAGTGCATGGTGAGGAGCGCACTCAACGGAGCTACCTAACCCCAGAGCCTAACCCACAAGAACAGACCACGAAATTAAGAATATAGTGCGACCGACTTCCAAGCACAGTCAGTATTTGATACAAAGATTAAATCGAGTAGTTGTATGTTACCTAAAGAGATGCTGAACAGAAATTTGTAGCACACATAGCAAGGCTAGACCGATAGGCAGGACGCTGCAAAACACAAAAACATCACTCGTACAGCGGTATCTCTAAGGGATGGCCGTATTTTCGGAAAAGAAGTGCGCGATTGAACACGGCCGACGAGTCCCTTCACGCTGGTGAATTAACCGAAGGGAGGAGGAGAGAAGCGAGGCCGCTCCCCCTTTTTCTCAACTGTTCCAGGAGGATCTCATAGTCATAACCACCAGCTTGATCCCACATTTCTTTTCCAAAAATATGGCCATCCATTTGAAATAACAATGTACGAGTGACATTCTGGGGTTGGTAGCGTCCCGTTTAATGCTTCTGCAGCCTTATTGTGCAAACTTCAAATTTCGGTTCAATATTCCTTTAAGGTCACAACCAAAAGTTCTAAAAATTCGGACAAGCCTACCGTAACGATCAGGTCGCTTAGAGGGTCTTGAGCTATTTCATTTTCAGTAGTAATAGAGTGAAGTTGCATTTCGGCGCAACGTTGGCACAGATCTACCAGATTTTGTCGAAATGTAGCAGGACGTAGCAGGGCAAGCCCTCTGGCAATTTGGCACAAATGGTACAGCAATCGCATCACTGCAAATTGTGACAAACAAGGAAGCTTCTTCCCACTCGTCAAACTTCAGTGCAAGGTCTATGTTTCGTAGATGCAAAGCAAGAGACACGTTCCACCCAAAAATCGGTGCTCCACAAATGCTTTGGATCATTTTTGTGCACGCGACTTTTCCTTTGCCACTGACGAGCGAGTGCCAAAAGGAATTCAATACTCTGGCCCCGCAAGGTGGTCACTCTGCACAACGTCCCACATTGCACCAACTGCAGGGGAAAATGTGGGGCCGTGCCAAAGTATGCTTGGGCTGGCTCGTCCGCTCCATACGCCCCGAAAGCAGCACAATCCCTTCTCTCTTACCACTGCAAGTTCAGAAAACAAAAAATGAAGACAAAGCCGTCACGTCCCGTCTTGTTATTGCCCTGCCTCGTTTGCATTCCAAAACTGGAATACACTAGGCTGGGGGGGTCTCCAAACCCGGACCCGCGGGCCAGAACCGGCCCCCCTAAGTCTTCCAACAAACCCGCGGTCCTTTCAACAAAGCCCGGCCCGCAGCCCGCTTCTATCGGACCCATCGCTATAGGCGTAAAAAGAAGTGTAAAGAAACGGCGTCGCGACACGTTCCATATGTGCAAACGAAGATACCAGAAAGAACGAAACCGCATCGTAACACGGGTGCTTATTATTAATTAAACATTCATTAATGTCACCAGCATTGCCATTCTTTGCACCCTGCCTCATGTCAGTATCACTATATTAGAATTCCTTTGCATTCTCATGTACATTGTGCTTATAGTGTCCTCTGTCACAACTATTGCATGTTGTGGGCAGTAGTTTAATCATTCTAAATAGTCTTTTGCACTGAGCAAATGGGCCGAAGCCCCCTACACTTTGATTTATGCCTAGTGCGTTCCCTTGAAGACGATTCTTGCGTAATGTCATAATGAGCAAAATATTAAATTTCAAATTGACATACGAGCATTCATAAACCGAGTTTTTGTTGAGGGATGTCTTCCAAGTAAATGGCACTAACCCACCGCTGACAGCAGATAACACGCAAGGGTGTCCACATATTTCACGATTGTTCACAAAATCCTTAGTCACAGAAACAAATTTCCAGCAAATGGCTACCTCGGTGTAGGTGGCAGATTCATTTATTTTGTTACTGTTTTGCATCTGTGTGTTAAAACAGTTACAACTTACATTTGTAGAAGTAAAAACCTCAGATTTCTTACGCAAATATCTGAAAAGAGTTAAAGAACGTAGAGAAACAGGCAAGCAATGTTTCTCTACATTTAAATTGTCAGACAGGCAAGGCAAGTTTCTTTCGGCACAATTTTATTGTCTTCAACACGTCGTCTACAGCCTCTTGAGCGCAGCACTGGTGTCGAGAACAATGAGCAAACTGAACCGGGCACTCATACGCGAAACGGGGCGCCTGAATGAAACAACCGAGGAATGTTGCAATAACTTAAAAATGACGACGTCTACCGCAAGAGGAAAACCGCAACTGTGAAAACTGCCGCCAGCGGAGTTTTTTTTTTCCTCAGTTTTTGAAAACGTTCTGCATAGTGCAAACTTCCCTTTGACTTCCACTTTTTGTACAAGTGTCTGTGCAATACTGGCAACAAACTTTCGTTTCTTTTGCAAATGTCATACAGTAATGAGAGGCTTTCTGGAAATCCTACTATAACAATCTTGAGTAAGGCACCCTCATAAAACCAAGGTTTACTCGAAAGCCTCAGCCTTCGAGCCGCGTATAAGGCGTGCCAGTGCTTCTATACAAACATATAAAAAAACCTCTTCCTGCTCTTTAAGCCCAATCAAAATCGAGCCCACAAAATGTTGCGCCGAGCACGGCACAACTTGGGGGCAATGAGCCGTCTACAAAGCCGTGCATGTGCTAGATTGCAGAATAATTCGTTGCTGCAGGTGAGATCTTTCTCCTTGTCACAATGGTCCAAGTCGCTGCTGCAACAGAAAGCGACTTTTCTGAAATGTCTCAGCAATGCCATTGCTACAATGCTGCTCTGCAATGTTATGGCAGTGTTGCACAATGCTGCCATAATATCAAATATCCTCACATTAAATATCTGCTCTGGAACTGTTCAGCATTGCTGCAACTGTTCAGTGACGTTGCAATGCCACAGATTGATGACCTTGCTGCAATATCCCTGCTCAATACAATAGCAACATCACTGCACAACTTGTTGCAACATTGCTGTTCAGCATTGCTGCAACATTGCTACTCAACATTGTTGCAACGTTACTACTGCTCAACCCTGTTGCAATGTTACTGCATAATGTTGTTCAATGTTACTGCTCAGCATTGGTGCAATGCCACTGTTTAATGCTGCTGCAACTTGCACTGCTCAACATCGTTGCAATGTCACTGCTCAATGTTGTTACAACGTCAACTCTCGGCATGCTTTCCCACGTCCCTGCGTAACGTTGCAGCATTGCTGCCCAGCATTATTTCAATGTCGTGACCACACCCTGCAGCGCAGCATTGCCGCAACGTTGCGGCACAGCTTCCTGCCGGGTTCTCGACGCGACTCGACATCTCGCTCATCAAACTCTTCTCCTCGTCTTTAAAGCCGAGAATTACCGCAGTTACATCTCTTCGTCGAGATCACAGTCCCCGTCGACGCAGTCGTCCTCCAAGGGATAGTCTCCGATCATGAGGTCGATGGGCTTGACGAAGCCGCCGTACTTGGGCCTGCACTCGAAGTAGCGCTTCCCGGCGACGCTGCCGTCGTTCTTGCCGAGGGGGAGGTCGTAACGGACGCCCACCCAGACGCCTGGCTTGAAGTCAACCTCCCCGACAAAAGCAACGGTGCCACGCCGCCTGGGCTGCCCCGCGATGCCCACCACTTCGCAACGGTTGCCCACGTGGATCACCTGCGGGGGAAGGCACCAGAACGCCATTGGCAGTGACTTTTAAAGGCCAGTTCACGCACATACTACAGCAATAGCTCAGCACTGCAGACAGCGCAGATTTTGCACTATGTACTTTTCATTCAACTTCAATGTACCTTCCACTCCAACTTCAGTATGTCTTCCACTGCATTTCAGTGCACCTTTCGATGTACCTTTTAAATTTATTTATCTATTTATACTGAAGGAACATTTAAGGCCCATACAGGTCTGGGGCAACACAAATTTCATGCAAAAGCAATCGTACACAATGTGCGCAAGGTAGCGCGCACTTACAACAAAATGTACCATTTTATAACTCATTGCATCACAGTGCCAACAAACAGAAACAAATGGGATACATATTAATGTATCGTACATGCCTATTAAAAAAAAGGCATATCCAATAATACTCTAAAAATGCAAAAGATAGATTGATAGGCGCACTTAAGTGAGTGACATAAAACTCTTGGGAAATTATTTTTTTTTTCTTTTTTTGTAAGGAGATTTATTGTTGTGTTGAAAGACTACCCAATCAATATTTTTCTAGAGTCACATACATTTTTAAGTAAAAAAAAAAAAAAAACGCAACTGCACGAAACTAAAATCGAAACTGAAATGAGGAGGAGGAAGAAATATAAAGGAGGAGAGTGTTGCCAGGAATCATGTGACTGAGCAACTTTTTTTTTTTTTTAGAAGTATTTTTGGTTTTTTAGAAGCAACAAAAATAGGTATAATATTTTGTTTCTATTTTTTATACTGAGTGTGCACCTTCGATGAACCACAACTTAGATTATCTTTGGTGGTTGTGTGTAAACCATAAAAAACGGCACGTGACCACAACACAAACTGGTCAGTTCTCGATCGGCAGTTTCCGGGCGGAAAGAAAACAAATTTTGAGTCACAAATTGTGTTCTGGGTAGTTGGCCTCTCAAATGCCACGTACAAATAAAAACCCAGGAGAGCATAAATAACCTACCAGTGTCCCTTTAAATTATTTACTACCGACTCTCTCCAACTGCCAGAGGAAATTAAGTTATTATTACTTTGGAACGGTCAAATTACTTTGTTGCAGTTAATTCTTCTTGAGCGAGAAAAAGGTTTTAGGTAGTCACCATTATTTATGTTAATTTTAGCAGGGTATAAAGAATGGAAAAACTTCAGTGAGGTGATTGATCTTCTGAATTCAAGAGACTCTAGTGCTGCGTCATTCAGCATGGAGGCGACACTACATTTTCCATTTAGAAAGAGACGCTCCGCCTCAGCATGCTACACCCTCACCCAGTCGGGCCGCCCTTCGGAACTCACCTTGAGCACCTCTCGCTGCTTCTGCGCCTTCTCCTCCTCCAGGCGTTTCGCCCTCTCCTGGGCGTCCTCGTTGAACCGGCCGAGCCCGTGCTTCTGGAGGTAGGCCCGCATCGAGTTGTTCCGCCGGTTGTACGCCTCCTGGGACAGCTCCACCTTGGCCACCTTCGACGTGTCCCTGAACTCGTCCACGTTCAGCAGCGGGTCCGTGACGTGCAGCGTCAGTCCGTCCCGCAGGGCGGGGAACGACTCAAGCCGCGCGTCGTCGCCGCCCTCCACCAGGCGCTGCACCAGCTTGTCGCCCTCTGCGTCGCGGAGCTCCAGGCGCATCGACGCGGACGAAGCCCCAGTCAGGAGCTCCAACTTCTGCTTGAGCTCGCGGACGGTGTCTGTGACCGGGAACTTGCGCTCCAGGGAGTAGCCCCCCGTGCCCTCGGTCCTCACCAGGAGCTTCACGAACGATGGTATTGAGTCTCCCCGTTCGCACATCTTTTATCTGCGGCGGGAGAGGTAATGTCGGGCCTCACTTTAAAATACACTAAACCATGAAAAAAAAATTTTTTTTTCTATTTGATTAGAACAAACGTCTCTAAAAACAAAATTGCCTAAATATTTTTTTTTTCCTAATATTTACCGTAAAATACCGGGCAAGCGCCCACTCAAACCTTGGAGATAATTGCTTAAAAATGGGGTATGGACGCTTGTCCGGTCATCAGTTTTACATATAAATGTACTGTGCATATTTTCTCAGATCTTACAAATTTGGGTATGGGCGCTAAGTGTGGAATTGGCGGATGCACGGTATTCTACGGTATGTTACAAGAAGAGTTTTTCAATTTGTGGGTGAAACCGAGATTGTACCTCTGTAGGATGATGATCATGGCGTCTGTACTCAACCTGTGCGCGCTCTGAAGCCCATTCACACACTTGCATTTGAGTATGACTAACTGAGACGAGACCAGTTTTGAAGCCTCTTGGTCCGCGTTGCTGCGCAGCCGGCTGCAAGCCATCCCAAGAGGCTTAAGAACCGGTCTTGTCTCACTCGGTCGTAGTCAAACGCAATTGTGTGGACGGGCCTTGAGGTCGAGTGAACTCTCAGCGCACATAACTTGGGTACAAACGCTATCGTCATCATCCCACGGAGGTACAATTTCGCTTTTGCCCACGAATTGAAAAATTTGTATTGGAGCATAAATATTGAGCAAAATTTTTTCTTTCCTCGACTAACATTTATTTTCAAGACATGTCTGTCCTAACCAGGTAAAAAAATTTTTTTTTTTCTCCTACGTTTAGTTTTTTGCTTTGGTAGTTTCTTAAGCTACCCAAACTAACCGCACTTTCAGATTATCAGGGCTTTACTCTTCCCAGCATGCTATTTATTATCTAAACTCAAAATAGGGAAAAAGGCAAATGGAGATTACACAAAAATAAACGTCCAAGTTTTCACAAGCTGTGGCAACATGTGATGTTGCCAGCAGGGCAACATCACATGTCGTACAACTTGAGAGTCAAGCTGGCAGTCTAAAAAACTAAATATTTTGCGCCTTTTCTTTTCTTTTTTTTTGCTTTGCTGGCACGAATTTAATTGGTATTTATTTCACACCTTCAAACTTTTAACCCGTCAGGAACGAGCTGTATGCCTCCGTTACAACAGTTGATGTCGCATTTCCAGCATTGTCAAAAGAGCCTTTCGGACCAAATTTGGAAGTTCAACAACTTCGCAAAAGAAATTCTTATTTTTTGTAATCTGGTTTATTAGTTGAGATGTATCGTTAATGTGTTAACCTATTTTGTGGCAAGTCAGCGGGTATCAAGATTTAGCCTTTAAAGGGGCACCGACACATCAAAATCATATTTTTTTTTATTATCCGAAACGATTGAAAACAATGCCGGGACATTACCCTCAAAATTTGAAACTTGGGAATTCAGTATTTGTGAATTAAAAAAACTATTTCCAAATACCGAATCTGAAAGGTCCCGCGCGATCCGCACCAGTGCAGCGAGTCAAATTCTGCAGTCTCTTGCGACTCGACTTTCGGACCTCCGCTCCACGCTGTGAAGCAAAGCGCCATTGTCACCGCGACCCGAAGCAAGGAGGAGGTGAGCAGGCGGGATAGACGGGCGCCGGTGCGGGAAAAAAAGGTTTCTTCCCCGACTCGCCGATCATCCTCTGCTCGAGCGCCGCGAAGTTTTCCGAGGGAGGATACAAATCCAGGAAGCGACATCTCGCCGAACTCTGATTTTTGGCATTTCAAAAAGAGAGGCCGTAGTATGTTCGCAATTGCGTTAAAAAATATGTTTTACGATTGCCGTTATTAAATGTCATAGAAATGTCGCCTACAAAGCTTCTAAATTTCCTGATTTCTGACGTCACCGATCAAAAGAAGCAAGGAGGTGAGCGGTGGGAGATATAAGCGCCTAACATACAAAGGCGCACGCCAAGGAAATTTTTTTTTTGCGATGAGTTTTTTTTTTTTTCCATTTATGACTACACCTTGCATCGTCTTAGACAATAAAAAAAATATGACCTTTGGGGTGTCAGTGCCCCCTTAAAACCCTCGTTACACGGGCACACTTTACTGCAGTTACGCCAAGCCATAATTACCACACAATACTTGCAGACAACATTCTGCAAATGTGCAGTCAAAGCTAGGGGTGCACGTGCATTGAGCAGGGCAAGTAGCCAAAAAAAGGGGGGGGGGGGGGGGGGGGGGGGACCAATGCCCCCCCCCCCAAATCTAATTTTGCTGGGACCTCCTCTCCCCCTCATACAGCATTGCGTCATGAACGCCCCCGCCCCCCCGCCCCCCCCCAAAAACAAAATCCTGGCTACATGCCCGACTTGAGCATCTTGAGTACCCATCAAAGCAATGCACGCACTATCTTCACTTCTGAAATAGCTGTCCGAGAGTATAGTGTGGTAACTGTGGTGCCGCGTAACAGCAGTTAAAGGCGACTTAACTGCGATTAAGGGTGGCAGTGTAACACGGGCATAACGTGCGACCCCACCGAATACTGCCAACCTCCTCTTTTAATTACTGCTGAACTGCCGCAACGCCCTTTTCTGGGAATGTCAAGAATTTGATTTAAGAGGACTTCTTGTGGCTCACGAAAACTACGGACCACGAAGGATTGCCTCCAGGTGGGCGGCGAGGGCACATAGTGTGCATGGGCTCCCGCCTTTCCTTGTCGCCTGCACGCTTGGTGTGAAGTCACTCGAGTGCAATAAAAAAAACTATTGAACCATTCAACTATTAAATGGGCGAGGCAGGGAATAGAAGTTACACTTGGAAAATGACTGAAGCGCATTGTGAGAAAGTAAAATATACTAGCTGCTGTATAAATCTTGCAAAGTGCTCAGGAGGAACGCTGCAAACAGTTCAAGCACGAGTATCTGGCTTTTGAGATGTGCTCTGGCTGGCACGTGCACTCACGCACGTAATACCGTAGTCAAGGTTGCTCTCCCCCGAATGCATCTTCCACAAAGTTGCACCCCATAAGCTTTGCAAATGAAGGCTAGTTGTGTGCTAACACTTCTCCGGGCATGCAACCCCTGCTGGCTGGGCGACGCACCGGCTTTTTCCTCGCTTTCGTGCTATAGTGCTTTCCACAGCCGTTTCATCCGCTCATTCGAAGCGACTTTTGAAAAAGAACATTAAGTATCGCCAGTTTGCTGGTCCATTATATCTCACTTGAAAAAAGCAGAAGACTGCCAATCTGAGCCTAGGGTAGCAGCAATGCACGTGAACAGTGACGAACGCGAACACCCCCGATTCTCTCCGCACCAAACTGCCCAGAAACACCCATCTATGCTTGGAGGCCCAAAAGGCTGTACTGAAACGGGACGATGCAAACTTAGGGAACTGACCACACACAGGACTCACATTTATGTTCGGTAACACCAAAACGCTGGCCAAGACTTTGAGCCGGCAAAAATTCGCATTCGGGACTGTTTTATGTCGGCCACGCTCCAACAGCCAATCGGGTACAAAGCAAACATGTCACCTCAGCCGTCAAACAAGGCACTTAAACCAGACCACGTCTAGTGCAGCAGGAGTTGCAGCCTTACAAAGGTAGAAACTGGCCCCAAACACGGCACTCGTTTCTTCTCAATTTTTTTTTATTTATTTGCACTACAACGTTCAAACTGGATAGAGCCGTACCTTAACAACTTCGCCCTACTTAACTCTCTATAAACACAGTTCCGTTTGCTGTTGTCAAGATTGGACAAAGAAAAGGAAAAACGAGAGCACATCGGCCTATATCTCGAGAACGTTGCTATATTTAAGTGTCGTCTGCATACACGATTACGTTATTTCTAGCCCGCGTTCCAACGCAAACTAGAGCTCTATGTCTGCTTTGAAGACCGATGAATCGGGCGTATATTCTTTTCATTGGGACAAGAAGCCTTTCTCAGAAATACGGCGCCGCTACTGGCGCTGCAAGGTTTCGCGGCGTAGGCGTGGCCGCTTTTGCCGTGCCCATATTTGGAAATTTCACGCTGGCCGGAGTCTCATTTGAAGCACGAAATCGTGACATATGAGTCACGCTGTTCTCTTTCACTTTCGACAACGACGAGATAAGCAAAATAAACAAGGAAATAAACGGTTTTTAAAAAAGAGACAGGCTCGAGATAACGGCCGCCGATATTTTTCTTGCGACACCGTGTGACAAAAAAAGAAAAGACACGGCGAGGCGAACGCCTTCCTTCAAACTTCCGGCACCTCGAAACACCGGCACTAAACGCAGATTTTTTACCTCGAAACGGTGAAGTTTCGAGGTCAAAACCAAACACGTTAGTTTTCATTTTCTTTAAGCGGTAAAAAGCGGACGCCGAGTACAGTTTGTACAGCTTTTGGGACGAGGAGTTTTAAAAATGTCAGCCGAACTTTGGGGATATTTGACACGTAGAGGGACCAATTATATGAACTCGTTTTAGGACGCCAAATACCTCGCAAGCTGCCCAGTGGGATGTCTACGTGAAATCTTTGTGCACTACAGAACGTCAAAGAAAAATCTGCGAGGAGAAATTAAACAAGTTCCGAGTGTAGTACGAAGTAAATGACAAGGACTTCCGTCGGGGAATCGGAAACAGCGAGTTTTCGGTTTCACGTGTCCCGCGTTCCTAGCCAAGTCCTACGCGTTCCTAGCAAAGAAAGGGGGAATGGGATGCGTTTTGAACTTACGTTCGGTGAAATGCAGGCTCTGTTTGAGTATTTTTCGTCTGCTACGACTTCTGTCCTTGTTTTTTGAGGCTGTAGACTCGACGCGTGAAGATCGAAATATCACGCCAGAGTTCTAGAGAAGTCTAAAGAGAAAGAAGGGGAACAAACGTTGCAGAAACGTCAAATCCGTGCGTCAGTGTCGTATCCACTTGTAGAAAAAGTTGCATTGTTTATGTATATATTAACGCAATCTAATAACCAAAATAATTTATTTAAATATATTTTGGGTACAAATATAAGTGATACGCTTAGGAATTAATAAAACCTACTCAAACTAATTTTTGCTTTAACGAGCCATACAAGCTAACGGCTAATTTAATTCCAAGCGAATCCAGAATCCAGCTGTCATGGCCGTCAACATAGTCGCCCTTGCCGAAGTTCCTAAACATTTTCAGCGTTTGGGAAAAAATGTGTCCTTATGCGGACGCGCCTGCGTCCGCCCCAAATCGACGAAATCGCCAAAGACCACAACCGTGTGTCAAGAGTACGACGGCGTCACGAGAACCCCCGTTGAAACGGTGAACGCCGCGACGGCGATCAAGAGGCTCAACTTCGAAAACCTGTCCCTCTTCGGACCCGTGCTCAAGTCGACGAAACAGCGGAACCTCGACGCCCGAATCGGCATGAGACTGAGCTACCTGGACGAACGGGTGCCGCGTCGCGTCAGGACGCCCAAACTCGCCTACGAAGAGCAGCTCAAGTCGGCTCGAAAGGTTCGCGTGATCGAGACTGGTTACCGCGACCTCCCCGAAGTCGAGTACGCGGACTCGGCTCAGGCGCAGCAACTCGAGGCGATTCGTGCCGAAAAAGAAGCGATCAAAGTCGGAAGATTCGTCCGGAAAGACGTCCCGCCCTCCGGGGCCGCGTTCCATATTCCCAGGGACCGTAGCGATAAAGAGGTGACTTTGGACTTCCCCATCTTTAATTTCCTTAGGGACGACATCGCCGCCGCGACCGTCGATGAGACTGGTGACGGTGCTGTTTCATTGGAGACAAAGACGGAGGTCTCGTCGGGTTACCCGAGCGTCACAGCGATCCTCAGGGACACGATGGATCCCCTGTCGAGGCGCAGGCTCGAGCTGTGGAAGGAAAGGATGGTGGCGGAACTTGGGCAGGAGGGATTTGACATCTATCAACAGCGTGCGTAGTGTCGGCTCTTCACTGGGCTCTTTATGCGTGTGTCAACTGAATGGTTTCGTTCACTCTGTCTACGCCCAGAGGAGGGCGTAGACAGGGTGTGCCGTTACCACATTGCAAGCCGTGATCGTAGCTACAATTTTTTAGCAGTCGTAGCTACAGCCTGTACGATAACAGTATAGAAACTACAGTTGATGTGACAGCATCACCAATAATAAGTAGAGCGTGACAGCATAAATAGTATAACTACAAACTTTATAGTATATAGCTACAAACAGTGGGGTAATGTTCACTAACTATGAGTGGTGTGATAATAGTGTCCCAAGTACAAACAATACTGTAGCCATGAGCATAGTTGTAAACCCGAGACTGGGGATACGGACAGGGGACAAAACACATTGTCCGTATCCCCAGTCTCGGGTTTACAACTATGCTCAATTTGAGACTTTATCCGTGTCGTTCTGTATTTTGTCCCTTGTCCGTATCCTCAGTCTCGGGTTTACAACTATGCTCAATTTACACCAGCTAGCCTGCACCATCACCATTGCTTCATCACTGTAGCCATATTGTAACTACAGGCGATAGGGTAACGGAACCAGAGCTAGTGTGATAACACTAACATAAATCAGTGGCATAACTATGAGCAGTGTGAACATGCTTTTCTTTGTTATATGTCCACAGTAAATTCGTCAATCACTTCTGGGCCCATTTGTTTACAAAATCTGACTTGTACGCTTGATGTTCCTACAAACATAGTCCGTGCGGAATTGTTTTGAAAAGTGCCAACGGAAACAGGCTTGACACATTCCCAAAGAACTTCCGCCTAGACAATGTCATCTCAAGACCACTTTTGGTGATGTACACTACACTTGGCGTCAGCTATTCTGGGCTTCGCTCTAAAGGCCAGCGTAACTTCTGCAGTGCTCCAACTCTGTCGAAGCTAGTTGCGCGAGAGCACGCCAGCGAGACGCAACTTCGACGGGGCAAAGCCACGTGCTCTCACGGCAGTCCGGAACTGGCCGCAAAAATAATCCTTTGCTCGCTTCTTCCGCCGACCTTGCAGTGCTCCTGAACCGGGGAAAATCGCTGCACCGCAGCATCCACGAGCTCCTAAGCGGGCGTCCCAGGGACGAGGTGTCGGTGGAGCCCGAAAACGAGGGACACTGGGCGAGCGTGAGGGCTCTGCTCGAAGAGATCGGTCCGGTTCGCTACCTGGAGACACCGGTGTCCCACCCCCACCTGATGTATAGTGGCATCGCAGACTGCGTTGCCACGTACAGGCAAGGCCTTTCGTGGTTGTCGGTAAATAAAGCATCGGTGGCCTAACCGATGCCCCCTGGTTGGCGGCACGACTGAAAGTGTGAATGCAAGGTCGAACTGAACGGGTCATCTATCTAAAAGATGCATAGTTTTGTCCATTCCTGCGTTTAGACTTTCAGTAATGTGCAAGGTCCCCTCGAACAGAATGTTGGAGTGCAAACGAGCTGGTAATGATTAAACACAATCTATGACCCCCGAGACTAGGGAGAGAGATGACGTAGGAGAACAACATAGCAGTTTTTTTTCCTTTGCAACTTAGATGTGAGACTCTCCCGTTCTTCTCCTATATCGTCTTCCTCCCTAGTCTCGGGGTTATAGTTCACCATGCTCCCCTTCTACTTTGGATAAGGGGACTGGTGGATTTGTCTATACGTTCCACAGCCGAGAAGCACAAGCCTCGGTTGCAGACTTGTCGACTTGCATCTAGATAAAAGGAATTGTGTATGGCGTGCACCAGCATTTATTAATGCACAGCACCCTTGCCAGAGTGAAAGTAACCACCCATTATTTTTTTTTAATGTGTTCCAGGGACGAGCTGGTGCTAATCGACTGGAAGACCTCGAAGAAACCGAAACCCCGGTTGTCAGACACCTTCGACAATCCGCTTCAGGTGGCCGCCTACATCGGAGCGCTTAACTACGACGACAACTACAAGATCCAGGTATCTACCGCCAGAGACTATAGTGTTCCTCAAGCTCAATACTGTCACTCAAACAAATTAAGTGTAATTTGTATTTGTGAGCTATTCTCTTTGAATAGAAGAAAGCTACAGTATGGGTGATCTTCACATGTCCTAGCAAAACACTGTTTCTTGCAGCAACTCCAGATTCGCCATGTCCCGTCACTTGATTTCTGCTTTACATGCATGGCAAAGTCAAGTGCACCTCACTGTAGAAAGCAGGACAGCCACGATTGCCTTCCTTACCTTTTTTTTTTTTTGCATTCTTCCGCGTCGTTCCAGGTGAAGGACGCCCTGATCGCGATTGCTTACGAAGACGGGAGTCCGTGCCAGGTGCATCGCATGGGACCCGCCGTCTGCCAAAGGAACTGGGAGCGCTGGCTGCAGAGGCTGAGGAGCTACTGGGACCTGGTCTCTCAGGACACGCGAGCCTCCTTGTAGGAAGTTGTCACATAAACGTCTGCCGCCAGTTCGTTGCGTCCAATTTCCCGAGCGAGAGAGAGCGGGCAAGCACCTCTGCAGTTCTGTTGCAGCGATGCTCTGCCAAAACATGGCCACCCTCGTGACTTCTTCGCTAACTTCTTTATTTCTCACACGACGGGACAACTCGTTCCGTTACATCAACAAGCTTTACATGGAGAGGCCCCGACAATCTGACATGGATCTTTCACAAAAAGAAAAAAAGGTAGAGGGCACTCTCACCAAGTTTTGTACTCATAAACGTGGCAATCTCGCACCACAACATCCAGACAAGCAAAGGTGGACTCCGAGTCAAGAGGAGAAACCATTTGACCTTCAACAAGCTGGACATCGCCGAGAAAAATCTTCCCATCCGACCAAAAAAAATCCCTGCGCTTGTCTTTTCTAAAAACGATAATTGCGGAAGATTACTCTTCTAAAGCCGCCACGTCAGGCCAGTAGCAAACCGCCACCAACTCGGGTAAATCGGCGAAAACTAAATTTTGCTGTGCAGTGAAGCGCATGTGCCTGGCTGCAGGGAACACAAAGTACTCTCACAAGAGCAGCCTTTCCATTATGCCCACTACTGCGATGCAGAAAAACAGCTAAACAAGTTCGCTCGCGATGTTACTTAGTACTTAGAGTTGAACGTCTGGAGCGATGAAACAGTGCACAAACAGCCTTCCTGCATTACCGCCACACAATGTTGCGTGCGAAACCTTCAGCGAGCACAACCACTTCAAAGCGTGTGGCTATTCGTCCAGAAAGAGGTCGGTATGTCACCAGGGGGGCTCTTTCAACGCATCACCCCCTCGGTCAGTCACTACCTAGGCTGTTTGAGCTGCGACAGCACTCCGCAGTCGAGTTTCACTGTTGGGTACATGGAAACCCCAATACAGTTTCTCACGATACCTCCTCTTGTACGTCATACTGCGGGAAGATGGAGTGGCAAGCTTTTGTTTTAATTTCGACGCAAGCCACAAAACACGGCGGAATCACGAGAGAAAAGATTCCAAGGTCAAGTCTGATATTGCACGCCAACGGAAAAAGTAAAAAAAAAAGGGGAACGACAGCACACTCGGCATCGGAAACACATGACGTGGTTCAGTGCCAAAATATACTTATTGGCAATGTTTGCTAAACTCTCGAACACCGCAAGAACGACTCTGACCACGGGGGGCATGGGGCGCTTCCGTCTCAAAAGCTCGCACCTTCTTTATTCGACGCAAAGAAATAAGAAAAAAAATATCTAAAAACTCAAAACTCAGATGTGCTACTCTTCGCGCCTCAGCCTTTGGTTTTTTTTTTTTTCTTTCGCTTTCTCTCCGCCACTATTTTTTTTTTACTTTGCTCTATTTGAAATGAGGATAAAATTAACGGTGTGGCGACGACGACGATAATAATAACAACGGTAATAATTGTACAACACTGGGATGATGAAAGGGAGGATGTGCCGTTGTTGTCTTCGTGTGGTTGCTTGCGTGTGAGTGTGTGCACGTGTTTGTGTGTGTTCCACGTTGCTGTCCTGTTGCTCGTGGTGTCTGGGGTGGGGGGGAAGGGCACTAGCGGTGGTGGTAAAGTTGGTTAATCGCCTCTCCAACTCCTCCAGCGCACGGTGTTTGGACTACCGCAGCATTCCCTACTTCCTCCCCGCCTCCTTCAGTCTCCTTCCCGCCGCTGAAGAACGCCGGTCACCCAATCGCCGGCCGGCTCGTTCGCTGCCGTTCTCGCGGAAGTGAAGGGTTCTGACCTGCATCGAGAGAGAGAGAGAGAGAATTTGTCGGTAACCTTTATGCGTCCTCTACCGCCCGTTCGTCGGAAGTGGTTCCTAAGTGGTCAACAAACGGCATCGCGGAAGCCGGAGTGTCGTGCCATTGGATGTCGCCGTCCTGGCGGTTGGTGCCAAAAGTCGCGTCAAAGAGTATGAGAGGGACCACTTTCGAGGATGCGGTAAATGCACTGGTTGGACACACATTCCAGACATTGTGGTCCAAAGAGTCCCGTGACAGACTGAATCCAGTAACCAAGGAGCGATAGTTTTAAGCTTGCTCGAAAGCCCGGTCGTTTCGCGTAAAGACCCTGGACAAAGTTTGCGTTTCCGACCAGCATCTACAACCACTGTAGCGCGCACACGTGCCATGAACGAGTGTTGTGCCACTGTCGGCATCCGAGGGCCGCACAAGACGCACGCCTCGCGCGTTGGGCGGCGCGCTTCCACGGCTGTCAGCTAGGTGGCGGCGCAAGCCGCCACCCGATACCGGTGCACACCGGATGAATTCAGTCTGCCAACAAGTAATGTGAAGGCGGTGCACGACCGACGCCTTTTCACACATACAATGCGGCACCGTAATTAGTGCCAAATTTAGCTCCGAATGAGCACTGTACTCCCTCTCCTCACCGCCGAGGTCTCCTCCTCGCAACTTGCAACACTGTAAGGTACCCCATTGTGGCGAGACCAATTTCGATGCTGGTGACATAGGCGCACTTGGCACCAAGTTCATCTGCTGTTGCGGCAAGATCACTTCGCTCCGAGAAAAAGAAAAATTTACGGTATTGAGGGCAAGCTCTGTGTTTCGTAGGTATTCTTTTTGCACACCGCCAAACATATTAATCTCAAATGGGAGTGTCGCCGGAATTGTGAGCACTGCGACACATCCTTGCAGAATTATTAAAACCCAAGCATCTCGGTGAGGTTCATGCACGCACGAAAGAATAAGCACGTGGTATTAACACAGACATTTTTCGAAAAGACGTCTGTACCACCCTTTTGTGTGTCTAGATATAGTAACATCCTTGCAACATCTCTGATCAGAAACGTGAGACAAAGCCATAAAACCGTTCACCTCTGCTACATCTGCACTGTATTTGCAAGTGCTTCATCAACGCTAAGGTCAGTGCTGTTTCCAGAGCTGAATTGGCCCTGGATTAGAGCCACACTGTATGCGTGAACCGTCTTTTACCGGTCTTTAGGTGGAGAATTAAATTACTGGTTAGTGCATTTATGACCGATTATTTTTTTCTTTTATGAAAATGTAAAAGCTTCGAACAAAAAACGCATTGTTTTCTTTCTCCGACAACAGAATCTTGTAAGGTTGAAGGTTCGGCGCTGTACATGCGCCGAACCTTGCACTGATGTAGCATCAGCGGACATTTTGGTAGCCATAAATTTCGCACCACCAAACTCTTTTTTTTTTTTTTTGGCAAGAACAAGTAGAAACGACGTCTTGTGCAAGTCACGTATGGGCCCAGAGAAGCCAGGACCAAAGAAAGACTTACCTAATCGGAAGACGGTGACGAGGGTTTTAACTTGCTGTAGACTTCCTCGATGAAACTTCGCCTGCAAGCAAAGCAGACAGACTCTGGAGTTAGTGGAAGCAAAATCCCTTCAAACGCCATCCTCTTTTTTTTAAGGACAAAGATACTGAAATTGGTCGCTAAACTCTATTTTCCATAACGGGAATACGTTACATTTCTCACTCTGGAAATGCACGTCGCACTCTGGAAATGCACGGTGGCTCTGCCAAACTACAGTTCTGTGGAATCGCCACACGTGTGAAAGATTTGCACTAAATAGTTGTAGTTATGCGCTCTGAGATAGTGTGCCTAACGTTTGATGCTAGACTCACTTGGCTATAATAGCACCCGTCCGAGTGAAACTAAATGTCTCAAGTCGAAAGTTTAATACTTTGCCCCCCACAAATAGTTTACCGAGCAGTGGTTGGGAAAACTGGTTTGTCGAGCCAGTTTTATGTCTTCCTTATCGGCCTATGTTTATACGTCGGCCAAAACCCAGCGACAAGATACTGTTGTACACCACGTGACACCATTGGTGCAAACAAGCCATCCCCTTCTTTTTTTCTGTTAGTATCTAAGGGCTGTCGTCAAAACTACCAGTGTGGCAGAAAGCGTTAACTTGGACCACTAACCTAAGCTGTACAACCCCATGCCCGCCAATGCCCCTTGAAGTAAAATACAAAAAAGCGTCGACGTCATCTTTGCACCAAGTGCTGTGCAGTCTACATTGCAGGACGCTCGCAGCGCCAAACACATGATGAGGGAATGTCACCAGACGAAAAGTTTAAAATTGCAGTATATTGATTAATATTTGACTGAAATTGCTGCTTAAAGGCGATGTAAAATATTGATGCTTCCCAAAAAGTTGAAAACTTGTGTGCCCGGTATAACAGGATCATCTCCGAGAAAAAGTGCCAAGTGGAATGGTACATGCTCTCTAAAAAAAGATGAAAAAGTAGGTTTGGTATTCATTGTGAAATTGTGGCCATACTAAAAAGTGAAGTACGCTTAGGGTTTCCAAGCAATGCACTCATATTGTGAGTCTGCTTTTTAAGAGGTAGCCATGAGTTAGGTGTGTGTGGCCCATTAGCAGTCAACACAAGAAAACTTTGTCAAACCTTTCCCGACGTCTCGCACTGCGTCAATCACTCAAAATAGACATAACACTGGAGCTCATTGTGAGGGTCAGAGTCTGGCTCCATTTGCCAGAAATGTTCTATCTTGTTTCACAGAGTAGCTCCATAGTCTGTCACTGGGATGGTGTAGGTTTCAATGGGCCTGTTTATGCACGCACTTGCCGCTCGGTCAGCTTCTTCATTGCCGTGTGTACCCAATCGGCTAGGCACCCAGCAAAACTGAATATCAATTTATTTATCAGGGTGTCTAGCGACCGGGAAAACCGGGAATTGTCAGAGAAATATTACCTACCGGGGAAAAATCAGGGAATTGTCAGAAAGCGAGCCCAGTCAGGGAAAATGAGCCGGAAACGCCAATGAGTGAGTGCCCTAAGCAAAGACTTGGGGGCAGAAATATAGACAATGAATTCTGCTTAGAGCTGAGCGCAGGCTCTGCTCACTCGATGTAGTGTGCGCTATCCGACGCAAAGAAAACAGCCGACAAATCCAGTCCAAAGATTGGATTGGATTGAGAGCGCGACACTAGGCTAGATCCAGTCAGAGCTACTAGTAGTAACAAATGGGGAAAGCCGCAGACCCCAATCCAATCCAAGCCTTAAGCCGAAAGTATCCGAAAGTACATCTGGCAGCCATGTTGCCATTCGGTTATTGACGTGCGTGGTTCAGCACAGTGTTTTCATCACGTTTCCGGAAGTGGCCTCTTCACTGATGATGTCAGCGGCAAGAACGTGCTCGTTTAATCCGGACTGGACGAACCCGAATATTTCGGAATATGCAAGTTAGATTAAGCCCTTGCAAAACGATCTTCACTGTGCTCAATCCTCAATGCCTTGTGTTGTAATGGTCTTATATATTTAACTGCCTCTAGAGTGATCAAGGAATTTCACCTGAAATTGTCATGGAAAACCTGGAAAAGTCAGGGAATTTCAAAAGAATAATTTGCTAGACACCCTGTTTATTCTTTCTTAGGGCATTATAACAAAGTAAGTAGACGAAAGGGTTTTTAGAGGATGTCGCAGAGTTAAGGGCAAGGAGGCAACTGAGTGAGTGTGAAAATATCATAAATTTTCTATATTTTTATTTAATTATGTGGTCCACAGCCAATATCAGCCCTTGAAGCTCAGCAGCAATCACGAATGCATCAGGGTTAATTTGTCTAACACACTGGACGGACTGTCGTATCGCAGCAGAGGCAACATAACCAGTGCCCTTTGTCCCATCGGTGAAGGAACTTCTGCCCGTCTCGTAATGACTCGCAATCTCAGAGAAGCCCCGCTTTATAACACCGGCAGCAACGGATATTTTGTATTTTGTTAAAGAGAGGTTGCACGTTATGGCTACATCATCCCAAGGAGCAAGTCTGTCTGGAGTTTCCGTAACAGGACGGGATATATCAAAACCGTGCTTCCCTCCGGCACCTTTCGCACGGAGTGCAGAGGGACGTATTACAGATGGCTCGATTTAGAAGACCCGTATGTATTTCGCGTCTCCAATGAAAGAAAAATTTGGACGTTGAGGAAGGGTATGAAGTCTCAGAAAGTGCCGCGTGCCAAGATAAAGCCTTCGTTTATCCAGCGACCACTTATCCGCCTCAGCATACGAGCCAGGCACTGGCAATGTTAAAAAAAACTCCAATTGCCAGTCGGATCCCAGCTTGGAAGAGATATCGTCGGTCGCAATGTCGTCTTTTTTCGAGGCACGTGTCCGAGTCGCCGAAACGTGCGACTCGGGAGGTCTCGCGGTACGCAGCTACGAAACGAAAACGGAAGTTATCGCGGAGGTTCGGGCGCGCGGTCCGCACTCACTTGGCCAAGATGCCGCCGCCGGGGGGCAGCCCGGGGAGCTCCTCCTCTGCGAGGACCTGGATGATGATGTTCATCCCAATCTCCGGACAATCCACCAGAAGCTCTGCAAATGAGGGTGCAGACCGGACAAGTTGGGACGTCAGAAGAGATGGCCCCGGAGGGTGGCCTGTCTGTTCCACCCCACGCCCGCAGACGGGACGAGGACACTGGGAAGATCCCCAGGTCGTCCCGCCTCTAACGCGAGCTTCCCATCTTCCGTAACACTCGTGCGTCTCGAGAGCTTCGGGCACGTGCGTGCAGCCAAACCCCACGAGAGGCAACGAGCTCACGCGGGAGGTCGGGCGCACGAGAGAGAGACCCTGTCCTTTTCGTCCCGCAAGCACTCATAGACGGCAATGCGGCAATGCCGTGGCGCCGAATCGTCGGCGTCGTCTACAAACGGCCGACACGGAGCAAAGGTCGGACGCGAGGGTTGCGTCGGCGCTCGGCGGGAAGCCACGTTCGACCGGCAAGAACGAAAGTTCTGGCCAAACACCGACGCGGCACTGGCGTCCAATCCGTGCAATGTTTTGCCCCCTCGAAGTCTCGCTGAAAATTCGGCATACGACATTGCTCTCTGGACGTCACCGTACCCTGCACCCCCAAGCCCGGGAGACGGACGCGGGAGAAAATTCTAGAGACAACTTCGGTTCCTAGATTACTATATTCCTTCTCTCCATTTTGCGCCGTCTAATGAAAATTTTGCGACGTTTCAGCCAGACGACTTCTGTTGTCGGCGCAAATGTAGCAGACTTGGCCACTCGCCGAACCGCCAAATACTGTGCAGCAACGTCCTCAGTCTTGCCTTGGCGCCCAATGTTGCACGCCACTTTAATGGACTGGACGGTTTTGGCGACCCGACGGCGGTTGAGGGGTAAGGGAACTGCACCCCAAAGTAAGCAAAGAGAAGAGACTTGCCTGTGATTCTCTTCTCGATGAGGACGTTCACCTCCTGGTCATGCTTGAGGGCCTCCTCGCTCACCGTCGGCGCACCGGGAAACAACACCAACACAATGCTCATGTTGTCCTTGCTCCCCTGCGCCAGACAACATGTCGACGCGGTCAGCGTCGTGTCGAACCCTGGCGTGCCTCGCACAAAAATACTCGACCGAAAGTCGTTCGGGGGCAACCAGAGGTCCGTCTAGTGCAGCGACAGGGTTCTAGGAAAACCGCCGCCACTGCAGTGCATTTTTACAACGGACAGCATAATGCGTCGACGGGAGAGAAAATTGTTCCGGGTGTGTTCGAGTTCACTCAAAGAGGCCGCTGTGACAACCCTGTCAAAATTGTGCACGTCTAGCACGTCAACTTAACTATCGTCAGTTTTCGTATTCACTCCGCACATTCGGTGAAACTATCTCATGGCGGGGCAAAACCACTAAGATTAGTTGTACCGACATTTTGCCAAAACATTTATGCTGGAGAATGTAAACCCATTATGCAATGAAAAGCACCCATTATGGGCATACATATCTATATTAGCCACACCATTAGTTTGGGCTTTATCCCTCTAGAAGCTTTTAAAAAAAATACAAAAACTGCCAATATCACATTAAAGCTAAGCGTAAACAGACAATCACCAGTCAATTTCTTTTTCCATTTACACCCGAAAGGTTATTACTAAAGCTACTACTTGCTCACTAGAGGAGGCACCAACCTAAGCAATAAAGTCTGGTAGTCAATAATACCCTGCATGTGAAAAAAAAAAAAAAAAAAAGTCTGGCTGCCGTGTTTGCATTAACTGTGCCGTGCCGTGCACACTGCACGACAAAGTTACCGCTGGAATGTGTCCAGGACACGGGCATATCCTTACGTCGCTAATTACAACCTCTCAGTTACAACACAAAGACAAGAGAAGCTGGACGTCATTCGTTCACGTTACACTGCGCCTTGCACAGTATGCTATAGGAGACGGCACAAAAGATAGGAAAGTGGTCTAGGACTGCCACGCACAACATGCAAGACGGGGCACCCTCTTCTGACAAAACGGACCGCTTCACGTCGGGTGCGAGCGAACCCAAGCTACAAGTACGAGCACATTTCCCCGAACTATGTTTGCATTGCACGAGCATGCATGCCCAAGATGCCGAAAGCCCAGAGCTCGCTCTCATGTAGGCACTAGCGGCGCAAGAAACTCAGGGTGCGGCTCCTTATGTTCACGAGCCTCAGTATTCTTTCTTATCAGCCGATGCTGCAACCTCGCTGGCCACAGAGCGATAATAGGACGTCCAAAACCTGCTGCACCCTGCGTTTCTTAGGCCGTCAGTGACTACAGCTTCGGGCATGCTCGTAGCTTCCCCACATCGCATCCCCACACCGAGGAGAAGCCGAGACGGCCGAAACGGATGGCATCTGTCGACGCACCCGGTAGAGGCAGATGTCGATGACCGCCGAGCACACTGCCTCCAGCGAGTCGGTCAGCAGGAGCTGGTGCCGCACGAACTGGCACAGCTCCTCATTGCTCAGCACATCCCAGATGCCGTCGCACGCCAGCACCATGAACTCGTCCGTGGCCAGCTCCCGCGGCCGCACCGTCACCTCGGGCTCGGGCGACACCAGCTGCTCGCAGGGGCCCCTTCCGGCCACCTGCTTGTACTCAAAGTCCCCGAGGGCCCGCGACACCGCCAGCGACCCGTTCACCCGCTGGATCATCACGCTGCCGCCTGCCCGCTGGATGCGCTCCTTTTCGCCCGGGTTGATGGGCTTGTGGTCGCGCGTCGAGAAGGCCGGCGCCCCGGCTCGGCACAGCACAGCACGCGAGTCCCCGCAGTTGGCGAAGTACAGGTGCGAGGGTGACACAAGCGCGCACACCGCCGTCGAGCCGCTCTTGTCCTCGCCCGAGGCCACCTCTGGGATGGCTCGCATCTGGTCGTCCAGGCAGAGGAAGCCGTTGCGGATGCCCGTTGACACCTGCTCCGCCGTCTCCTCGCCGCCAGAAACCGTCTGGGCGAATTCCTCCGTCTGGATGATAGAGTCCAGGAGGTTCTGGGCGCAGTGGGCCGAGACGCGGGCCCCGGCGTGCCCGTCAAAGACGGCGAAGAAGCTCCAGCGGTCCAGGCCGCAGGGGAGGCCCACGACGGCGCAGTGAGCGTCCTCCATCTCCACTCGCCAGCCCTGCATGCTTGACAGGGCGTAGCGCAGGCCGTTGCCCAGGCCGCACTCCGTGTGCTTGTCCATTTTCGGCTTGTCCAGGAAGGCCCCCATCTTGAACAGCCTCCGCTTAGAGGTGCTCCTGCGGCGACGCCAAAAGACCAGGCCACGTCGATCAGCCGGCGTCGGTACGGCATTTGAGGCACATTTACAGTCTAAACTTTTCCGGCATGCGGCAACTTCACGTTGGCTACTAATCAGACGAAAATCCGACCTCTCCGGAGTCAAACTTGTTCGACACTGCCGCGCACTGTAGCATGCCGTCTGGAGAGCATGCATAAAACGTTCTGCCAAAAGCGTAGTATCTATCATCAACTATACAAGTCTGTGCCCGAGCCACCTTGGTTGTCTTGCCACCTCTACAAAAAGCGCCCATGCAATATATCCTGGTCTGGTGTTCCAGCGCAGCAAGTATGAAGATGGAGTATGTTCCATCTCCGTGCAAAAATTGCGTCGGTTATTTCGGGATGCCAAACTCAAAAGCTTTGTTTTACGCCGACATAATGTCACAAAGCCGCACATGCATGATACACCAGACTAAATTAATCTACCCCTTCAAATCGTCAAAAAAAAAAAAATTAACGTGTTAAAGGTCACCTCTCTCAGCTCGAGTGTCATGGCGAGACCTGCACATTGCAGTAGAACCCAAATCGACAAACCCTAAATTTGGAGAGTCTAGCTTTAACAGTTGGTGCGCTCCCTGTAGAGGTGCCACGGCATGACGTCGCTCACATGTTGCATCTGGCAGATCGCCACAGCTGAAACGTAGCCATCCTCCTGCCAGTCATCACACATGCTTACCTTAGTTGAGTCACTATCCTCGAGCAACTGTAGATGCGAAACATGGTTAAACGTTCCCTACCACCGCATGCGACACAGTTAATTCACTTCTTCTTCAGTCTCCCATTTTAATATTTCAAATAGTTCCCTCGATCTATGGTACCATTTCACACCAATATAGACCATACCGAACAACCCAAGCGAGAAAGAACAGTCAGACATTGGCTAGGCAGCATGTCGCATCGCTTGTGGCCCTAGTCTATTTTTTCAAGCCGTAGTCACTGCCCTGGTCAATGAGAAATGGCTATGAGCTCGTAACCACCCTATCATCTTTGAGCAACCTGTCACTTTACCGGGATCGTCAGTTTCCCCCACGTTCTGAAACCATTGAGTCGAGACGCGGCACCTAATCTCGGGACCGGACCGCCCCCCCTCCGGAGGGCAGAGGGTGATCTGCAGATAAGTACAATCCCAAGGAATCGTTTGTCTTAAGGCTGGCAATCTGCTTCGAGTTATCTACTTGCTGTTACTAGAACAAACTGTCTAGGGCAGCCAGGAGAAAGCTAGAGCACAGGACTCGTAAGTATGGGAGGTTCACAAGCAGCCTATAGAAAACATCACTCCTATCCTTAGTCACCCAGCACAAGATATTGTGGGGTAGAGAAGAAATTTAGACTCAACTGAGGAATATTCTGCACGTAAAGTAGCAAGTGGAAGAAACCTGGTACTTTACTTGCAATGAGTGCTCGAAACTAGAGATTTGGGTGCAATCAATCTAATCCATCAAATGGCACATTAGATGGACGAGAGTCGGGTCTGACGTCAACCTCTACAGTGTACACTGGACTGCACTTTGCTTATTTCTACAGACACAGTACAGCAAACAGGCAGCTCCATGGAACACAGTTGCAGATTCTCCCTAGCTTCAATGCAAGTACCAATGCTTCAGCATCATAGAAATCCAGTAGGTTACCAGACAAGACTCCCTGCCAAGCTAAACTGGACAGAAACGAGAGTCGGTGACAAGTTGAAAGTTCAGGGGAAACTCCTCCCGCCCCTTTCCACTCTAGAGAAGTCAATGCTGAAGAGGAGGCAGCCTCCAATCCAGCATTCTCTGTAAAAGTGGAAACTCTTAACCAGCCACCGACTATAGTGTTGGCAAGAACCGTGGCAGCAACCCCTCAGCAGCCTTCAGCTGCGCTTTAGCGATCCCCACCTCAGCGAGTACAAGTGATCCACAGACGCCAGAAGTCTGGTTTCACAAATGCCTCACACTTGTCTGCAACAGTACACACTGAAATATTGCTCGGCAAAGGTTTCAAGAACAAGCAGACAAGTCGGAAACTGCCAAACAACCTGATATTGACTGCTGATAGTACAAGCCTCCTCATCTAAAGAGGAGAATTAGCCGTGCAAAAAAAGAGACTTGGAAACAAGGGCGATCTGACAAATACCATAGGCCAGGTCGACTGACATGCCAGCGACGATTTATATAATGCGCCAACTTAACTGGCACCAAGACGAGTGCGAAACTAAACCATCCCCAAACTCACAGTGATTTGCTTGCCCGCACCGCCACAGTTTTCGTTGTCTGCTCGAGGGCTCCTCCTCACGTGTTTCCAAGCAACAAAGCACACATTTTGCGCACTGACCAAAAATAGTCATAAAAAAAAAGGTCAGCCGCAATCTTCTCCTACACTTCCGTCTCCCTCGCGAGATAAGTCGCCCCCTCGGAGAGCACGATAGTCTGGCGTGAAAACAGGGCTACCGCAGTCCGTGCCCCGAGGCTGGCCTTCACCAAAACAACTGCCTTCCTCATTTGAAATCCGACGAGAACCGTAAAAGAGCTACCATCAACTGAATCTGACCGGTTAAAAACAGTCCATTTGGATTGATGCAAGGCCATCTGGTTTCGGCGGTAGTTCTGAGGTAACCAATCTTTGGTACCAATTTTAATATAGAAATTGGCCTTGCATGCACGTTAAAACTTTCACCAAAGGTGCACCGAGCATGTCAGTCCTACCGTGTGAAAATTTCGACGCATAGTTCTCTTTCTGTAAAAAAAAAATAAGAGCAATAAATTTCATGTTAAGCACGTTCGCAGACGGCCAAGTCGCAGATCCCATTAACTTGCAATGCTGTCTCCGAATGGGTGCAGCGAGCAGACGACGCACCCCGTCATCTGCTTGCTGCACACGCCGTTAGATTGCGCTACAACTCAAAAGGCGTCGGTTACTTGGTCGGCTGCAAACGCGCGTGACGTACACTTTGGCAGATTTTCTGTTCTCATTTTTTTTACGGGAAGATATCTGCGCCTTGCAATTTCCCACAGTAACACTGACCTACTCGGCGCACGTTCGGCGAAGGTTCTAGCTCTTCAGGTACCAGGCCCCGATTTTTCTGGCACGTTTTACGACAGAACGTTCGCTGGGGGCACCCTACGCAACTTAGACAAGGTTTTACAATACCTGCGAGATCAACTACAAGCACTGTCTATGATAAATGGTCACGTGTAACATTCTTAGAATTATTTGAAGCCCACAGTGACTACATATGCAGATCAGAAATGTTGCAGGGCTAACCAATAGATAAAGCCGGTGTTTTCTCTAGTCGTGGGCGGCCATAAGCGGTTGCAACGCATTGGTCACAGTTAACGCAACATGTGTAAACCGTAGAGCAAAAAAGACCCGCGAGCTTGTTTTCAAGCTGGTAGGTTCTTTGTAATGTAATGTAATTTATGTATTACGTGCAAGGACTCGCTCAATTACCTCCCACAGAGAAAGAAACAACCTAGGGCACGACAAACACCAAGCAGGGTCTCCAAACAGCAAATCCCCATTTTCGCTCACACGGCGTAACAACTGTGACGAGAACACCTCGACTTAATTTAAAGGCATCGGCCAGTCGTCTTCGGTGAAAGGAAAATTGTCTTTCGATCCTTTTCGGTATTTCCAACGCAGCTTCGGTTCTGCCGTACACCGCCGTCAGGATGCAACATTCCGAAAACTTGCGATGCGGCACGTGTCTGGCAAGCTTCGGTGCAGAGGTGGCGGCCCCGCTTGCACGAAAGCTCTCGCTCGGAAAACAGCCGTTTGGTGGAAGCGAATCCGTCGCAACACCTGCCGCAACCGTGCCGCACAGATGTGGCAGGTTACGAGGATACGAGAAAAACTCCTAGAGCCTCGCAGAACGCTTCTGTTTTGGTGCGTCGAACCCGCACCTGGCAAGAATTGGGTACAGCTCAGTCAATCGCCGGTCTCCATGGAAGTCGTCGGACGTTACGTCGACGGGCTTCAAAGATGAACGGCAGCGGTCGTGCCAACAAAGAGCTCTTCGTTCGTCTGGAGAATATGGAGCAATGCGTGGGATGCAGTCATGCTTCTTGGATAGTTATAATACTCTCAATGTATCTTTCTCCCATCCTAGATTTTTTTTTTCTCAGCTTTGTTTGTAGGATTAGCTGATGCTAAACATATTCAGTGTCTCGTTAACTCCTTACAGTAGAGTTGTATGGACGGCCTACCAGGGTGAAAATGAATGTCATTTTTAAAGAGTACAAATTACTTCTCCTTTACACACCTTCCATTGGAATAATGTGACGTATTAGGATAGTTGGTTTTTTGAAGTGAGCATCTTGGGAAGGGAACAGCAGCAAAAAATCTTGGACAAATATGAAAACATTCCATTGAAATGTCTCCATATTTATATTTCCACAAAACTGAAGAGTGAACCAGTCTGCCAGCTGACCTGAGAATACATTGTCTGCCACAGTCTATAAATATGTGGGTTAGTTTTATAGAGCAGATGGTATTTTTATATTGTTTTTTTGTCAGTCATTAATTCTCAACGAAGTAGAGGGGCTTACTGCCGAATTCACAAACCTCGCCCCAATTGAGGCGCCCTTCCACTTCCTCAAGGAAGGTGCAAGGGCTGGCGCTGGGCAATCGCGATTAGCCAGCGCCGGCCCTCGCGCCTTTCTTCATGAAGTGGAGGGGCGCCTCAATTGGAGTGAGGTTTGTAAATTCGGCGGTTAGAGCGACCAACTGGTATCCCGTTCACCGGGCAAAAGTGACTCCCACTTGGCTGCTGCCATGTTGTACAAGTTTGACCACTTGACACATGACCGTACCAAATCCTGAGGCTTTTACGCAAAACCGAGCCAAGATTTGTATTGTGATCGCTGTAAAGAAACATGATAAACTATTTTTCAATACTGTTAGCCCCAGATATCAGTGTAACTCCGATAAAAACCCAAAATACAGCACCGCAGCTGACGGCATCTAGCGGAGGCATTGCAAAGCTGCCAGAGTTTTTATCATAAAAAGCACTAAACATAACTTATCCTGTCAGTACTGTTACTACAGGGGTGGAACTCACGAAATGTACTTCGGAGCAGCCACGGGAGCAGCTGAAACTGCTCTTCTGGAGCAGGTTGGGAGCAGCTAAAACTACATTCTGGAGAAGGCTAGAAGCAGCTCAGATCAGTTTATATTGCACATCAGCTTCTGTCTTAGACGAGCTCGAGAGCAATTTCAATTGTGCTTAGCAGCACAGATGAACATGAGTGGTTCGATACCTAAGTAGCTGGGGTAACAGTGTAACAGATGCGAAAACTTGGCGTGAGTGAGAACCACAAAGCAAGCCCCACATGTTTCTGAAGATAGTGTCGTTGATAATTTCTGAGGGGCTTTCAGCTGCTCAAGATGCAAACCAGCACTGCTTATCGCACAGCCCACATATGCTCGACATATTAATTATATGTGCGAACCACGTGACGTGCGTAAGCAACGGATGTGCAGTCACGCGGAGGAACAGGGCAACGAATTTCGAGTTTATCCCATTGTACAACTCAATATCGAAGCAGCAGACTACGATTAACGGAGTTATTGTATTCGGAGCAATAAGCAGGAGCAAGGTAAAGGACGCCGAGCGGATCTACTGCTCGCGTGAGCGCTGCTGGCCGGCAAGGTTTTGAATCGGACTGCGTTTCAGTTCAATTAAGTCACGATTTATCTTCCGGGATTGAAGTTCCAACTTCTAACGATGAAGTACTAAAAGGAATATTTTGCTTATTTGTTTTCAACTGGCTGATGTCCGGATCCCGGGCCGCAGAGCCTCAGGCAATCTCACCTCGGTCGACTTACTTAACCGCTTATGGTTGAAGAATAATAATCCAGTGGCAGGTGACGTAGCGCTTGGAATCGGACCCCCGAGTTTTCTCGCGTGCTTTCGACTCGGGATACACAGGGAGAATAAACGGAACAAAAATTTGCAAGGCCAACCAAGCTTAACGTGCTCATTGTTGCCAATCGAGTCGATAAAAACCGAAACCAAGAAAAAATATAATTTTTTTTGCCGCACGTTGAGCGATTTGGAGCACAATGGCGCGAGGAATCGGCTGTGGCGCAGCTCCCGCAAAATGGCGCAGGATGGTGCAGGCGTATGCGTCTGGCGCAAAATGGCGCGAATGGCGCAGCCGTTCCACCCCTGTACTAGAGATCAGTGAGCAATCATTCGTGTGCGGTACTTCGTTAAAATCTAGACGCAAAACTATGAAGTCACGTGTCCCTTACAGCTGCCAGTTTATTGCCCTAAGGCCCGCTACCTTGCTGATAATTCTGCACCTCTTGGTTATTGTCTTCCGAGACCTGCTCTACTAAGGCCAACCCTTGGACAATCTCTAAAGGTTCAACCCAGTTAAAAAATAAAAGGTCAGCTTCTAGGTAACGTTCCAAATGCATAAAAATTGCATAGACACGAAGATGAGCCTTTTTGGACAACATCCAAGGATTGTCCGTGACCTCACGGATTACCAGTGTTTTTCCTCATGACATTGCAAAATGTGCTTGTGATGCCAGAGGAAATCTCGGAGGGAATTCTTCTATTTCTAAGGCTATATGTAATATTATAATAAATTTCTTTGTTCAATTAGAATTTGGATGACTGGATATATGCGGTATCCCCTATCACAAAAAATCCCTGATATAGTTTTGAGACCGTTGTAGACATTTAACTGGAATCGCAGCTTAACCATTTCAAGGCTGCAAAAAGGCACCAGATAGGACACACTTCACTAATCGGTAAAAACACTGCAAAAATGCAAATCTCTGCAGGTACCCCAGGCCAGTTTTTCAATACAGTGCACATGAGTTATGCTAACACCGTCCAAGAGAGGAGTACCAGATCCATATTAGATGAGTAGACCATTATGGACCAAAACCCGGAGGCCAGGAAGAACAAGGAACGACGCAACACATAAATCTCAAGCACGGCCGATATTTACTTGAAAAAGATCCCGTGTCCGAGTCTTCTGTGTCGTGCCGTCTATCGTTCTCCAACGGGGTATCAGTCTATTGTGTTCAGCCACATCACAAGTTCGTTAATGCCCCAATTTTATGCTGAGTAGCCTGATCAGGGTTTAGTGTTAAAGAGCTAGAGAAGTCTCACAGGAACCACTGTGAAGAACTTTGGCAGTAATATAATGGTCCAGAGGAAGCCAACTCCCGGGGAAACACCGTCTGCCAGTCTGGGGTTCCCGGAGAGTTTATTTCCAAGTTCATTATGCACGTCTCCATGCCTGGTTTGGGAGGTTTTGACATGGGTTCAATACTAAAGTAACAGGACACTCGTCAAAAAGACATGTAATGTTTCTTGTTTACACTGGTCTAGCTGTGGACAACTGTTTCCTGCAGTCACCTAGCTGAGCACAGAAATCAAGTGGAGAATCTGCAGCATGTAATCACGCATGCTAGGCTCGCATATGATAACCAAAATGAAAACATCACGAACGACACGTCAAACACATTGAGGCTCTTAGACTTCGTGGGTCGCTCGTTCTAACAGCAATCAAAAAGAAAGAAAAAAACGCTAAGATTTGTAATTTGCTGCTGGCGCTCGACTCCATGAAGGCAATCAGCTGTCTATGACATCATCAACACCGAAGTCACATTTCCCACCAGCAGCTGCGGCGACGGAAACCCGCAGGCACCTACCGACTAGTGAGCCAAAAGTTGCCGAACGAAAAGCTGAACTCTCATGGCAAATTCATCACGACGATAAACGCCTGTAAGGGAGGGAGGCATTACGAAACTTGTCGTGCCGAGTCCGCAATTAATACAACGATGCACCTAACAAGCAAAAAAAAAAAAAAAAAAAACGATAACACCTGCGTAAGGTGAGCTCAACTAGCCATACACGACTATAGCGTCGTCTGCAACATTTTTTTTTCTTCGTTTCTCGGTAAATTGCTTGCCGTCTCGTCTGTGTCTGGCTTTTCGCGTTGGTTCTCGTGAAGCGTCCTTGCCTGGCCCAGACTTTTAAACGCGCTACCGCGGTGAAGAACAGAGCGATGGTGGAGTGCTTTAGACGCCGTTGACACTCCGGCCTCTCGGCGTGCAGGGATTCAGAACCCTTGGAGAACAGCGAGAACCGACAGTTACGCAAGCTAGCGGCGGTAGGTGATGCGTCGTCAAAAGGAGGCAGCGATGACTCACGCCGAAGAAAATGCCCTCCCTTTCTCTCGCCCTCGTGGGGGTTGCCACAATCAATAGATGTCACCGGAGAGAGCAAGATTGCAAGCGCACGCACAGCTCACACACCGGCAGGGTTAGTCATACGTGCAGAAACGGGAGGGTTACTCTCCCCCCTTCCAAAGCAAGGAGGAGACTTTCGTTGTTTTTCTTTTGTGCGTGTGTGTGCTCTACAGTTGTTTTGGCTCTCCACTTTGCACCACTCGCCCACCGACAAATAAATGTCCGCGGCTTGAATTTCATCTCCCCCCCCCCCCTCCCCTTTTCCCTCCGCCGCAAACACTTCGCAAAAAGCGCGTAAAAACACAACTGACGACGAAGTGACCGTAGTTGAAAAAGCTGCCACTGACGACGACGAAGAGACGGCACCAAGAGCACTGTGTCGGGCAAACTACAGTCCCAGTCGCGTCCGTAAACGCCCGTATCGAGGGGCGACCCAAATGTGTATGACGCATTTAGGCTTAGCAACCGGGGAAACCTTGCGTGATTGAACGTGGCTCGCCTCCCCTCTTCGCCTCCGGCTCTCGCAACCTTCGCGCCGGCGAGGGGCTTTTATTTTTCGTCCCCCATTAACCGGAGCTCTCGATACAGGAAAACGTGTGGGTACGGGGTTTTGGAGAGTTTTTTGTTTTGTTTTTAATTCCGCTTACCTTCTCACAAAGCGGCGGGGACTCACGTGCCACGAAACGACGTTCCTTAGTATCCTTTTCGTCGTGTAGTAGTCACATCGTCATTCAAAAAGAAAAGGACGTCTTCAAAGAGGCGACTTCGGTGAACGTGGAGGCGGATATAAAAGGGAGAGATCACGCATTGCGCTCACGACGGCGCCGGCCGAAGCAGCGAAAATAGTGGCGCGGGCACGGCGTTACGGCAACGATGCGGTGACGACGGCAAACGCGGCGGCAGCATCCACCGTCGGCGTCACACTTGGGATGCACTGTCTCGACAACTTCCGAAGCGTTCACGGGCGCATTCACGACGAGAAACGGACGGCCATGCCAACGGCAGCCAAGGAAAACCCCTCTGCGAAAAAGTCGTCACACGATTTCAGCGTTTTTCAGCCAGCCGGTTCGCTTGCTCCCATGGGTACTTCCGCACAGAACCGATGACGTCATCCTTGAGTTGTTTTGTTTTTTTCTTTTTCCGCAGTTTTTGTTTTTCTCACCTATGTTGCTCACTGTATCGGCCGTACGTTGTGCAGGGTTTCCACAGAAAGACAAGTGTAAGTGCATACGAGATAAAGCGCCAATTAATTCCCGAATGCTTTCATTCTAGAGCGCGCGTTCGTCCGCTTTAATTTCCTTCAAACGTTCTACCGGTTTTGGGCGGTTTGAGGCATGTGCCGCACGCGACTTCGGTACCAGGTTGGTTTCGTTTCCCAACAGCTCCGTCTGCCAAACGAAATATGACTGTTCCCACCCATAAGGGCAATAACGTATCAAAATAACAAAGATATGTTGCAATGCCATATAGCAATTTTAAAAAAAAAAAAAGTTTTTTTTTATCGAGTAGCGTTTTGGTACTATTTTTCTTTAACAATTTTAGGCAGAGCTTCTCCAGTTTTGCTTCAAGCAAGTCAAGAAAATAGCGGGCTCAATGTTGCATCTTCCACGAAGCCCAGACGTCTAATATAAAGACCATGGAGCTGCTAACCATGCTGGAGCACTTGCAATAATAATTTTATGACACTTGATTCTTTTTCAATGCACTAGCATTAAAACGCGCAATTTTAAAAGAACAAGGCGGTGTCTTTCATTTCAAAGCGCCGGGAAGAGAGAGAGTGAAGGGGGAAAAGATAATGCATGCCACGCTCCCATTGGTCTGGAGCACTGACGTCAGCACCATGTCAACCTTTCCCCCTCTCCCCGGCACTGACAAACTGACAGATACCACCGGGTTTTCGTCAAAACGAGCCCTTTCCTTTTCGTCAGTCACATGCACAGCTAGCGCAGAGCCAAAGAGGAGAAGGCACCGCACAACACCTCCTAAATAACAAAGCCTTAGTGCTGAACGAGATGGCATCATCAGAGAAGGCCAACGCTGAACACAGATTGGAAACAAGCTCTGCATCAGCCCGTGGCTTCGAGTAAAGTTTGAGCCGAACGTGGGCACAATCGTCATGTCCAATTTGTGCCCAGGGTTGGCCTTCTCTGATAACGCCATCTCATTCAGCACTACTGCTTGGTTATCTAGGTGTTGCACCACGGTGCGGTGGAATTCGCACATGCTCAGTTGCTGCTCTGCCGTCACCGGTTGTTCTTTGCACTGGGTTTCTGTAGTAGCGGTGCGTGGGCTGTGATGTGTGTGTGTGCAAGTTAAACAATGAATGCAGTTCCCTCTACGAGTGATGTGGATGTGGTTCCTTTTACGAGTGGTATAGATGTGGCTCTTTCCACGAGTGATGGACGACCGTATACAAGGGTGTCAACGTGCCCCTGACGGGCAGAGCACAGAAAAGGGGTTAAAAAAAATTAAAGAAGATCCACTGATGGATTTTTAGGGAATCTGTTAGTATGACTCTTGGGAAATGCCAAACACGTCCCCATCCAGCAATGAATCTTGCAGCAATTTTTTTTCTCATCACAGCCAGGAGTGTCAAAAAGCACTGCTCTTATTTTATTTTTTCTTCATAGCACAAACAATAACTGACAAGCAAGTACATGTAATGAATGTACACATTTATTGCATTTATCTTTTATTACCAAAATTATCCCATCACATTTAGCACTTCTTCCAACATACAAAAATGTCCAGAGCTAAACACTGCGAATAAATAAACAGCACTCCCCCCCCCCTTTCCCCCATCCTCCCAATTGTTACAAAATTGTGGAATGTTTTTTGTTTGTTTTTTCCCCGTGATATGTGTGGAGCTTGGCAGAAGACATGTCGTAATACTGGAACATGCGCTCATAACTGGAGGACCCTTGTGATAACGTTCCAGGACACATGTAACGTTCGAGAGATGTCTAAGATGAGGTCAAGTAACCCTGGAGTCGGCGACAGGTTAAAAATGCGGTAGATCCTCTGCCATCTGCACTTGCAGAGACGTGTTACTAAAGGCAGAAAGCTTGCATTGGAGGCGAAGTTTGTATGGCACTCCTAACCTGTCGTCGACCATAGTTTGGGCAAACCTTAAGACATTGTATGCAACTCGGAAAAGCCTGCAAACACTGGAACCATGACCAGGTAAATGGTACATGAACATGTAACTTTAAAGAAAGGGCATTATAGCGATTCCCACACGTGGGACGACCTATAGTTCTCAAACAGCTGTAACGTAAATCATCGCATGATATCTGCCATCCAACAGTATTGCTGCACAAGAATGCAGTGCAAACTTTCGCCAACCTTCAAGCTTGGACGGCATTCCCAAAAGTGTGCGCTTCTCTCGCATGTTCCTTGCAATGCAATCAATCCCTACTGCAATTAGTGAATGGAATGCATACACCCGTAATCTGTCTCGCTTCTTTCTTCACAGCATGGATAGATTCGAGAATTAGAGATCACATTAATCCTCCGGAAACGGAATGGCCGACTGAAACCAATGCCCCGACTTTTTATAATAGATCATGCCACGTTTGTAAAGAACGGACTTGTGGTGCAAACAGAAAATTGCTCGTGTGACGCGACACATTGTATTTACGTGCGAAAGTACATCTTACTGGTGCCAGCATTTTATAAAAAGTTAAATGAGTCTCAGAAAAAACAAAAGTATTTTCATTACGAAAGACTTGCCAAGACACCACTATCCTGCTCCTAGATGTTACGGTGCACTGGCTGCGCTTTAAGTACCGCCAAGTATTGCGTCCACAGCAATAGACCATCTGTTGTCAAAAGTGGCCTATAAGGGACAGCAATATACTACTTATTATCATCACAGTCCAGGATTATTAGCACTGTCTACGCACAATAACATCAGGAAGACCCGTAGATGCTTCCTCCGCCAACATTAACGAAGTTGAATGGGTTGAAAATGTGTTCCCGTGTGCATGTTCAAACGTTTTCAGAAAACACTTTTGTGAAGCTTCATGTCGCAGCGGCACCAGCAAGACATACTTTCGACACCAGTTTCATTTCTCCACTACCCTCGTGTGATACGGAAACATCTCAAGTGCTGTAGCGTACAGAACACACCTTTGGCGACCCTTCTTGCACCCCTATCACTCGGCAATGCCCTTGAGCACAAAACCTTCACGGAACACCAGGTGGCAGCGGCAGTTTATGTAACGCGGGAATGCAACCCTGCCACTAAGCAACATCCGTTTCCCCCGTCCTCAAAGTGTTCAAACCCCAATATCTTCGTACGCAGGAAAAATACCGAGTCACATTGACCACCCGCTATCACACTCCAAAACAGAAACATAACCGTACATACAATGCGGATGAGTTAACGATGGGACGTGCTGTAGCCTAGATTTCTAAGTCCCTGGCTTCCCAATCCAGAACCGGAACCAAGCGAACAGCCGATCCAGATTCGTATAAAAAAAAAGGCGAATAAAAAAACAAGGGGACCGACTTCGTTGTCTGTAGCAAATGCGAGTTAACCAGGGAAAACAATATCACTATTATCTGAAAAAAAAAAAAAAAAAAAAATGTTGTATGAAATAATGCAAAGCAAACGCAAGACCAGATACGACAGGCAGACACCACTTGCAGGTTTAGAGCATTATTTGATTTCAGCCAGGGGCAACCCCCAAAACGGGGCGGACAAGTCGTTCAAGGAGCACGTCGGTATGACCCAAGAAATCCGGCGTTAGCTGCACATGTGACTCGGCAATGCGCCGCCATTCTCGACTTGCCACAGGATCGGGGCGGATAAAACTCAATAGTAGACCGGGCCAGAACAAACACAGGGACACACAAACGAAGGGGAGTCAGAGCCACAAATAAAACAGAGGTAAGGCACCGTGAAAATGAGTGCGCCGCTGCGCAAACCGACATGGGCGGGGCCGAACGACACCATTTCGATGGTTTCTCCGAACAAATCGTCCCGCCTCGAACCTCGTCTACCTAAATCCAACTTACAGGACGTCGTCACGGCCTATGAATGTCGCATCGAGTTGAACAAAGCTGAAAATAATGGTGGCAACATCGAACGAACCGCGAAGATCGAAAGCTCGATGCGGCGTGTCAAAACGTCTCTGAAATGTTCGTTTACCGGAACGATGGTCGTACTACAAAGTCGAGCATCGCTTAATTTTGTGCTCAAGATGACAAATGAGGAACGGCCTTTCTTTATGATTGAACAGCCGCTGCCAGAGGCACGTCAAACATTGACCGTTCCCCGTTCTTCCTCTAGAAAATGCCAATATCTTTACAAATGCATTCTTTGAGAGAATTTAAGCGCATCGGAAGTTATTGGGATAGGCGCCGGTAGTTCTTATAGGCCTAACTACGACAGTACCAAGGCAAACCTTCAATCGGCCGTTGCGCGGCCGTTGAAAACGTTGGTTTTTCGTTTCTGAAACAACGAGTTGACGCTCGACGTAATACCGTGACAAGCTGCCCCAATCGAATCGGTAAAAAAACATTTCCGACCGAAATCTCGGCTCCTCGCTAAGCCCGGTCGCCCGTTCCTGCCCAACCGTCTGTCGAGACACCCTGCATAGAAGCTAGACTGCTTAAAAAAACGACGTCGTTTCGCCCCTCGCCCACCTCGGTTTGCGCGACGACACGGCCGGAATGCGAGACGGAAGACCGCACGAATCAATCAGTCGTCCGACGGAACGATCTCCTTGAACGTCCACTTCTGCCGGTCGACGCCGTCGGCGCACTCCCGCAGACGCACGCTGCTGTCGTCCTTGTTGTACTCGAGGCACTTCTTCTGGGGCTTGTGGTAAAGCTGCTTCGCCTCCTGCAATGCCGTCGTGGCAACGTTGACGGGCCGTTTCACTGCTCGGTCTCGAGTGGCAGCACGTGCAGAAAGCGACCGACCGAGGCAACAGAGACCATGCATTGTGGGCTATAGACTAGACTCCCGTCCTTTCCCCCATCCTTCTTTGATCGTCTTTTCGCACGGAGGGATGCGGCTCTCCTCTCCGTCGAGATACTAACCTATCCTCCTGCATACTGCTTTTACCTTATATCTAACATAAAAAAACATACGCAAAAGAAGAAAAAAAATTGTTTAAGCAGCCTAGATCGAAAAAGAGTGTCATAAAACGAATTTACAATGAACAAAAATAATTTCTAGAGCTATATTTTCGGCGCGAAACGAATTTGTAGTTGGCGCCCACAGGAGCCCGCAGAAAAGTGGTCGCTATGGTCACGTGGTGCTTGCACTCTTTCCGGAGCTTCATATGGGCTCTAAAAGTTACTTATAAATCTTCGTTTGAAGTGCAACAAAAAGATAAGATTTATAAGTAACTTCTAGAGCCCAAAGGAAGCTCCTGAAAGAGAGCAAGCACCACGTGACAGACCTGTGCGCCAATCAGAAATTGATGGCGGCAGCGGCGTGGAGAAACACGTCCGCCTGAGCAAGCACCACACCCCCACCATTACTAGAAATGAAATGAGAGTGTACAGTCAAACCCGTTTATAACTAGCTCCGTCAGACGCACATTTTAGTTTGATACATCTTGTAATGCACTACATGAAAACCGGGACTACCGCAAATTTTGAGGACGGGGCTTCGTAATGAACAATTATATTCTTGACGCTACGGTAAACACGCATTGGTGCACTCTTCAGCGAACTGCCAAGAACATTTGTGAACCGCACACTGTTTCCTCGAACTGTTTCTTCTGCGAGGACGTTCACAGAATCGGAGCGCCCAGGCACGCGTGGAAAGAAAAATCTTTTACCAATTAGCTGACCGCGAAGCCGTTTCGACTGGGCTTAGATCTACATCTGCAGTATGGCAATCGTGTCCTTGAAAGAAATGTGATTTTGCTCCCGTGAAGCCAGAGTCCAAACAAAACTAGCGGAACCGAACAGAGACAAAAAAAAGAGCCGCAGCATGGATTGCTAATTGAACGGGACCGCTGCCGCCTGTCCAGCTGCGGATGCCCCATGATTGCAGGCAGAAGTTCGATGATCGCTAAAATCTGTACTTTGCGCCAAGGAATCATTTCTAGCTTGTCAAAAAATGACAAATTTACATGCGGAAGTCAAACAAAGTGAGCTAACAAACAAAACATAGCAAGAGGTGGTTACAAAGTGGCCGACCTGGTCACTGAAATTTCGCAATCAGAGAGCACTTGGGGAGGAGAAAAACAAACTTCGAGTGGAGACTGCTCCCAAAAGTGTGTCCTGACCTTGACTTTTTTTTTGGGGGGGGGGGGGGGGGGGGGGGGGGCTCATTTTTCTTTTTACAGCGGAGCTGTTAAGGGATAGTTTCCCCAAGATCATGTCCGCCAGCAAAAAGATGTCGACACCCCCCCCTGGACAGCTACCGCTGTCGTTCAAAGATGGCGGCAACCTTTCCACGCCTTTGCACTCTGGCTTGCCGACTTGCTGCCGGCCATTACTTCCTTCCCACCATAGTATAGCTTTGCTGGTCTTCCTTCTTCACCAAAGTAGAAAGGCTGAACGTTTTTTCTGCGCGTGTTTCTCTGTGGTCGCTCTTTTACCTTGCTATTTGGAAGGCTTTAACTTCACGCATTCCTTTTTCTTTTCTCTTTTTTCTCTATATGGGATGGGTGCTCGTGCATTTTTGAAGTCAACAATAGACAATAATTCGCTGTATTCGAATTCGCTGTAAACGGGTTCGACTGCACATGTCTGCTTCTATAAGAGAAGACCACGAGACCATACGTGTGGTTTTGTCCTTCGCAGCCTAACCATCGAAGTGTGCGCGTATATACACATTTCCAGTGCTGTCAAGTCGCTGGGTCGTGCACGCAGACACAGCGTCGGACGCTCCGTGGAAGGGAGCTACTGTGCACGTTCGGAAGGCATTTCACAGCCCACTAGACAATGAGTGCAGCGCTCGAGTGATCTATAGACGGTGACAAGTGTAGCCTTCCAGGGAAGTGCATTTTGGCGATGCGCTCATTACGCTCAAGCTTCGCAGGTTAAGCTTTCCGAAACACAAACTTGTTACTGTGTCGAATGGACACAGTAACAAGGACATCTGCGCTTCATTATGTTCTCTAGCAAGCTGCTTCTTTTTTCTTTTTTTTTTTCTTTGCTCAATTATAGTATTTGACGTTACTTCCCTCAGATAAAAAGGGCCTATACCGTAAAATCTCGTAAGAACGCCTACCCAAAACGCAGAGACAAATGTTGAATAATGTGGTGTAGATAATCTCTAGGAATGCGACGGCAAAATTTCATAAAATATTAGCGATAAACGCAGGGCACCTGCTACAAACCACGTAAAGCGGGAACCAATACCGCAAATCGTGAACACGGCAAATTCGCTTTCCAAGGACGCTTTAAACACGCAAAAACCTGCCACGAACTCCTGTGCCATGGGAATGGATACCACAGATTCATGTTTCGCGGTGCAATTAACACGCAAGAACCCGATAAAAAGTCGGGAGTTACGGGAACAGACGTTGCACGTGCAGACCGCCAGAAAACGCAAGAGCAAGCTATGAACTCGCACGTACGGGAACGGATACCGCAGATTGCGCGAATGCAGCCGATTCGCGCATTGCAGCGCGATAAACTCGAGGAAGACCCCTGCAAGCACGCTCTGTCACATACGAAAACCACAAACCTCGCGGTTGACAAGGCTACCGTCGGATGTTGTGCAATTGATATCCGGCAGGACTCGAGGTGGGCGGGCAGGGTTTCGGAATTTTCGCGTCGCGGACACTCGGCTTTTAAACTGGGACGGGCTGCGTCTCGAGGGCGGGCATTCGTACGGGGTTCTACGGAAGTCGCCAAGAAAATGAGACTGGTGGGGAAGAGCGGTTCTCCCATCTCCAACGCGCGCTTCCACGTCTTGTACATCTCGAGCACGCAAGAATGAGAACGTCCCGCCGTTCTTGACCTGTCAGTAACTGCGGTGCCTTTCGTCTGCAGACGCACGAAACGAGATGGACGCGAGGGCTAACGGACAGGTCGGTGCCGGACTCACCACACGGTACTCCCAGGGCCCGTCCACCGTGCCCAGGGAGCAGAACACCAGCTGCATGCTGTGTGAGCTGGCGTCCACGCACCGCTCGCCCACGCCCAGCTGGCCCTCCGCATTCAGCCGGAAGATCTGCGCCCAAAGAAACACGGCGGACCGTGACACGGACGCAGCTCTAGACCCATTCCGCACACGCGGAGCAGCGGTCAACTTCAACTCTAATGTTCCTTTTCTTTTTTTTAATACAGCAGAAAACGAAATATAAGAGTTTTATGTCGCAAAGCAACTGAGGCTGTGAGCGACACTTTAAAAATTCTTTGGGAAATCGTTAAAGTGTGGCTTCTAACAACCAGGAGAAATACTATGTAGTTATATACAATTCAAAAGTGCACACACACATATATACACGAGACAGTTAATGCTTTCGCATTAAAACGCGATCACCACGTTGATGGCGCATTCTTAGTAACGCTTCTGCTGGAGTCGGAGATCGTACATGAGGGCCCGACAAGACTTTTCTTTCTTAATGCCTGTTCATGAATGTTACAAATGTTACATGGCAGCAGTAATTCAACATGACAGACACGGCGCTGACTTTGAGCAATATTATGCGCTCTATCAGCGCTCCACAGTATGTGAGCCTGCATCTGCTTTTTCTTGCTTACACACACAATGCAGTGCTAACTCAGTGCCAAGTCAGTGCTGGCAGTAGCACCGGTGCAGCGCTGTCTTTATGTCGTCTCGGTGCTGAGATGCACACATGAACGGGACTCATCTGCCCCAAAATCTTCCACCGGAGATATGGGGATGCGACAACATAAAATCGGATCAGTACCGTTGGACCGGAGGGTTGTACGTACTGGGCCAGCAATAACCGGAAACGCGGGAACGAAACACGCGACACCCACCTGGTTTCCCCCCGTCCCGTGACAGGAGGACACCGACACCGTGGAGGGAGGGTGGGCATTCATGGTGTCCAGGCACTGACCAGTCACCATGGTTCGAATCTGGAAATCGGAACCAGTTTCAGGCACCCAGTAAGAGCAGCATAAGGGTGGGAGGGGGAGGACCTACACCCCCCCTTTCACTCTTCACACCCAGTTTTGTAAGCAGAGGAGAGGGACCCCCTATCAACCCACTCAAAAAAGAATTCTACGACCCTGCCCACCTCCAATCGACAGGTTGGTCACTCGTTTTAAGCACTGTACGTTTAAGCACTAATAGGTTTGACGTTGCTGACAACTGAAAAAAAAAAATGGATAAAGTGTTTCCCTTTTAAATAACAAACTGAAAGGATTCCTATTTGGTAGTGCCACTCACCCGGATAGATGCTATCCTTTCCAAAAAAAAGTCGACGCTCTTCGTGCTTGCATTGCTCATGCCTGTGCCCTCGACAGCCCCGCATATGATGTACAAGATTGAGCACAACATACAGACAGGTTTCCTATTTTCTCTCTCCACATTAAAAAAAATATATATATTTACGGTGTAAACACGGAGTTTAATTCTTTGGGCTTACTCGGAACACGGCCTGGGCAGTCCTCGAAATCAACGCAGAATAAAGCTGTAGATAAAGGTTTCTTTTTGCAAAGCCCGGATTTGTCTTATTCAAGAACAGCTTTCATTGTTTGTTTTTTTTGTTTTTTTTTAGTTTTCCCGGTTTTGGTAAAACTGGCTAGGGACCATACCACACCACCCAAGGACCGAAAGTAGTCCCAAAGCGGCACCACGCCGCTTTGGGACTATTTTCGAAAGAGGCGAGCCGACGCAAGGATCGCGGCGGGCAACCGCACGACGCTCCCAAGGCGGCGGCGGGCGGAAATCGAAGGTCCACGTTTGGGGACGCAGTGTACGCATTGATCGGAGACACACGTTCCAGGCACGGTGGCGGCATGGTACGACGGCCGTGCCGGTAGTGTGCGTGTTCCGGATGTTTCAGTAACCCCCCTCCTCCCTAGGGCCCACCTACCTCTCCCCAGTGGATGTTGCGTGGCAGCAGGGGGAAGTTCTTGAGCACGTCGTACGAGACGTTCTTCATGAACCAGTCGAAGCCCTTGCAGCCCAGGGACTGGCGCAGCTCCAGCTGCCCCGACAGGTCCCCGGGGTCGTAGTGCCGGGCCATGGGCTCCCGCGTGTAGAAGTACTCCTTGTACTCGTCCATCCACACCTCCACCACGCGCTTGTAGTTCTGCAACCCAAGACGTGGCACCACGTCTGTGATCCGCGCCACCGAGAGGCACGCGTGCCACGGTCAGTTGACCGATTGACGGACCGTTCCGGAAGCACGCGGCACCTTCCGACATCTTTTGGGCGCACTAATGCAATCGGATCTGCAGGGTGTGAAAGAGTGGCTGTACATAGAAAGAGCGGCTCACATTCTTTTGGCATTTCGAGATTTCGGAATGCAAACAAAGTGAAACGGTAACTGAACGGGGCACGTATAGGCGTTGCGATGCGTTCGTCTCATTTTCTTCGTGTTGTCGACTTGCGGCGGTAAGAGAGAAGGAATTGCACTGCTTCCCGGACGTACGAAGCATGCGAGCTGGCCCAAATGTACGTTGTAACGACCCCGCAACTCCCCGTGCCACAACGTGCGCCCATGAGAGGCCTTACGGCATTTTCCGGAAAATTATGTTCCCGTAAATCGCAACGCGTGGTTCTACCCCTATTAATTGGCAAATCAATCAACTACAGCCAATTTCGGCGGCGCCACGACTGGACAGTCGGTTAAGCGCTCGATGTCCGCGGCACTGTCGCACGCTCGTGTCATGATGGACTCACCACGGTGACGATGGGGCCTTTCCTCTTGTGGGCCAGCTTCCCGAAGGAGTAGGGCATGAAGCCCCGGTACACGTGGCCCACCCGCGAGCATGGCACCCAGTAGATGCTGCCGCCGCACTGCCAGATCTGCACGGGGTCAATCACTGCGCATCGGCTCGTTTAACGTGCCTTGCAAGGAGCGGAGGCGTCGCATCGGCTAACTCGCGACAGCTCGTCCCTTTGGTACGTCCCAAAGCATTAGCGTCCAGGGGGGGGGGGGGGGTGTGTGCCCCACTCGCAATTTTGGGAATATTGACTATAGCCCCGTTTACAAGAAAGCGACTTCGGTGCATCGACTCCACTCGTTCGTCGAATGAAGCCGACGCGGCAATGTTTACATGAATGCGCACTAAGCCCTACACAAAGGTGGCACCACGCCGTGTCAAAGCTCGAAGTTATGCAGTTCCGGCACCAGATGCATCACGTTTTCCGGTGCATTGCACGTGGAGGCCTTTTGACGTGTTCAATAATAATAATTGGGTTGTGGGGATATTTATACAGCGTGTAGTTGGTCTGCCATCAAAGTTGCGACGAGTCACACGCTGTAGATGAGCAATTTAGCCAGTGCAGTACAACTGCTAGCCTGGGGTCTTTAACGTGCACCACGCAGTAGTGACACACGACCGCACGCCGGTACGATGCTCATCCAGATCGAAACGGGCAGGGGTGGGGCTCGAACCCAGGATCCCTGGGTTCTGCAGCGCGAGCTTTCGCTCCACGCGCGTCATGCTGGGATCCCCCAGTGAACGTAAAGATTGTGCCTGCTGTCTTCGGTGCTGTGGGAGAAGTTACGAGACGGAAGAAACATCAAAACCCAAGCGTTTAGGGCTCCAGGCCGGGCCGCCGGGTCACTCTGGACCAGAGGCGGCGTGTGTGCGCACGCTTTGAGGACACTTCCGCGCTTCGCCGCGCCAGACCTCGCCGATCGCAACCGGACCAACCGGACCCCGAGTCCGAAAGGCTCCTGCGCAGCCAGGAACGGCACCGAGGTAGGAGCTGCTCGTTCTGCGCTACCATGCAGTGCCCCACAGTGCTCGGAGCACTCGGTGTCGTTCGTGCTTGCGCCGAAGCCTTTGGGACCCCTTCAGACGCGCAAGTCGTACTTCGCAAGGCTTGGACGGGGGCCGCCCTCACCAAGCAGCTCCGCTATATTCCGCTTACTTATGATGGCAATAAAAGCTCGCGTTTGTTCTCGGGAAAAAATTGCGGGCGACCATACGGGACCGCTCTCCGCGCTGCCAACGAGGTTGGCCGCCGCCATGTTCTCAGCTGTTCACTCGCTCCTGCAGCGAGCGCCTTCCCATAATCCTCCCCGTTCCAAAATGTGGTGCGACCTCCGTTTACATGGGCTGAATGAATGCACACTCGCCATCTCGATCCACCTCTGTGTAGCGACTTGAATGCGATGCGCTTTCTTTGCGCATTATGCCGTTTACATGACCGCATTGAATGCAACAACTGGATTCGATGCGACTAAGTCGCATTCATGTAAACGCAGCTTATGAGATATTTCGTTGGAGTACCCTTACGCCGCGGTCACGCTGCTAATCCATCATCCAAAAGATGGTCTGCAGAAAATGTTCGAGACACGTCTCTTCCTCGTACGACGGCCCTGTCACGTCGGTCATACAAAAAGAGTCTCCGGGCACGAGCTGAGCATACACTACTCTTTATGGAACAAACATGCTTCGAAGAGACGTGTCCGCAGGTACTTCCGTCGTCTTGTCTGCAGCGAATACTACATAATGATGTGCGGGATATTAGACGTGAGTGAAGCTCGACGGTATGTGCAACAAGCACAGCAAACGTTCGAAACTGCAGTGTTCGTAAAATTGACACCGTCAAAGTTGACAGCCTGACACTACTCCTCTATCTGTCGAAGAAAACAGGATAATACGACACAAGGACTCAGATCCCACTAGAATATTTCAGAGCCCAATTAACCTATCATGGCCGCTCTCTTCTAAAAAAAGAAGAATTGCATTTACCCCCCCCCCCCCCCCCCCCATCTTTTTTGAAAAATAGGAGTTGGCCCCCCTTGAACCACGTTCTTCCGTGGCACTATGATGCTGCAGTGCCACGTTCGACGAAGTTAGCTACGGGTGTTATTAACGAATTCTCCTATGCTTGGTTGGTTCACATTCTAGCTTCAGGAATAATTACCTCCCAAAGTTTCAGCATTTGAGCAGGTCAAGCACCATTTCAAGCCGTGTGTATTTTAATCCCAGCGAGCCAATCAAGCTCGAAAAAGATATGATTTCCATATGACACGTCCTACAGCACGGTCGAGGAAGGGGCCGCAGCAAAAGCATCGGTGCCTTATTCGTGGAGCAAGTTATCAACTGCAAAAGTTAGGGTACGTTCCTAGCCTTACCTAAACTATCGACACCCGAACAGTTTTCTCGGCTTAGCGGTGACAAAAAACCGAAATGGCCTTCCCCCTTATATTTGCAGGCCTACATGTGCAATGCTGTCGAGGGTAAACATAGGCTAAGAAGTAACCTTGCGTAGTCCTAAAAAACTGGAGCATTAACTGGCTCAAACACTTCCTTTTGACCCAACAAAATGGTTGGGCTAAGCACCTAGAGCGACGAACGAAGTGGAATGCAGCACAACGCACTAGCAGACGACGCGGCATAGAATGTCCTAAACTTCTTGGAATATAGTACGAGTGTGCTCGGCATTATAATGAGACGTCTGTGCTTTCCCATGGAACGTAACTGTTCTCAAGCGGGTAGTTTAGTGTCTCGCTGCGGCAATCGATTGGCTCAGTTCACGTGACCGCTTCCATCTGAACAACACAATCACAAAGGTGTTCTGACAAGACCGAAAGCAAAGTGCACCGTCAACTCCATGAGAGTGCACCTGTTGGATTGACTAGAGAGAAGCTATGCTTATGCGATCCTAACTACATTGCACGAGTTTCTTGCGGGTGCCGCCATTTTGGTGCTCGCTGCAGAACGGGCGCCATTGGTGATTGTTACAATTAAAGAAGCTTCGGTATGGCGTCGGGAAGCTCTGGCAATATAGTTTTGTTCTGACACTGACTGTTTCGTTTCATATTAAACTTTAGACAACTGCCAACAATGATCTTAGGCACTAAGATGGCCAAAATGTTGTTGCTCCAAAGCGCAGCTTATTGAGCAGCTCTAGGACAGACCAAAGGTTTTCGGTCGATCAACCGAGGCGCTGTTGTCGTCTACGCTGCAAACATTGCGGGGCATCGAAAAGCAGCGAGAATTGCCGCCTTTGAGCCAACGTAGAGATCGCCGACGTACCTTAAAGGACAGCTCGAAGTTCTCTCCACCCCACACCAGCAGTCCGGGGTCATAGCCTCCGAGTTTAAGGAAGTACTTTCGGTCGATGGCGAAGAGGCCGCCCGCGTGAGTGGGGGACCTGGGAGCAACGGGTACAACAGGCGTTTTTGTAATGGTTTCCCTAGAATCAAGATACCTATCCCTATAAGCGAGACATTTCCCTTTATACCGGGGTGTGCTTTCCCTAGAACAAAGACAACTACCTTTTTCCGCTACAAAAACAGGGAAAATAGGCAAGGGGATAGTTAGAGATCATTTCATAGTAGCAGAACATGTTTACCTTAGGATCTAGACACTTGTTCAAGCCAATACTATTGGCTTAAAGGGACAAGTCTCTCAATCCTAAGATTAACCAAAAAAAAAAGCTCCATTAAAACTTTTTTATGTTGTAGGAGGCCCAGAAATTATTATTGTCAGGCAACAAGAGGAGTGCAAACATCAATAGGTTTTCCTGGCACACGTGTTGAACCATTTCAATAGGCTTTCCTGGCACCCATGTTGAACCATTTCTGGAACTTTTCCCTCGTAACTTTTCTTATCGAGATTAGTAAAACATTTGATTTTTCCCATCAGTTATGTTTTACTCACTTCAGGCTTTGGGGCCTCACTCACCATCTTGAACACACAGTTTGAAACGTTACCTGGACAACCCTTCCACAAAGAAGGTAGCAGACACCATTTCAAGGTAGACTGATTTTCCGTGGACCAACTGAACTTGTCCAAAGTGAGGACTAAAGACCCGTTCACACTCTTCCGACCCCTTAGAACTGGGTGCCTTGAAACTTCTTACAACAAGAGGACACACTCAGGGGCGGACGCAAGTATTTCTGAAGGAGAGGGGGGGGGGTCAGGTGTTGGTCAGCGTATCATATGTTTAAAAACCCCCCCCCCTTTCCAGTTTCCCCTCCCTAAATTTTTACATATGCAGAATTTAAGAACCCCCCCTTTGAATCCACCCCTGGACACACTGGCGCCATCTATTGGGAAGAAGTGTAAACTTGGCGGTCCGGCATATTTTCTATTTCTCTCGCGCATTATCCTTTCTTTCATGGCTCAAAAAACTTTTGTCAACGTTAAAAATGAGCCTTTCTTATGGGTATTACGCACATTTAACCTCAGAAATCCCGCAAAACCTTTGCTTTTGTGAAATGCAGTTTCAGGGTCACTGCATAGATGGCGCCAGAAGGCCAGTGTGTTCCCTCGCCCTAATAAATTTTAAGAGGTTTCAACAAGTCTCGTCTCTCTCGGTCGTACTCGGTTGCAAGAGTGTGAACGGGCCTTAAATACAGCAAAGCAAAGATGAAGTATGCCCATAATACTACTGACACATACATTTCAAGTATTGATCTAGAGGGAATACTGAGATTACCAAGACTCCTGAAAAGATAAAACTGACATTAGTAAAGAGATTCTACCGCAGAAGCATTCGAGCAAGATGGTCTTTGCGGTTGCACACATGCCATGGCGAGCACTCACTTGTAAGGCTCGCTGTGGTATTTCCTCCGCTTGATCTCTTCCTCAGGAATCTCAATCTCCTTGTAGAGCATGCCCCACTCAAAGATGCCACGGAAGTGTTGCCCGCCATGGTACACCGGCCGGTACTCAAACGTGTCCTTGTCAATGCCGTCGATGACCGGCACCGTCATTGTGTACCTGGGACACATTTACGACGCCCGACGTGAGCATCTGACTGATTGCTGCACTTAAGGTTTGGCCATATACACGTGAAATGAGGTTAAAATGGTAGCAGCAATCATGCAACAGGAGAAGCAATAAAGACGGTGAAGGTTACTTTCAAGGTGCTCATATAACTGTTTTTTACACCAAGTGATCAAATATATCTTCCATCTGCAGTGACCGTACTGTGCTCAACAACTTTTGTTTGGTAATGCACACAAGGATTGATCATCTACAAGCCCCATTAAAGGGCCACTAACCACACCAACATTGATGCTTTTTTTTCTCAAACGCCTCAGTGATTTGTCTCTATAAAAAGGATATCCCTCCCTAGTACCAGGACATGTTTTCCCTAGAATCAAAACACCTGTACCTATAAGACTTTTTTTCCGAGGGCATGTTTCCCTAGAACCAAGACATCTATAAGAATTTTTCTTCCAGTACATGCTTCCCTAGAATAAAGACACCTGCCCTTATAAATTATACTTTTCCCTAGTGCCAGGACAAGTTTTCCCTACATCAAGAGAGCTGTCCATATGAGCAAGACATTCTTCCCTAGCACCGTGTTTCCCCTACGACAACTGGGATCTGGGGACTCCTTGTCCCCAGTTGGGAGGGAACCCTTTGTGTCGCCTCACCTGTTGGCACGAATGGGGGCCAGGAGCGGAGGCAGCCAGTTGATGCCCACCTCACAGTGGGCGTCCAGGAAGAGCACCACGTCCCCGACGGACTGCTCCGCGCCGTAGCTCCGCGAGCGGATCAGCCCCTGCCGCTCCTCGTTGCGCAGCAGGCGGACCAGCCCAACCGGAAAGTTCCGCGCTATGTACGTCTCCAGCTCGCCTTTCAGGTTTTCTGCGCTTCCAAGGGGAACCAGTTGGCACAAAGTACACTGCACCAAAACATGAAACCGGCACATGACACAGGTTTTATTCAGGGGGGACATGGGTCTTTGGAGCCAAAAACGTCCTAAAACTGCCTTCTTTTGAAAATGGCGATGGCTGTTGTTCTTCTGAATCTACCAGGCTTCTAATTTTGTGGATGAATATTTGAGCTATAAATCAATTTATAATGTCTATGCGGGCTGAATGTGCATTGAGGTGGACTCTAGAACATAGTTTTCACAAAACACAATTTTTGGACTAGTTGAAAATTTGCAGGAGGGATATCTTAGCATCTAGAGCAAATAGAGATATGACCTTTCCTGAAATGTGCAGCTAACTGTGTAAAGTGCACAATGTTGGGAGCAGATTTTTTAATATAAGTCTAGAAAATTTTGTATTTGATATTTTGTTTTATTACTTGTTAGCCACGCATTGAGCACCGAACTTCAATGTGTGGTAAAATCACTATATTGAGTTTATCTTAAAAGTACTTCCAACATTGTATTCTCTACACTTCGTAGTATCTAGCTATGTGTTAAAAAGGATATTTTGTTGAGCAGTTTTTGTTCTATCTTCCTCCAAACAAAGGCAGGCAAGTTTTAATTATCTTGAGGACAATAGACCCTTTCCGAAATTCAGTGCCATCTGGTGACTCAAATGGCAGTTTACCTTTTACTATACTAATGGTGGCAATTAGTGCCACTAAATAAGCTACGCTTCAGAGTAACGACACTTGGCCATATTGTGGCTTAAAATCATGGTTGCCAGTTATTTGAAGCTTTATCTGAAATCACAGGAAATGCTTTTCCGCCCTCCACAAATGTTTAAACCGTTCGCGACAGAGCAAAGCAGTATTACATGACTTCCTTAACACCGAATCTAATGCTGAGGAAGTCGCACTTTTGAATCATGACGATCGGCCGTTGCGTCTGTTCTGCATACGAGCCAAAATGGCGGCGCCCACAACAATGTCGGGGAACGGAGTGCCGATACTCTAAGCGCAGCTTATTTAGTGGCTCTAGTGGCAATGAACCTGTGGTCTGCAGTATTTAATGGGGCACCATCACTTAAAGGTCAACGGTAAACGAGAATGTGCACTTCACTAAGATTATTTTTCAGTCTCTCATAGTGTCGATGGCGAAACAGACGCAGCCAGTCGAAACGAAACGCCAACCCACATAGGCGCCTTGATAGAGTCCTATACATCAAGGGGCTTTGAAGGCGAGTGAGTGCTACTGACAAATTGACTGGGACTGAGTTAGAAATGAACGCTTACACAGCTCTTGCGTCCAATTCCTGCTTCACGTCGCGCTAAAATCTAGAATATGTAGGCCTCGAATCATCTGCTTAGGAGCATCTTCAACTTCTTCCTTCATCAGTAAACAGAAGGCCGCCATTAGTATAGCACATATGGCGTTTTCAGATGATGATGATAGTGATCAAAGTGGTCAGACTGAATTCTGGAAAGGGTCTATTCTACTGACTGAGAAAATGACCAGATATATGAAATCAGCACAAAAAGCTGAACAAGCTCGTGCAGTTTCATTGGGTTTGGTCATAAAATAAGAAAGAAAGCTCCAAGCCCAGTGTTCCCCCTTAAAGCGATGCATGCATATATACTTTCACACCTTAGAGGCATGAATTTCCCTTGGCTCTTATTGAGTGCACTCAAATTCGCTTTCACATGGTTTCGATTTAAAAAATAAAGATGCCTGTTCAACAGTCATTCCAAGCAGGCAGGCATTAGTCCTTAGTAATCATCACAAATAAAAAAAAAACAAAAAAAACATACAAATGTGCACAACAGTGCCTTGAGCTAGTGATGTCAGAACGGCGGGGGGAGGCATGGGGGGAAATCACTCTTCCCAGACATTTCTACTAAACTCGCCCCTTCCCCAAAAGCGTCCAAAGCCACTGCCACTACGCCATGAGCCACTATCGTAACCAACACAAGAACAACGTTCGGCGCAGAGACATGCCTGACAGCAGCAGTAAAGCACTTTCTATCCTTCCAATGGCACACATTAGTTTATATATATATATATATATTTTTTTTTTACCACAATGCAAAATGTGTTTTTATTGTTATATACCAGGGATGGCCAGGCTGACACGGCCTAAGAGCCACAAACAAAACCACGAATCTTCCAAGAGCCGTGAGGGGGGGGAGGGGGGGGGGGGTGCAAACTTTTGTTTAAAGCAATAAACGAAACTCACACTATTTTCAATCTATCCGAGTCAAAAAGCAGTTCAACTGTACCTAAGATAGTAGTAGCACAAAACTACATAACCGCAACCTGTCATTCGATTTAAAACGCGTTCCATTTTTCTTTTTGGGGAAGTGCTCGTGTGACCGGGAGGGAAGCGGGAAAGTGTGTATGTGTGCGTGTGCGGGGGGTGGTTATGGAGGGAGCCGCGAGCCGCACTTTAACACGCAAAGAGCCGCATGCGGCTCGCGAGCTGCAGCTTGGCCACCCCTGTTATATACTCTTATTCTAAAGAACACTTTTTCTTTTCTTTAACAACCAGTCTGTATTTGCAATAGAAGCACCTGGCATGAATGCATTATCCACATAAAACACTAATTCATTCACTTTCCCTCCCCCTTTCTCTCTTTTTCTTTCTAAACACCGCCTCAACCATGGTCGCCCCTTTGCATTAGGCCGTATTTCACTCCCTGTCTGGACTGAATACAAACCAACGTAACCCGTAAAACTATGCAAGCAGGAAATCTGTGTGGCTTGAGTAAGTATTTTTTCTGCATAATAAAGCATCCCAGCTCGCTTATGCAGAGCGGACATTCTTCTAAACAAATTCAATAATATGGGGCAGCCCCTATCATCACTGAACTAAAACAATGACGGTCAACTCCCCCACAGTCTGCAGTTAATGCCGCTCTATACTAATTCTAAAGCTTCCCTGCCGAAGGATTCCTTGTGTGACTCCTTCCAAAAGCACAGCTGTTCCAGAAAAGAATGCCAAACAACGTGCCTCGAAGTATGGGGCTCGCGAAACTAACAGGCAGGTGCAGGTGCTGCAAGCCATTAAAAGGGCTCAACGTCGGCCGGCTACCTGACCGCAACAATCACCTAATGACTTCATTCAGATGACTTCCAGCCGACTTCCTAACTCGCTGCATCGCATAGAATGCAACCTACTGGAGAAAGTTCCACATATAATAGTGCAATAATAACATAAATATATTTGTAGTAATTAGATTTCAGTGTTTTGGCATCATGTTCTTGTTACGTCGATTTTTTTTAAAATTTATTTGTGCACCCACTCCCCTGTGTCCCTCTGCCCTTTGCAGGTCCTCAAGGAATATAAATGAGGATAATGATGATAAGAGAGTATAAATATCTTACTTTAGAGAAACACGCTACAATGAAATGATTGGTATGGCAACCGAGGTTCGTGCAACGCGTCATAGTGGACCACAAGGTGTCTCGTAACGCAAACTGTCACGCTCAAATGCAAATGCCCAAACAAACCCTTGTAATCACGACAAAAAAAAAAAAAAAATGGTGTCCTGGACAATATTAGTTGAGTTCGAATTGAGACAAATGTTTAATCATGCTTTACAAATCAATTTATGAGAAAAGTGAACTGACCATACGGGTGGCATCATACATCTAGCAAGAGTGCAACTAAGATGCGTGCATAACGCACGTCACGAAACATGCGTGTCTGATGATGTTCATGTGACGGGAAAGGTCCTGTAATTGCCAAAGCAGAATTCGACCAAAAGATCATGTCATGTCCCTTAAGAAGTTTTAGTTGTGGTTGGAGCCGTTACTTCTTGTGAACCCTACTCAATGAAAAAAATGTCTTTAAAAAAAAAAAAGTGTGTGAAGTTGTAAGATGCTACTTTCAGTGTGTTCTAGTTTGCAGAAAAAAATCAATAAAAAAATCTCTGGAATAGTGACACTCACAGGAAGTCTAGATCTCACCACTGCAGAAAGTATGGGTCTCACCTTGTAAAAAAACAAAACTTAAAATTACCTTTGCATGTCCTTTTCAAAAACATATGCAAACCTTAACAACAACAACAGAGACCTTAGGTATGGATACGAAGATTCATTTAGCTAGAGCCTATATCAATCGACCCCAAAGCAGACACGGATGCACGGACACCGCACCTTTGTCGCTGTAGTCGTCCACAAGCACCACCTCCTTGAGGAACTGGCGGGGGGACCTGTTGATGACACTATGCACCGTCCGCATCAGCACCGAGAGCCCCTCGTTGTGGAACACCACCACCACGCTTGTCGTGGGCAGGTCCGTCGGGTAGTCCCAGTACTTGCACCTATGCTCCGACAAGGACAACAAAGGAATAGGCAAGGACACGGTCTAGAAACACGGTCTAGGAACGCAAAACGTCTCCGGACCACCAACCTCCAGTCATTTGCACGTCGATTTCCAGCACCTATTGGCGAGGATATGGAACTAGGGGGGTGCCCTGTCCAGCGCGATTTCCCATGAGCTCGGTGTTTACGCAACACAAATCGTGTGGACTCGATTCTTTACATCATCATCCTCGATCAAGCGCGGAGCACAGTGTAACGTAAAATATGCTGACAATAAACGGAGTGGCGTTGGCGGGACGCGGTGGGCCAGATCTCTGGCGAAAGCAGTAGTTGGAGGATGTGAGCACGACCCACATCAGCCTTTGTGCTGAGAGGGAGCATGACACGTGCACGGTACGTGCTGTAATGTTCACGCAGGTCAGAGATGACAGAAAAGCCCCCCAACAAGCGACAGGAAAACGCGGGCCCCAGCCGAACCCAAACGCCGAACCAAACGCTGACACAGCGTTTGGCTATGTCAGCCGAGTGCTGCATCGTTGTTGTCATCCTCATGGGTGTAGTTATAAAGCCAGCCTATTGGGGTGCAGCGGTCGGATCTTCTTCCTAATAGCTAATTATCCGCACTCCAGTTGGTCAGCTTTTAAAGCTCAACAGACCTTCCGCAAAAATCCCAACGGGCCACGCGTTGGGTGCATGACGAAATATGGAACTGCCTTGTAAGCTCCTCCACGCCCCCGCAACATCTAAAATGCCACGCTGAAGACAGCAAGGGAGAAAAGGCAGCGGCACCTAGCGCAGTCGCGTGCCTGCTCCCACTAGCTTGCCCCCAAGGTCACACCGCCGTCTGCTACGGCCAGTTCTAGACAGGATGTTCCCGGCACACCTGGTGCTGCATATTTTGCAAATGATCTATCGCATTAGATATTGTTTTATAAGCACACAAAATGGAATACCGCCGGTTGCGGCTACCTTGTCTCTTCCTAGACAAACGTAGCAGTGTAAACAAACTATGAAGGACAAATCTGTTCCAGTCATGCTGCTCTGGGGGCTGTTCAACAACACCATAGGCTGACTGGAGCAGCAGGCCATACATAATCCAGGACTAAGACATTGTTGATGTGTAAGTGTGTGGCTGAGTTAGACTACAATACACAAGTTATGCTACCAGGTGTACAGAGCGAAGCTGCACTGTTTGAATGCTTGCACAGTATAAATATTGTTTTGGGAATACCCCGCAAATAAAACAATAGGCTTCTATCCGTCATACCACAACATTTCGGCGAGCGAGACGGTCTCAGGCTTGGGTCCCTCAAAAAGCAGCAAACATTGACAAATTAGAGATGGTGTAGAGACAAGCTTTATGGCTCATATAGAATCACTATAAAAGAAATGACTGTGTTACATACACCCTTTTATGAAAAAATACTCACATCGAGTTCTCGTCTACTCGGCTTTGCAGAGCAAGGCTGAACGTTTTATAAACATTACTGAATGGGTATTTTTAATTTACATATTGTTTAAAGTAGTTAGCTCCAAAATTGGTTCAAGCCACGTAAGGCTTACACAACAGGGCATTTTTATTCCACATCTTTGTCAAGGTGAGTCTTCAAAAAAAAGGTTTTTTCCCATGAACTATTGAGGAATGAAATAGGAGTCAACACAATATCAGTAGAGTTATTTTTTAAAAATTTGGAGTTTTCAATGACCGACGACTGACCAAGTGTTTGTCTGTGCTGCGCTATTGCCCGTTTATTTGCTTATTCCGTTAATCCCGCACCGCCCAGACGACACTGCTTCTTTTCCACAGTACTGCAAGTGAGTACTTCAAAACTGCAGAAACTTTGTTTTTATATAACTTCGACTCTTCATTGAGGTAAGCAGGTTTATAAATAAATAAAATAAGAAATGTCAAACTTTGAAGGGATCATATGCACGCGGGCTTGAAGGGACGCCTGCCAGCCAACTAGGAAAGTTTATTTCAACATTTAACGTCGCAAAAAAGATGGAAGGAGAGCTCGATCGTTTCGTCTCGACAAAGACCATTCTTCCCACACGTGTAAGTACCGCATGAACAAAGCAGACTGGGTAGCGATCATAAAAAAAGAAAGGAAAGAAGCATCACAAGTACGGCCCACCCTTTCTAATGTCTTCTTTGGAGGCACGCAACACATTGCGGTTGCGAAACAGGAGGTTACGATAAAAGAAACCACAAAGGTTACACAGAATGCAAAAGCCCACGATGAAGCCAACAAAAATTGTTTTTGTATTGCGAACTTTCGTACGCCACGTTTTCTCCAGACTTTGCATCTCCAGTTACTTTGCACCATACTACAGGTACAGGGAACATCGAGCCCTAAACTAAAATATTGAGCAAAACAACTAAAGTGGAGCGAAATACACTAGATATGAAAAGTTTGATGAAGGTTACAAGACGTAGAGAGCTCAGCAGATAGCAGAAATAGGACAAAGCTAGTTTGTTTATTTTACCAGTTTTTTTCCAACAAATTAATGATTCCCATCAAATTTACTAGAGTCAAATGCCTCTCTGGTGCAACATGATTTGGCAGTAAAGCATCAGGCCTTGAGGGACAAAGGACTGTTCATGCATGTAACACAATACCTAAGCGCTATTAGTCAGCACTGATTTTACGTTGATGCGACACTGACTTTGTACCATGTCAGTATGCAGTGCTTATTCAGCAGTGGTTCAGTGCTTTTATGTTCAAGGCAGCACTGCATCAGCACAATTTCTAGTGCAGATTCAGCACCGCGCTGTATCTGTGAACGATGTAAAAGGCACTGGTGTCATATTCGCATCAACTGTGTCATGCACTAGACAGATTACATCAGTGAACCGTCCTCAATTCGTCACTTTCCTTTCTGTTTGATGAATATTACGTGTATTCTGTGTGGCAGCATCTAGACCTACCTGTCCCTTGGGAAGATGATGGTTAAGTTAGTAAATAAATAAAATATGCACCGCTAAACTAGATCCGAGTCTCTAATGGTTGCCGTCACCGATCAACGTCCTTGATGCTTACGCGATGGTTGGGTGCGACATCACTGGTCCCCACGTAACGATCGGCTTCGACGTCACTGATCCCCCCGCAATGATTGGCTCTGATGTCACTGGTCCCTACATGACAATTGGCTCAGACGTCACTGGTCCCTATGCAACGATTGGCTCTGACGTCCCTATGTGATATTTGGTTCCAACATCACTGGTCCCCCCCAATGATTGGCTCTGATGTCACTGGTCCCTACAAGACAATTGGCTCAGACGTCACTGGTCCCTATGCAACGATTGGCTCTGACGTCCCAGGTCCCTATGTGATATTTGGTTCCAACATCACTGGTCCCCTCCAATGATTGGCTCTGATGTCACTGGTCCCTACAAGACAATTGGCTCAGACGTCACTGGTCCCTATGCAACGATTGGCTCTGACGTCCCAGGTCCCTATGTGACGAATGGTTCCAACATCCCTGGTCCCCCCGCAATGATTGGCTCTGATGTCACTGGTCCCTACAAGACAATTGGCTCAGACGTCACTGGTCCCTATGCAACGATTGGCTCTGACGTCCCAGGTCCCTATGTGATATTTGGTTCCAACATCACTGGTCCCCTCCAATGATTGGCTCTGATGTCACTGGTCCCTACAAGACAATTGGCTCAGACGTCACTGGTCCCTATGCAACGATTGGCTCTGACGTCCCAGGTCCCTATGTGACGAATGGTTCCAACATCACTGGTCCCCCCCAATGATTGGCTCTGATGTCACTGGTCCCTACAAGACAATTGGCTCAGACGTCACTGGTCCCTATGCAACGATTGGCTCTGACGTCCCAGGTCCCTATGTCATATTTGGTTCCAACATCACTGGTCCCCTCCAATGATTGGCTCTGATGTCACTGGTCCCTACAAGACAATTGGCTCAGACGTCACTGGTCCCTATGCAACGATTGGCTCTGACGTCCCAGGTCCCTATGTGACGAATGGTTCCAACATCACTGGTCCCCCCGCAATGATTGGCTCTGATGCCACTGGTCCCTACAAAACAATTGGCCCAGACGTCACTGGTCCCTATGCAACGATTGGCTCTGACGTCCCAGGTCCCTATATGACGATTGGTTCCAACATCACTGGTCCCTACGCAATGATCGGCTTTAACGTCACTGGGTTCTATGCGGTGATTAACTCTGATGTCACTGGTGGCCTACACAACGATTGGCTCCGACTTCGCTGGTCTCTATGTGACGATTTTCTCTGACGTCCCTAATCTCTACGCGACGATTGGCCCTGACGTCGCCTGTCCCAACGCGAAGATTGGCTCTGCCATCACTGGTCCTTACACGACGATTGGAGGGTCATTTCGTGTCACAGTCGACCAATGCAGGATCGCAAGGTCCTAAAAGTAAAATAGAACATAGATTCCGGTACTTACTCCTGCAGTCTCATGTCCGGGATGGTCCGGTTAGGCGAGATGTGATCGCTGGCCACCACATTCATGCCGTACTCCATATTCGAATGGGCCACGTTGTTCTTTAGCTTGGGCGGCGTGTGGTAAGGAAATCCGCCTTCGCCCGGTTTACGCTTGTCCACTACATCGGCGACCGCCGGCTCGAAGTTTCCCAGAACCTTATCCTTGAAGACGGGCAACGGCGCAGCCTTTTTCTTCGGGTAAAACGGAAAAACGTCCTTCAGCGACTCATTGCCGCCGCGGCGTCCACCAAAAGGCCAAAAGCGACTTACTCGTTTCTGGTACTGCGTTTCGATGCCCGTCGGCTTTGGGAGGAAGAAAGTGACGCCGAAAATGACCAGTACGCCGACGAGAATGAGCTTAATGATTCGACTGCGCCTAAAGTTCATTAGCTTCATGACGATGGCCGGCTGGTGGTTCGTACCCTGCGAGTGAAGAGATAGAAGCGCTGCTGCATCACACGATCGCGAGATCTGTCAGGTCCGTCGCTGGACGACTTTCGACTTGGGGTGACCGAACCACCGAACGCTACGTGTATGGGACTCAATTGGGGATAGCGGGACACCGACGCCGGCCGTTACACGCGAGCGTTAGCGATTGCGTTGAGTCTCACGACGGCACCTTTAAATTTCGGGGTCGCGGAAGCATCGCAAAACACAAAAGCGACGAAACACCACACACCACCACGACAGCAGTTTACGAGTGACGGCGAGCCGAGATTACAAGCCAGAACCGGCCAGAACACCAAAAGGCGAAAGAATACAGTTGGCAACGTTGAATAGATAAATGAATAGATAAATAAATAATAACTGCTTTTTATATATATTAGGTCGTAGCTTGCGCCACCTAGCCTTAAAATATTAATGTAATTCCCTGCAACTATAACTAGGCAGGTAGAGTACTTTCCAAAACAACCTTTAAAAAATCGTGCAAAAAAAAGTTAAATAAATAAATAAATAAACATTGCTTCTTGCCTGCGTTTTCCCGCTTGGTCGCTGCAACTGTGGTCGCTGCAGCTCCAGTGAAGCGAGTGAAGCCACCAAAGAGCCACATTGCACGACCTAAAATTGCGTTTTTTCTAGCGTTGCAGAGGCTGGCGGCAGTGTATAGAAGACACGCTTTCTGCTCTTGTGTCGTCATTCGCCAAAGAAGTTTTTTAAGACCCTGTCTACACATTGAGACTTACCGTTGATAAGGTGGAAAATTTTACAAAATTGCAGTGCTACAGGTAAAAGGCACAACTCATCAAAAGAAAGTTTCACCGATCTCGCGTCATGATCAAAGCTTCCTTAACATGCCAAAGTGCTGCGTCTCTGTGCCTTTGCACGCTTGGATACCAATCGAGATTTGACGCCGTGTGGAAGTGTTTTGCGAGTGCAATGTGTGTGAAGCCGAATGTGCCTCTGGAGCAGCGTTTTACTTTACTGTCTCGCAGCCCAGAAACGAGCTTGATCCAGCGTCCAGAGGGGACGGAAAGGAATCCAGCCTCCAGTAGCGGGGGGGAAAGGAGGGGTACGACTTTTTTGTTGTTAGACGGTGTACAGAATACTGCGCAACAACTCCTCATCACTGATCAGTGGTCTGGCTCATTATTAACAATTGCACGTGACATCAACAGATTGCACACAACCATTTGGGCCGCGCTTCTAAGATTTTCAATCTCGCAGTCTTGTACTTTCACCTTTTTGCTCCACAGCATTGCTCCATTTTAGTGCTGCCATGTGACCCATTAGAGTAGATTTGGAACATAGATAGTGCATAAGAGCTACCGTACAAATTGTTTATCCCCTTTAATGATAGCAACTCGCCAGAACTCTGTGGCCGATATAGACCAACTCATGTTTACGAACAAACCGGAGCGCCCCTAGCGGACGCCACCGGCGCCGCTCATGCGACATGGTGTGGGCAAGAAGCACGCCGTCACCCATAAACAAACCATTGGAAGGCAATGTTTTCGGCATCAGTGCGAGTCCCCGTGCTCTTTTTCATGCTGGAATTGTTGATTCCACGTCTTCCTGGCAATGTCGGATTGCTTTAGCAACCTCAGCGAAATTAACGAGGCTCGTTACACCGTGAAATGTCGCATGAATAATGTGACATGCGGCAATTCATTCGGTGTGAACGCCGCGGAACGAGTGCTAAAGCCTGATTCCCGTGACGAGAATCTGCTCACCATTTTCAGTCGCGACGTCGATCGGGCTGCAAAAATGTGGACAGTATCCGAGATGGTCGACGTCAATACTGAAAATCAGAAGCCGAATCGAACCAAGTGAATCGGTCATAACAAGTCGGTGATAGCCACTGACAACAATGATCAAGATCTCCTTGTATCTACTGTTTACACTGAGCCTACTTACCCAACCCACCTTCAAACTTTAAAGTTTTTTGAGTCAGTGCTTTGTCTACGAGCCGCTGTCGTTTGGACGAGCAGACGACAGTTTGAACAATCATGTAGCCGCTTGAATTTCGACGCACTAAACGCAGTCCGCATGTGGTCTGTACAACTGGGTGGTTTTCTTGCGTTCATGTTGGAACAAAACAAATAAATCTGAAGACCGCAGGTATCCGTGAGTTCAACCCAAAGTGCTTCCTACATAAGCAATCGTGGTCCGATGGCGTCTGGTTTTTATTTTTCACGGCACCCATCAACGTTCTCGGACGAACCGAGCAGGCAGGAGCCGTTAAAACTGACCTTCAAACCTTTCCCGACTCTTTCCGTAAAGCCCCAGTCGCGGTGTTTTGACGACAATGCAAGTTTTTGTTCGGTTTCTTCCAAAACAACACGGGAATGCATGTCCCGCTTGGCGACTTCCGCCCACAGTCCCAGACTGGAAGTGCGCTTGACGAACCACCACCGCACCGAGACGTAACAGAGCCGAGTTTGTGTATATGATGCCGAAGACATCCACGCACGACACACCTTCAAAACTTTGCTGCAGAGTGATTCTTGATCAGTATCCAAGCTTGCAAATGCACAGACTTACCACTTCGACGTGCCAAGGAAGCTTTGATTACGCCGCGAGACTGGCGAAGCTTGCTTTTGACGAGTTGTGCCTTTCTCCTGCGGCACTGCGCTTTCGTAAAAACTTCCATGTGTTCTCAAAGGCAAGTTTCAACGCTTACTCTCTTAAAAATGACTGCGCGTCCTACTTACCCACAAAACACTTGAAGAGCCTATGTGATCTACGAAATCAGCTTAGTGAATGATAAGGCGGAACATCTGTTTAGGCCTCAAAATTAAGTCTGCGCTGTGGCACTACGCAAATGCAGCATGACACTTTGCATCGCGTAAAACAGGGAACATATGAGCGATGAAAACGGGTGCCGCACAGCAGTATCGTAGCAACTGGTGCTGGCACAATTGACTGGCATCCCTATGTCACTTCCGCGCGGCGTGGTGTCGCCACGACAGCGCCCGGTTTCACCGCTCGTGTGCAGGCTTAAAATGCCTCGGAGCAGTTGCTGTCCCCATTATAACGGGTGTTAGCTTGCGCCACCTAGCCTAACAGAGGCACTCACAAGAGCACTCGGCCCGTTATAAAGGGTTTTGGTCCATCCGACTTCTAACGTTAAAATAAGATTCGGGAAATCAAAAAAAAAAAAAAAAAAACATTTTTAAGGAGTTATTTTATGTTTGTAACGCCACTAGAATTATTAATGCATTAGCAATAGTACCCTTATGACAGGATAAAGCTGACGGTGTCCGTCTGTGGACAAAACAGTGAAAAGGGAAGAGCGCCGAGTAGACAGGAGTGTGGACCACTGATCTCAATGACAATTGCTGGATCGCGCTTGCCGCTCCCGCAAGTGAAGCCACCGGGCGTCACTCGCTTGGGATACGATTTGCCGTTTTTGCTAGCCTTCGCTGCGGTTTTCCAGCGTGCTGACGACACGTTTTCTACTCGTTCGTCGTCACTCGCCGAAGAAGTTTTTTGAAGACTCTGTGTATTGTTGAGACTTTCCGTTGTGAACACGTGGAAAATTTTACGAAAGTGCAGTGTCGCAGGAAAAAGGCACAACGCGTCGAAAGGAAGGGCTGGCGGCGTGTTCAAAGCATCCTTGGCACGCCGAAGTGCCGTGTCTCTGTGCCTTCGCGCGCTTGGATACCGACCAAGAACCGACGCCGTGTGAATGTGTTTAGCGAGTGCAATGTGCGTGAAGCCGTATCAAAAGGTACAACTCGTCGAAAACGTGTCGCCGGTGTCGCGGCGTGATCAAAGCTTCCTTGGCACGCCGAGTGATGCATCTTTGTGCCTTCGCACGCTTGGATACCGGTCAAGAATTGACGCCGCGCCAAAGTTCTGAACGTGTGTCGCGCGTAGATGCCTTTAGATCATTTATATATATCGGCCACGGAGTTCTGGATCGTCCAGCTGTTCCGGTGAGTTGCTATCAATAAAAGCGGGAGATCTTATGTACTATATTAACCATGGCTATGTCCCAAATCTACTCTAATAGATTCCGTGGGAGCACGAATAGGGCAACGTTGTACGTGGAGCCAGGGGGGTTTTCGAAAGCAAATGTACAAGACGGCGAAAATGAAAATCTTTGAAGCGCGGCCGATATGGTCGTGTGCAATCTGTTGACCAATTACAATTAGGCGAGTCGCGTAGGTTGATAATAAGCCAGCACTGATCAGTGATGAGGAGCTGTCGTGCACGGTATTGTGTAAATCGTCTAAGGACGAAAAAAAGACGTACCTTCTCGCCATCTCCCGTCGCTAGTGGACGCTGGATTAAGCTCGTTCCTAAACCGCGAGGGGAAAAGACGCTGATCCAGAGGCACGAACAGCTTCACGCACATTGCACTCGCTGAACACATACACACGGCGTCGGTTCTTGGTCGGTATCCAAGCGTGCGAAGGCACAGAGACACGGCACTTCGGCGTGCCAAGGATGCTTTGAACACGCCGCCAGCCCTTCCTTTCGACGCGTTGTGCCTTTTTCCTGCGACACTGCACTTTCGTAAAATTTTCCACGTGTTCACAACGGAAAGTCTCAACAATACACAGAGTCTTCAAAAAACTTCTTCGGCGAATGACGACGAACGAGTAGAAAACGTGTCGTCAGCACGCTGGAAAACCGCAGCAAAGGCTAGCAAAAACGGCAAATCGTATCCCAAGCGAGTGAAGCCCGGTGGCTTCACTTGCGCTGCAGCGAACAAGCGGGGAAGCGCGATCCAGCAATTGTCATAGAGATCAGTGGTGTGGACAAAGACAAGGGGAGGCGACGTCACGGGGCAGAAGCCAATGCTCGTGAGGATGCTGGGGCGGGTCAGAACTTGCAGGTGTGCAGAGCACGTAGGTCTTGGTGTGTGCTACAAAATAAACCAAGCCAAATACTATAAAAAAAAAAAATAGTGCTGGTCCAAGTAGGTGGCAAAAATTAGACATCTACAAATCTCTGCAACACAAAATTAGAGTGCAGCTCTTGTGGAGGATGAGGGGTGGGCATGCCCCTCCTCCTCCGCATGTGACATCAACTTTCCCGCTAAATCTAGCAGAGAAACTGAATTTGTTCATATGTGACGCGACACCAAGACACGCGACGTCATTTTCCCCGCTAAATGTAGCGGGCGATTGAACTAGTGTTGAGGTCATGTGATAACAATTTTCCCACTAAATTTAGCGCGGTTACACCGACACCGCCCAACCCGGAAACGGGCGCCTAAGAGCTACGCTGAAATGAAAATCTGTCGGTGGATCTTTAGGGAATCAGTCAGCATGACCCTTCAGAAACGCCAACGCTTACCCCGTAACAAAGCCAAAAAGGGACAGCAAAAAACAGAAAAAGCAAGAGAAAGCCAAAACAAAAAAGTGAAGAGGACACCGTTATCGCCTCCCAAACGTCATGCTAATGCATTCTTTCAGGACCCACCAATACATTTCTTTGTTTTTGCTACCAAACTTCTATTTACTTTTAAGCTGACATACGGTGGGAGCTACGGGCTCGCAGGACCAATCAATCGCCAAATTAATTATCCCTTCAGGGAGGGCAAGGCAAAGCCCCATGTACTTCAAAGTCAAATGCTCTAGTGTCATGCTCCATGGTATACTGTATATGGTGCATAATGTGCTCAATGTCTTGTTTTTGTGACTTGTACTGATCGAGTTTTTAATCTTTCTTGCAATCTTCTATGATTTTTCTTTCTGCCTTTCACTACCTTCTACACTACTCGGCTGCTCAGCACAATCACATTTCGTATTTTGCTTCGAACTGTCATCAACAAACGCCTCGTTGCATGCAGCTTACATAATAGTGATGGGCTGAACTTTTACACGAATAGACCATATGCAAAAAGAAAAGCGCCATCTAGTGCACTCATGATCAAGGATGTTTCGCCCGAGAGACAATGTTCCCGGCAAAGTGGCAGTCAGGTCTAAAATATGATCACGTGCTGCAGGCCCATTAAGAACTCTTCACACAGCGGCTTCGATAAACACCATGCACTGACCTGGTTGGACCAGTTCACTGCTTGAGTCACGAGCCTTGCGGCCTAGTTTCTGATAATTTCTTTACCAAGAACATCGCAGCCGTCTTTCTTTTCTCTTTCAACAGAAATTAATCGGCAACCCATTGGGTGCACAGATACATTGTCCTAATATCACGAAAACCGATTTAAATGCAGATGTGCCTCGTCCACAGCTGGAAGACGTGAAAAAGAAACAACAACAAAAAAAAATAGGTGGCTCCCAACGAGGTTGGTGGCTCCAAATGGCACGATGATGATAGCTAGTAAGCATTTTGCATATGGCCTATTGCTAGCAGTCAGCCACCGAAACTCCACCATCAGATCACAGTATCACGTGACTGGGATGTAGTTGCAGCCAGCCAGATTTCTTTGTTCAGCAGCTGACTCGCATAATTGCACAAAATGGCCTCCACTCGAGAACAGTGTCCTCCCCCCCTTTAGTTTGGGTGTTTGCAGACCAACTGGTATGGGCCTTCGGCCTTTCTGCTGTACTCCCGACTCCCCTGAGCCAAATAAATGAAATGAAATGAAATAAAACAGGAGGCGTATGACCACAGGAGACGTTCTGAGAGACTGCTGTACATAAAATTTATTTTACCAGGCCAGCGCTCGAGCCAAGCTCGTTGAAGATGGCAATGTTGCATCCACAAACGCAATAAAAACAAAACCTTCCTTGAAATCAAGGTTATATATTACCCCTAGTTCCTCGGGATATATACAATGTCAAGCACACACAAGCCAGGCATTCCCCCATGGATGAAAATGAGACATAAAAATTAAAATGAAATAAAAGCCGCAAGAACTCCCAGCTACTTATAATGCAAATGACAGAACTAGAAATGGGCAAACGTTTTTACGAGCAATTAGGCTCCAGCCACATTAAGTGCAGGATCGCTGCTCAAGTCTACAAGAATCGTAATACAAGAACGGCTGACTAGGTTAATCCTGCTGCAGCAGAAAACTTGGGCAAGCTGCCAAAATGCCTGTGGCACTTGCGAAGCCTCTCAACATTTTCCAAGATGACAAAGAAAAAAAAAAAAAGCACCTATGCAACTCTTGCGTACAATCACACAAACCAGGATTGCCAAGGCCCGTGGAAAAAACCAAAAGATCTCAATTCGTCTGGGCTAAAGTTCCTGTAACTTAAAAGATTGAGCTGCCCCTAATAAAACTGATATGTACAACACACAAAACCGATGCACTTCACTCTCAGAAACATACCCGTTCTTGCGACGCACACTCTCGCCGTCGTATTTACATCCGTAAAACACAAAACCGCCTCGCTCGTAAAAGCACCCTTAAAAAAAAGAATGCCAGTGTACAGGTGTCCTGAGCACTGTTACACAACACCACGAAACTCGCACATACATCTCTCCCTGTCCTGGGGACTCCTGCTTGCACCTTCTCGATTTACACCTCGAAAGAATCGCAGCCGCACTTTCCTCGCGGTACGGAAACGTTCCGAAGCCCCCGACATCAGGCACCCAGACGGTCTTTCATTGCCTAGAGAGGCTACGTACAACACCTCCCACACTACGACACTTCCATACGACTCGTAAAAAATTCTCTTCCGTAACATGACGGCATACCCTTCTATAAAGTGAAGGCAAGCTCCTACGTAGGATCAAACTCGGAATAAAAGCCCGTGTTCCCCTCAAGGTAAGAGTACTTTGCGCTTTCCACGAAACGCTCCTCCTTTCCGCAATGCCTTCGAAACGGCTCCGAGAGGACGCTTAAAAAAAAAAGCGTACCACGCGATCGCTCCTTGCGACTTCAAAACCTGCCAAAGGGACAAACTTAATTTCCACATGTTTTTTACGCACGACGCACATGCCTTTTTACGCACGAAGCAGTTTTCGCTGCCCCACTGGAGACAGCAAAGAATGCCTCAAGCTGCAACAACGTCGTTTCTTCGCAATCTTTCCAAGAAAACATTTAATTCGTCCACAATAAGATAGACACGACTACTATACGAGGTGTACAATTGGATTGTTTTCTTTGCGAGCAAACCCTACCAATCTAGAACACCACCGGCCATGCAACCACTGTTTTCTTCCTTTTATTTTTTTTAAACACTGCCAAAGTAAAATTTCTTAAAAAAAAAAGACACAAAAAAAAAATGATGAGTCTTAATTTTAAAATTTTAATACATTTCGTTTCACCATAATTTTGCAAAGAGCAAACTTTTAAGCCAATCGGAGTAGCGGAAGCGAAATTCGTCTCCTTCCGATCACTGATCGGCTCACTACGAGGTTGATCGACGACTAATCGAGGTTGCGGCATTACCCCCGCAGGATCTGCGCGAACCGTTTCGAGGCAGGACGGAAAGGAAACGCCGCAGGGGTTAGGCGTGCGCTCGACCGCCCGATGGATCTTCGCCTTCTCGTTCCCGTGTCGGAGCGCCGACTCGTACGCGAGGTCCCCCGGATCCCCGCCAGGCACGATCCGCGCTTCCAGCTCCGGCCGCTCCCGCAAAAGGCGGAGCTCTGCCCGTGTTGTGGCGCCCTCTTCTGGCGACGGGGCCCGTCGCGTCAGTTTGCCGAGATCCAGCCGCTGTTGGCAAAGTGGCTCAGGATGCGTCGGCTGTTGGACTTGTCCAGTCCGGACGGCGATCGGAACTTGGGCGACGGGCTGCCCTGCCGACGCCTCTGAGCTTGGTCCTGCGACGGAGTCGACCTCGTTATTCCAAGGACTTGCACGAGTTATGGCACAAGGCGGCTAAAATATTACGCACCAAGGTTTTTTGTTTTTTTTTTCAAAAAAACTTTCGTAAAATTGACAAATTGTCGAGTCTTTGAATGCAGTAAAAAAATTAAACAGAGTGGTGTCAATGCACAGTAAAATACCGAGCGTCCGTCCATTCCAAACGGAGGGCACTGTATTGCCGGGCTGCAGGAAACATTTCTGAGCGTACTGGCAATTTGCAAAAACTTCATTTGGTCACCCACAAAAAAACTTTTTCAAATTCTCACCACTATAGCTAGCTACATACAAACAAAACTCCCTTCCTGATAATATTGAAATCATTCAAGAATCCTCTAGTTTCAGAGCTTCCCTTGCCACTTCCTTTAACGCATAACAACCGTAAAACCCCTTTTTTTTTTACGTTTGTAAAGTACTATTTTTATGAATGCTTTACGGGCACAAGAAATGAAATAAACCAACTAAAATAAGCGCCCCACCCTCGATTTTGTAACATTCAGAAAATACACAAAAAACATATCTTTACAATTTGTGGACCTAAGGCATCCCCGTTTCACGTGATTATCTCCAAATTTTTAGTGGCCGCTTGCTCGGGATTTTACGATACGTGTTTGTCAATGTTACATTGAGTCTTTCACATTGGTTTTCCTTAGTCCTATGTTGTAGACAGCTTTAAATATGTGATCGGTCTAATTAAATCATTAGATGTGAATACATAGAAGCCAACGTGCACACTGTTAAGGCAATTTCGGGGTGTACGTTATAGGTCTCCTTGACGTCTCTTGGTTATTGTTTTCTTCAAAGGTTTCTCAGAAGGTGAGTTCCCACACACAAGTGCTTCCGTCAGGCAAATTGGAATGCACACTGTTAAAAGAGAAGCGAAATAAACTTATTATTACTATTATTATGATTGCAGAGTTTTCTCTGCAATGATAATAGGGATGCCGTATGCCGTAGGGCCGCCATCCGAAGATGGCGGCCCTACGGCAGATGAACTCAATTCAATTACTTGAGAGAAAGCACAACGAATGCCAACACCTCGATTATAGTTCTTCCTCAAAGTGGAACCTCTTTGCAGTAAATACTCATCCTGCAAAAATGGGGAATTAGCGATGCAGAGCTGCGATATTGATACGGGCACACAGGCTAGTACCGATGTAGCGAAGGTCTCACAAGCTTTGAGCACACACGAGCATCCGGTGGTGGTGCGTATGGCAGGACACAGGTAGAGAAAAATGCTGCCTCACCTTGAGCACGACAGTCTTAAAGGTGATGTAGTAGGTGGGGCTGATTCCCATCGACTGGCAGAGCTAGAAAAGGAAAAAAGAAGTCGGCGCAAGTTATCCGCGCGCGGGGAAAATGGCGTCCGAACTCGGAAGAAAGGGGACGGCAAGAAGTGAGGGGGAGACCTACCTTCCTCTCCTTTTCGGAGAGCAGCTCGTAGCTGAGCATAGTGGAGATGTCGGTGGCCTCTTTGGATCCCTCTCCGACGTCACCTCCTGCAACGGGAAGCGCTTGCGTCACGCGACGGAAGAGGGGAGGATCCCCGTTGATGCGCCAAACTATACGTCGGTACCGTCCATACGTGGCCATAGCTAAAACTATTTTCTAAAACGTGAATTCCCAAACTCGGTTCCCGGATATTCGGGGATTCCCGAATTTCCTCGACCCTCCCGTTTTGGGTCGATCCAAGTCGCCTGTCGGTGGATGACCGTGAGCCGAATACTGCCTACCGCGTACATTATTGCTTGCAACGTCTGTGGGCTTTCGCGTTGCTTAATGCGTCGGTGCAGAATTCGGGTGGGGTTCCTCTGCCGTTAGTCGAGGGAGAGAGGTGTTTCCCGAGGCCAAAAAGTTTTGAGAACCTTGCCCGAAAACACTCGCAACTATGTAAAGACCACCTTGCGTCACCACAGTTTTAGAACGAGAAGGCTACGCCCCATTGCAGACAAGGATAGGAAAGCTGGCAAGTGGCCCGAGTGGTTGTAGCAAGCGGGGGACGAGTGGTAGAACGAAACTCGTCCCAGACCGAGGGCTGCACGAAATGTGGCTGTTACGTGGCGATTATGATTAGCCCCTACAAACATGCTGCTTAATGTTGTTTCAACGAAGGTATATCGTAAGCAGACGCCAGCTTACTGGCAACCAAACTATGGGGATGACAAATTTAGTTGGCACAACTGAGCTCGCTATAGACGGTTTTCACGCGACGGTCGCCATCTTGAATTCGGACATAGCCATGTTGGAGGAAGATGCCATGCGGTCAGGGGCCTTTATAATGAATGCCTCTACTACGAAAACAGCCATTTAGTTAATAAAGTAAAATAATGTCTCGGCCAATCTCCCATGTGTCCAATGCGTTTCTCCGAATGACCAATATTGTGGATTTTCTAGGTGAAAAGGAACCATTTCACGTAAACTGTCGCTCTCGAGTTACACGCTTAGAGAAGAGAAATACTGTGTCAACAGTTGAGGTTGAAATCGCCGCCGCGTGTTCTCGGTTTCGGGTCTAAATATTTCGTTAGCGTGGAGCCTTGTGTCTAGATGGCGCTACATGACTATGTTGCTTCATAGAACACCTGTATGCAGCAACATAGCCACAAAGTGCCAACCAGAAACAAGGTTGCACACTAACAAACTATTTGGACCCTAAACCGAAAACGCACCGCACGGCACCGCACCTGGCGGCACAATCACTAGCCTGGAGTCCTTAAATTGCATCAGGCAGTGGCGAATGCAAAAACGCGGGTCAATACCATTTTCATTTAAAGAAAGAACAAAAAAAAAAAAAAGTGGTATTGAGTTTGATTTCTGGATTCTGCAGCGCAAACTTTCGACCCACGTGCTCCGATTCGCGTTGCATTAGCAGACTTGGCCACTGTTCCCCCTCTTTTGACAAGTCACTTGTCAATGTACCAAACCTTGTTTGTGATGCCACTCATGCTATATTTTTACACTATACTGTTTCCTAAAAGACCTCAAATGCCGCGCAGATATGTCAAAATGCAGTAACGCAGGTTCGGTTTCGCACGGTCGATCTTTCGCACTCAACCACAACGAAATTACCTGTGCTACAAAAAATTTCGCCAGTCCCACGGACTTTGTTAGAAAGACATTTGACCGCATCATATTATTTGCCGATTAAGAGGCACAGGAACGCTACAACCTTTTTATCATAGTACCATAGAAACTCCTTCATTTTTCGTCGGCCCCCCCCGACTACGCCAGAATTCAAGGCGGCAACTTCGCGGGAAGAACGGTCGATAAACCGTCGGCGGTGAAAGTGAGGAAGAGGGGACGCACCTTGTTCGCTTAGCGTAGGGTCGGCGCTTCCTTTTTCTCTGCACAAAAAGGAAAAACAAGGAAAAAACAGTGTCAGAATGTACTTTTTTGGTTTTTTTTCCCCTAAAAACAAAAGAATGTTGAAGGATGACTCACTCGTGTTTTCTTGACGCCATTGAGGAGGGCTTTCTGTGAGCGGAGCTGCCTTGGACCTGCATTCAGGGCAAACTGATGCAGCGTGAGCGCACTTAGCCGAGCAACAAGCGCAAAGCGACACGCTCCCACGTCTTCCCAGTCAAGTCATCATTTCTTTTTTACTTTTTGCAAACAAAGTACCATAGCCACCGAAAGGGTGAGAACGGCAGGGCACGTCTTTCGAACGCCCGGCAGGCGCTCGCTGCCTTCCGCTGTGCTTTGCACGGCAGAAGGCAACGGGCCAAAGCGCTACCGAAAGTGGGAAGCGCGCGCCGGGGGCGGGACGACAGATACTCCTCGCCGCCGTTCTCGTCTGGTCGGCAACCACGGTCTGGACTACTCGACACGTCTCGAGGATTAACTTTGAGGCGGTGCCAGTCAAACGTGCGCATTACCTGCCCTGTCCCGATTCAAAAGCGTCCACCACTGTACGAAGTACTCCGTCCACCCCAAAACCGACAATGCGACGGAAGCAAAACGCACGGCGCTCTTTCACAAAAAGATAGCACTCCCGCCCACCACCTAAGTGCAGAGAGCACGGAGTTCGGCAACGAAAGTGGAGCGATCAATTGGTCCAGCCGGCTGCAGAGTGAGCTTAGGGGTGGACGAAGTTTAGAGCAACGCCGCCACACCAAACGTTGAACGAACGAATCTGAGGTTTAGGTGCGCAGCAGCGGCGAGCACGCGACCCAGGTGTGTCGCAAGAAACGTGTTCTAAGAAACAATGATCGATGAGGCAATGGCAATGTCACTAAACGCCGCTTTTAAAGGATGCCAAAGGCTGATTCGGACGTTCGGGTTTGAGTGTTGCCGACTGCATTAAAGGGTAACTGCAAAGAAAAAAAGGTGTATTTTTAAACAGCCAAATCGGAACAAGCATGTCACAAAACAATCTTTCCGCGAACAAGAACATTTTTTAGAGCAATATTTATTGCGCGAGACTGATTTTAGTTTTGCGGCTACTTCGTCCGTTTTAAATCGCACGCCACAAAGTTGGTATTATATGTCACGGAGTGACGTATTACAGCCACTTTGAGCGCGTCGAAAGAGCGGGAGTTTCAAATGTGGAGAGGTTGTGACTCCGACTAAATTACGTCCTGTGGCTGTGGCGCGGAAGATTTTTGTGACATGCTTGTCCCAATTAGGCTGTTTAAAAAAACACTTTCTTTTCTTTGCAGTTACCCTTTAAGACAGCCAGTGATTGATTGTGACGAGATGGTTGCCACGACAATAGTAGGACGCAGAGTCCCAACGTAACCGGTCACACCCCGCGCGAATGTCTGAACCAGCCTTAAGATTCCCACGCTCTCCAACACCCTTAAAAGTCCGCTTGCACGGAATGCCCAATAGTTGAAGGGGTGAGAACATTAAAAGTGACTGCGAGCACCTTGAAAATTTTCTAACATTGAAAGCGAACGTTTGCAACAAAAACAAGTCAGCAGAACCGCGTTGCCAGAGGTGACACTTACAGACTTCTTTTTGTTCTCTTTCCGCTTTTCCCGCCGATGCCTGGCCAGGTCAAACTCCGCGCACTCTGAAAATGAAAGAACAAAGAGAAAATTTGTGAACAGATAGCTAGGTCGTTCCTGGGAGGACACCAGACAACCGGAAAAACCGATAACAGGAACGTCCGGTGCCACGAGCCAAGGCAGAAAGTAGCGAAAACCAACCTTATAATCACATGGTCGCCCTCAACCGTCGCTGGGCTTACGAAACTTGATTCAATCGCAATCGGCCGGAGTTGCGCGGAAGCGCGAACCGTTAATAGGCCGCTAACAAAACTTGAAACTCCCTACTGTATTTAAACTGGATGGACTTTGCTAACAGAGTTTAAGCTAACGGCCCCAGCGTGAGCTACACACTCACTGTTTCGGAATGCAGGAGGAGGTATTTGAATACGATCACAGCAAACAGAATGGAAAGAAAGCAATCGTTCTATGAGTGTAGCATCTAGAGATGTCGATAGCAATCCAGCTTTTGTTATGTTTTCCTTGCTTGCATTCATTTGAAGCAGGCTTATTCTTGTTCCTCTACCCAAAGCAAAAAGGAAACACGTGATATCTTGTGTCAAGCAGTTATCAGCAATAAAAAGTGTGTTTAGAACCAATTTACTCATTGGATAGATCATTTCAGCAACCGTGTCACATGACACGGTTGCTGAAATGGCTCGTGTAAAGAGGGAATAAAAGCGCGCTCTTTTGGCGAAGCTCGAGAGATGAAAGGAGAAGTCAGCTCACCGTCCAATTTCGTGATCCCATTGCGACGATACCTCATCAGGTCCTTGATTCTTGCTTTCAGCTCTTTCTCTCCTGTGGAGAAGACCAGTCAACCCATCAATCAATTCCCTCTCCAACATACTCAAGGACGTCGTTGACAAAGAGTGCATGAAAAGAAGAGCACATAAACATTTTTTCGAAGTAACCACAATTTTTTTTTTTTATATTAATTGTCATCGCAATGTTCGCTCCACGTCTCTATGGACCATTACCTAGCTTCATTTGTGCATACTACTGGCTTAGTAGCAATATCAATTTATTACTTGCCAACTATATTTTCTTAATTCTTTTAATGAAATGTGTATGTCGTAAATTCTGTATTGTGTTGTACTAGGGTTCATATATTCATCCATATTGTTCACTTATGTTCGTATAATTTGTGTATATTTGTTTCCCTTACAGTTTGTAAACTGCATCACCAACCTATGTACGATCTTCAAAACTTCATAACTGCCCTACTAAATTTCCGAATAAAACTTGCGAAATTGCTATACATTTAGAAAAAAGAAAAGTAGGGAAATTTTCAGAAGGTGTTAGGTTTGCCATAAGTCAACTTCCTGTCGATTCACGTCAAGCGAGAAACAAGCAGTGTCTTCCCTTCGCTCCCACCCGTGTCCACTCCCACCACGTGGGCCCGCTACTTCGGAAGCCAGAGATCTGCCCCAACCAGGAAGGCACCCTAGCCCGAATCTTCGCTTTAGATTGCCACCACGGAGAAGAATGAAAGTTGGCGAGACTCACGTTCGAGGTTCTCGAAAAGCTGCTCGTGGTCCGTGGACGACTGGAATTGGCAGAACACCCGCATCTTATCCTGTTGCTCCCTGAAAACATCCAATCTGCCTCAGTCAGGTTGGCACCCTTTTGCCAGAGAATATTACTGCTGCACGGCCTCCACGATAAAGAGCTACGGGGAATGGATACAAAAAAAAAAAAAAACCCGCGTTACTGTTTAACCTTTTTCGGTGCGATCAAACGGCAGCGTGGCGGGCCCTCGGCTCTTTTTTTTTTTTCGAGTGTGGGTCAGTTCGCACGCTGCAATCTGGTGCTTGACCCAATGCGTACGAAACAAGCGACAAAAAGCAATGTTGCCGTGCCTGGGCCAGCTGCGTGTTACAATTGCCGTCACTTGTCTCGTAATATATTAGTACGAGAGGAGGATGTTCCTGGGCCTTTATTATTCTACGTGGTGGAGGCTTAGGCCACGCTAGCCTCGAACAAAGCAAACCCGTCACCAAGGCCAGGCTCAGTCGGCCCAGGCAAGATCGGAAACGGGCCAGTCTAGGCCGGGGGTGCCCAAACTGCGGCCTTTCGGGGGCCCGAGTGCAGCTTGTGGCTCCCAATGAACCCACCCCAGACAAATAAAAAAAAAAAAAAAAAGACAGCTTGCATTTTGTCAGCTTTGTGCTATCATATATACACATCACACAAGGTCCTTGTTTCACAAATGGAAACTCGCAATAAGGCAACATACTGAGCAATCTGAGCAAACATACTGAGCTTTATAAAATATGTCTGCCCGGCCACCCTTGGTCCAGGCCACAGTACATTCATTGAGCTTACTCAGCCCAGGCCAGATCAGACAGGTCAACCTAGACCTTGCTACATTCGTTGAGCCTACTCAGCCCAAGCCAGAGCAAACAGGTAAATCTAGGTTACGCTACCTCCGTCAAGCCTAGTTCAGCCAAGATGCACTTACTGCCGAATTCACAAACCTCACTCCATTCGAGGTACCCCTCTGCTTTCTCAAGGAAGGCGCAAGGTTTGGCTCCGGCCAATCGGAATGACGGATAGACGGTCCTCGTGCCTTCCCGGAGGAAGCGGATGGGCCTCAATCGGAGCGAGGTTTGCGAATTCGGCGGTCAGCCCGGGCAGTTCGAGCCAAGCCACGACGTGTCGGTCAGGGCACACTTTAGGCCAGCCCGGAGGAGACGACGAGAGCCCGCACCTGTCCTCGTCGGGGCAGGGCCTCTTGCGGGACGGGGTGGTGCCGGGCGTGGCGGCCCCCTTGGCCCTGCCCTGGCCGCAGAACTGCTCGAGCAGGCGGTAGTCCCTGGCCAGGGCCTTGCGCCTGAGCCGCTCCCTCAGCCGCCGGGAGTACATGTCGACCTGGGCCAGCTTCAGCGCCACCTCCAGCTCGTCCTCCTCCGGCCCCACCGACAGCTGGCTGATCAGGGACTCTGCCTCGTTGTCAAACTCCTGCACGGGGGAGGGATGCCAGACCGCCACGGTAAGGACGCTGGGAACACCTTCGGTTCGAAGTGAGCAAATTCCAAGGATTCCTGGGAACCCCAAGTGTTCTTTAGAGTAGCCCCAGCAGTCTGCAGAGAGCGTACGTTTGTTCCGATGCCACCCGTCAAATTTGCTTTCGGCGAGACATGCTTCGTGCGATAATGCTATTCTTGTTGCTTTTCATGTAACACAATAATTTTAATTAGTTAGTCTTCGAAAAATATAACTTCCCATTTCGTGCCGCTTCGATCATAAATGTTTGCTAGGAATAAAACATAAATTAATTAGGTTTAAAAGAGCATCAACGCACAAAGCCTCTCTCGCTTAATGCATACCTATAAAAATTTCCATATTCCGAACAATTTTACGCTAACGTAAGAAGGACCCGATCGGAACTGCAAATTTATCGAAAAGTTGGGACCTTGTAAAGCTGCGCGAAAACGAATTACACCTTTTAAGATGTCACTAAGAAATACATCAGTGAACCAAATTTCAGCGTGACAGATGAATAAGCATCTGAAAAAGTTAAAAGCCCCTCATCCCCCCTTAAAAAGCCAGAGGTTCATAAATATTTTCACTGCGAGGAACACCCGTCTCTTTTTCGCCGATGGCCGGGAGACTTCCACTCTTGGCACTGTAGCAATAAAGCAGTTCAGAAGCCAAGAGACTTTGTAGACAACAATGCATGTACCAGAAAGTGTTTAATCCATAGTTATGAACTGAAGGAACGGCCCGCAAAAATAGTTTGTTGAATCTGGGCACTGCATAATTTGTAAGCAAATAAACAGCCCCGCAGCAAGAATGCGGGAAGATGCGGAGAACGTGAGACCTTAGACGCGGCGCAGTACGCTCAAAGTTTCCCTTAGCTAACCCTTTCGTAGTCGTCCCTGCAAGGCATGTATCCGAGTTCCTGCTGCTCCGCCGCCGTCAAGTCGCCCGCCGAGATGTTGCTCTTTGCGCTCGGCGACAGGGGCCCTGCAACGAGACGTGCGGGAGGCCCTGCTGGTACGCCTAAGCATGCTGCAACACAAGCTACTTCGCGGAATAGCCTTATTATTAAGGCTCGTCCACGTGTGAATGTAAGGTCTCGCAAATCCCACAAAACCTTCGCTCTAGCAAAATGCAATTCCAGGGTCACTATGTTAAGAGATTGGAAGAACTCAGACTTCAGCAAACGCAGGTGTGTGTGAACGGGTCTTTAGGGTTAGGGGACAGATTCTTGGCATCAATTTCTTGCGTGAAACACAAAATCGAAGTTCATCGAACTCGCGTTGACGAAAATGGGACACGGGCATTGTATTCCGCAACCCCAGCAAACAAATGCGTGGACCGAATACTTGGAAGACGTCCCCTAATGATGGAGAAAAGTAACGAGATAAGAGACGCCTGGTTCCGAAACAAGAAGTCTCGCGGGCTGTTCAAGGGGGGCGGTGCTTTGGGTTATTGTAAAATAATGCTGCAGACAAACACTCTCGCCCTGCGACGCTTGGGGTTCTTATTTGGGGTTAGCCCGTTTTCCCCAATTTCGATAAAACCCCCTTGAGGGTGACTTTGGGACTTATCGATTTTTGCCGAAGACACAAAGATTGTGCAAGCTTTCGGATAGCGCGAGGTTACAAATGCAACCAACAGGCAAGAAATAGTTTGAAATTTTACACCTCTGACTAACGAACCTTTGTTCGAGATGCTAAACAGCGGTGTTGAACTCTCAGAAATATAAACCAGGCTCCTACGTCTCCTCCGAGTTAACTCAAGTGGCGTTTTATAAAATACAGCAGCAGAAGAATACAAGCTCACCGCTGTCGGGCGAGGTATGGTCCTTCACCAGGAATGACGGTTCCACCGACCATGTAGCTGAAAAAAGCGTCGCGGCACAGCTGAGCATCCAGGCGTGCTTTCGCATACACCCATTCTCATGCTAACGTTTTTAATTATGAGAAAAAATAAAACTCAATAAAGACAATATAGAGGACAGCACACACCTTTGCCTATGTTCCCCATTATGTACAAGGTATTGTAATGCTCCTGGACCTCTGAAAGAGAGACGGTGCATCAGACAGACCCCTCAACGTTGACGGCAATCTAGGGAAACTTGCATCATTGCCGGACGTATAAAACCTACCTTCGACACTCCTGGAAGGCAGACACTGAGACACATCTTCCCTGCAAAAAGAAAGAGAAGCAACTACGGTAAGAACATTGGCAGAACACTAAACTTTCTGGGTTCAAGAAACTTAACTCCTCAAGAAGGACTGGGTACACGGAGAACCCATTGACAACAGACCATTATAATATGCATTTAAAGGCCTTATCAATTAGGTGCAAGGTATTGTCATACTCAGATGTTAGTCCGTGCCTAAAACGTGACGCACTTGTTGCATTGCGTATACTCAGGAAGTCAAGTTTCGCATATGAAATATTCTCTTCACAGTATTTAGATATTGTAGAATTAATAGCGATGCACATAGTATCTTAAATGCAAACTTAATTTCTAAAATCCACCCCCTTCCCGAAATCAAACAAAATATTATTCGGTATAACTTTACCATTACTTCACTATTTGCGACCCCAGGGGCCTACAGAGGTCGCCACTATCGGACAAATATGACGGTCTAAAACAGGTTGTGCCGTGTCACATGCCAGCTCAACACCCGGGCTTCAACTTTCGGCGGGCAAGCATTAGACTCAAAATGGTTTGCAGCGATTTTAATTCAATAAGTGTCAAACCTGCGGTGTTGTGTTGGCACAAGCTAGCTTCCAGAGGCTTCACTATCTTCGGGGAAGCGATGGACGGCCTGCGGTGCCAATGAACGTTGATAAACGCACAATGTCTGGTTTGCGCGGCCGCGTAGGATGTGTTCAGAGTGACCCGGGCGCCACGCCGATATAGCAGTGACGACCAAGTCCCCGGGACAACCGTTCCGTCGAGCCAACCGCCGACAACGTCCAATCGCGAAAGCCACAAGGGACGAGCAGCAATCGCCAAAGGATCCAATCCATTGAGATTGGCATTTTCCCGCTATGCACCGTCCGTTTTGCTAGAGTCGCGAGCCAATATGCACAATTTCAGTAATAACTCAGAACAATAGCTTCGTAAAACGTGAGTAAAAGAAGAAAAAAAAAAACCCGGAAATGTTCTACTTGCCAGTTCCCGAAGCCATACTGCTCTATGGCCTCCAAGAGCACGAGTTCCTCCTTGGCCTTCCAGTTGCACGGCGCTTGGAAGATGGGAAAGTTCCCACAGTCCTGCAAGACCACAAGCAGAGGTGCTCCAGCAAAACTACGTCCTCCCCTAAGTTTTCACCAACGGCGCGAATGACGGCTAGGATAGATACGAAAGCGACTGTAAGGCTTTGGCGCAACCATGGTGCCTAAAACCTGTCCCCGAACGACGCGCTCTGCGTCCCGTTCTGCCCGTGCATTGAAAGTGGTCCCAAAGGGGCAACAAACGACGTCACAAGAGCTGGAGTGTCACGCTGTCGGACGTCGCAACCCCGGCGGCCGGTCGTAGAAGTGCGGGCGAAAAGCACGAGCGAACGCGAGTGCCGCTGCTGATGCGGTTTCTCAACTCCCGGCTGCCAAAGCTTCAGTGGACCATGAAGCCGGAGAGCGACTTGCAGCGGATCTTGGGACGCGGTAGACACATTCATTAGTCGGATTGATTGATCGTTGCGTTTGAGGCACCGTGGCACAACTCTACATCGAAGGCTATACCCTCGTACTGACGTGCCCCACCTATCACCACGGGGATATTTTGCTATGCAAATTTTCATACAAAAAAAAATGCTTTGCAACAAAATTCAGGCGTGCTAAAGGCGCCATTTAAAGATGACTTTGAAGCGAGCTGCGCGTCGTACTGTCGCAGCATACCGACCCAGCGGCGAGATTGCGAAAGTCGCCGCACTCCGTCCTAGGCGGCAAGGAGCATTGATGACCTTGAGACGTTCCAAGGACGGCCGCAGAACCATGTTTGTCACTAGGGGTACTCACAATTAGCTGATAACCGTGCCTGTTCTTGTGCGCACCCATCTCTGCTCCACACGAGAAACACTGAAAGAGGCAGAAAGAAAAAAAATAACTAGAGTGAAACTAGGTATGTGAGCAGGTGGCTCGCAAGTTTCAGGTGCTTCGAGTAGTCAACTTTCAAAGAGCATAGCCAGAACAATGTAATCCGTATAACTGTTAATAAACAAAAGTGTTGGGTAAGGCAAATGTGGAATATTTGAAGCAACTGGGATAGGGGTTTTTCCAAGAATTAAAATTAGGGAAATGTCTAAATTTCTAGGGGGGGGGGGGGGGGGGGGAGATCACTGAGGATAGAGGAGTCGTTGCGAATTAAAGGGGCCCTGCAATCATATTCAAGCGTCTACCTTTTTTGTCGTTTCCACGTCTCTTGGGGTTCGAGCAAGCCAGCGGGCACGGAGAGAGTAACTAAATATCAGTGCGTCCTATTTTAACCGGTTGACGCGGAAACCTCCTCCACCCACGAGGGCGACCCGTGGTGGCCGAAAGCGCGCAATATGTGACGTCTTTGGTCCTGGCCTTACTACTGGTCAGAGCCACTAAAAGCTTCTTTTTAGTCGAAATACAAAATATAAGTGGTGCGAACCGTTTCAAATATTTATAAAAGCAGTTTTTGTTCACTATTCTAGATCAGAAAAGAAACAAATGCAGTTTAAAAAGTACGGAAACAAGAAATGACTCGTTGACATACCCGCCACTAAGCGGTGGAAAAGGCGGCGCATACTAGAAAGGTGTAGTGGGATCAGGCCCCAAGGACCGGCGAGCCTAGAAAGGTCCCGGGTGTACACGGCGGCGCTGCGGTCGCATGGACTGGAGGATCCGACCGGTTCGAGCATTCCCAAGGCCTTCGGCGAGCAGCTTTGGCCTTTTGGCGGTATTGCAGCGCGAAGTGGCTCCCGTTCTGAACTGATCTTTACCCCGTGTCTGCGGTCGTTAAGTGTCATGCAGAATTAGTGTTTAATCGCGCAGCAAATGCAATGCGAGCCGCCCTGGCTGTCCGCTTCATCCAGCCTAGCCAAAACATGCTTTAGCGTTCGCCCTATCGAGCCGTCGACACGGAGTGCGGCAGCCGTGACCGCTCGCCGAGCTCACTACCCCTCCTCTAGTCCACCGCCACTCAAGCAACCAAGGACGTCATGAAGGAGGTTATTTTTTTAATTGTTTTTGTAATTTTAGTTTGATTTTAAAACAAAGCAAAATTTGAGAAAAGAAAAGTTTCATTAAGTTACTACGTTCAGTACGCTCAGGTCCGGTGTAAATTAAAAACCATTAAAAAAGTCCTTGCAGGGCCTTCAGAAAAACAAGGGGGGGGGGGGGGGGAGTGAACACCCCCCCTAGGGGGTGTGTAGGAAAACCACTGAACTGGTAGATTTAGCAGGTCATTCATTACACACCTGGGTTCCCCAGCACTAAATGTAGTGTGGCCAAACGCACCGACTTCTAAAGTTCCTGCTAAAAATTGTTTCGGAGCCAAGTGCAACATAAACATATTTGAAGTTTATGTTTATAGAGCAAAGGTCAGTCTTCCTTTGAGATGTGGCAACACTGGTTTACACTGTAGATGAGACATTTCCTTAGTGCAGTACCAACGCCAGCCTGGCGTCTTCAACGTGCATCTGGATAAGGACTGTACTGTGGTACAAAGCTTAAACAGATCGAAAAAAACCCGGGAAGGGATCGAGTTGCAGGTGGCTGCTTAGAAGGAACATGCTGTGCCCAGTCAAACCAGTGTCAACGTCAATCCAAAAGGGCTGTACTGAAAAAAGTTCAACCTACTGCAGAAGTGAGGAGTTGCTATGGCACATAGCGCACAGGCAGGCTATTCATTTTTTGTCGTTCACAAATAGCTAGGCATCTCCTCTGCTCAATGAACTACTGCAGACAATACGAGCTGAAACAGTACTTAAAGGAGCTGTGCAACAATATTAACGTTGAAAGAATTGGCATTTTCTGCTTTTGATATTGTTCACTGTGTCACAAATGGCAGAAAACACACCTCCTTTCATCGAAATGTTGCGATTCCTCCGCGTAATAGCGAGGCAAAACTTGAAATATTTCCCGACCTGCAGCCACGAGCAGCGGCCATGAGAAACAAGCGGCGTGATGTCACTTGGGTAGTTGTAAGAAAGATAGCAAGTTGTGCGAATACCTGCTCGATAAAAGGTAACTTTCCTATAAATCTTGTCGTTCCAACGTATATGTAAATGCGTAAAATCCCTGGTATCATCGACAAAACTTTTATTATACGGAGTTTTAGTGGCGCCATCTATCCTAGGTCCACAAAACCGCGAACAGCCGCCAGAAGCCGGAGGGGGAGGGGGACAGCGCCGGACGGGCAAGGACGGGTGGTCACGCGGTCGCGAGTGGATGAGTTCTCGCTGCTCACTGCTGGCTCTAAAGAGAGAACTTTTTCGGAACTCCGCGCCTACTCAAGTGACGTCACTGTGCACGTGACCCAGAAGACGATGCACGAGTTGAGAGGCGGCAAGAGCCTGGATCTTTTTCATTTTTTTTTTTTTAAATAAAAACTAGGGTATCCAGGCAAAATCTGTTTTCTGCAGTTCACTGCAGAAGTGTCAGGCATCAACTTCCACAATTATTTAAGCAAAGCCCTGGAATTGTTGCATAGCTCCTTTAATGGTTCTTCAGCTTTTCTGCCAATACTTAAAAAAGTTCTGTTTCAAACTTGACTTAAAAGTCAGAAAGTTTTGTCAATTTCAGAGATAACGAAGCTTGCCTGTTACTCCCGGTTGGCCGTTGTTTTTTCTTGTGTTTGAGGAACTGTAGTGAGTAGCGCTTACTTAAAAACCACCATGCCGAGGACCAACTATGGTACCTCTATTAAAAATTTACTCGTACTGGATCGGCAAGCCTCAGCACGCCATCCCGATCCCTTCGATGAGAAGAAAGAGTGCTTGTTCCTCAAAGCGACGACAAGTCTGCCGAAGGTGTCGTGGGTTCATCTTCAGAACTGCCTATTTGAGCCACCTGGCTCATATACTCAAGTACGACTTAAATCCTACAAGTCTTGAGAACTACCTGGCGAATGCCATCAATGATGCACGAAAATTAGCATCTGCCTCTGCCAGGCGCCGAGTCAGGTTTTGGTACAATCTTCCGAGAGTCTTTATCATACTTTCTTCAGAGCAACAAGTCTCTCTCCAACGTACAATTTTCTAAGGCTATGACTTATTTGCTTCGCTATTTAGGGTTTCTCTCCCGAAGCTCTGTGTCACCTTGTGTTTCTATGTGCCGTAACGGCACGGTTGGCACCTATCCTTGTACGGAGATGGTCGGTCGATGCACGGCATCCTCACATTTCTCCCGCTGCACCATCTGTCGGCGGCTCATCGAGGTAGACGAGCCGTCTGCTCTATGCTGCTGTACTGCGATCACCCAAGCTCGGCGTCGTAGGTGGCATCCCTCGTCTCAAGAAAATCACAAGAACTTTACTTGTGACGTTTTGTTTGCACCACTCAAAAGCACAACACTAGGGCATTTTTAGAGCATAGCTCGCACACAATTGCTCGCTAGTGAATCAAAAGTCGCCGAACGCCCACCCAAACACAAGGTAAACATTGGAGAACTGGAAGTATCTCTCTCCCCACCATGGCACCCGAAAGTGGCGCGAACGCCCTATATAAACGGATTATGCAATCTTTTTTTATTTACTTATATTTTATTATCTCACGCACACATCGTTCTATGGTCCTAACATGATCTAGCCACCCCAGCTCAGTTTAAAAATTTTTCCCATAAGTGTCCTGCTTAAAAAAAAAAAAATAGACGTGCAAGGTAAGGATTCCTTGCCTCCCCGTCCTCGTCACAAAGAAAAGAAAGCTGTCTTTGTTCTATATGTATATTTCCATTTATCCTTACCACTATTGAAGTAGGATGATTGTGTGAAACATTTCTGGACTATTAAGTTTGAGTCACAAAAAGATAGTCGTAAAATCTTTGTACACCGTTAACTGGACCATCGCTTTGTATCGATGCTATTTCAAAATTTTTCATAATTAAAATAATAATAGAAAAAGCTAAACGAAAAAAGAAATCTACAGTTCAGCTGTGTTCGCAGCTGCCGGCAACATGGCGGCACCCATCGTCTTGTGGACGAGTGAAACGGACGGCAGATCGCCGCCGCAGCTGCGCAAACCGAGTTACAAACATACAGGATCAAAAACGATCTCGAACCAGCTCCGTGATGAGGCGTCTATTCCAGGCGCGCCGCGAAACGCGCGTAAAAAAGAAGAAACGCTCCCAAAAGAAACCTACACACATCTCTCTCTACAAACAAACAAAAGAACGACCCGGTTGAGCGGGAAGCAGACGGCACGGGGAACGAGCGCAAGTGGCCGCATATTTGCAGCTCCCAGTTTCGTACCCGACCACGGAAGCAGTTTTTTCCGCCCTTTTTTCTATGCATTTTTTTTTCTTCTTTTGTTAGGCGTGCGAAGATGCAAAATTCGAGGCACGTTGTGTGCAAATTGGGGATTCTTTTAACAAGTCCGATGTTTGCACGTACAACCCAAGCTCCGATTGCAAGCTCCGGGGCAGGGGATCGCTACCAACCTGTAAACAAAGGTCGAAGTCCGGGCACTCGGCACATTTGACGCGGACCCCCGTGATGTCCTCTTGACAATAATTGCAGTGATACTTTGCGATGACACCTGTAATAGAAGCGGATGGTCACTTTAGTCACACGGAAGCGAATAAATGCCTCGTATGGCTCGTAATCGACGATTTCCGAGGTCGTTTTTGCCCGCGAGACGCAGCCCTTACCAGACATCTTCCTTTGTCCCAGTAGGGCTGGCGTGGTGACGTCACGACCAACTTCACGTTTCTGCGCGCGCAGCCCCACGTGACACCAAGCCCCCAATATGCCCACAATGCTTTGCGCAGAAACAAGAGGCGGCGCCGTAGTTACGAATATTCTGTGGCGTTAACTGAAACCTCACGCAGGATAGTTGAGCTAAGCTGTCTAGGAAGTATTGGTTGAGCGCGGTATCCCCGGGTTCTCATATTGAACCCACCGATCTCTCACATTTGTCATCTTCATGAAGGTTGTTACAACTGTGGTTGTTACTAGATCACCTACATTGATCTTCCCCAACCTTCACCGACTCACTGCGTAACGGCTCCGGCAACCTCAAGAGGTGCCTTTGTCTTTTTTGTCATGCGGTTCTACCATTAAAAAAAATTATTAAAAACATAACATTTTCACGAATTTTTAGATTTGGTGAGCGGAGATGGATTTATCAAAGATAGCTTTCAGGCAAATTGTCAGCCAAGCCAAGCCAAGTCAGTGTTTGTTGATTGCTGATTCTTGCTGATGCTAGAATCGCGGGCAGCGGGCTGTTTCCAAGCATTGCAAGGCTCAATTCCGTCCTGTATTTGTGAAGGAGGTTTGCGTTTCTACTTTGCGTCCTAGCTTGGCGTAGCTCGACATTCGTGTTCCACGCTGCGACTCAGCGGTGGTGTAGCCAGCATGCTCTGCTGCAACGAGTGAGAGCCCACGTACAACTTGCGCAGCTGAACCCTACGGGTCCATGTCTTACAAAAACGATAAGTCTAGCGGCCACGTGTGCGCGGTGGTCGGTTGTCGCAACAACCAGAAGAAGCGCAAACGGCTCGAGGAAGAGGTGTGCCACGAGCACAGCGTCCCGCGCAAGGCGTGCGGCTGCACAGTCTACCGATTTCACCGGTTCCCGGTAGACGCTCGACTGCGCCAAAAGTGGCTGGCCTTCTTGAACCGAAAGGGTTTTGTGCCAAGCCACCACACCAGGCTGTGCTCCGAACACTTCATCGACGGCGATCGCGCCAGCTGGCCTGTCCCCATACACAGAGTGGCCCCCAAACGAAGGGTGCGTCTGTTTTCTCGTATGCTACGATTGCACGCAGGGCATCGGCACCAGTCGGGATCTACAGTTGTTTTTCGCCGGTAACCATGAGTATCGGGGTATAGAAGTGGTGGTGTGACGACCGCGCGGGCGAGGGCGGTCTCGCGATTCAAGTCTACAGAGCAAAGCATAATCTATAGGCGCGGTAAGCAGCGTCTTCTTGCTCTCCTGTAGATGTTTGTTCACCGGATTCCATATTTGAGTGCTCTGTTCCGACACCACCTAAAGTAGTCGAGATCCGTGCTCTAGAATATCCTAGTGTTACTGACACTAAAACACAAAGCATGGAGCCGCTCTCAGCCACTGAAAGTAGCGAGCAATAGCCACATTTCCCCCCCTCTGGCCCAACCTACCACGGGGGTTCGTTGCTGACGCTGAGCACAACACTTCTGCAGCACGCATTCCACACCGTTGCAGTTCTCGGTAGACGTCCTCAGAGCAGTCTTTGTTGTTTGTTTGAGGCTCGCAAGACACCAGATTTCTTGTATTGGAGCGCACAATTCAATGGTGAGTGACAACACAATCAACCTTCTTTCTTGCAGGCAGTGCCACGAAAACGGGCCACAACATTGCCCGGCGCACAAGTTGAGACGGTGGATCGACGAGACAAACGAACGACAGCCAGTGTTGCAGCAAGTCAGGTTCACAACATTGTGTTTTGGCAGATGGCCACGGGAGAGAATGTCGAAGTTATCTCGATACGGGGTCGAAGTGCGGGCATCGCCGACGAGGAATTTCTCGCCAAAGTAAACTTGGACGACGTCCAATTCAGCGTAAGAGCAAACTCCGCCGTCGCTTCGAGGGACGAGGCCAATCCGACCACCGTCGGCCGGCTGGCAGAGGTAGGAAATATTTTCTGCCGACTCGTTTCGTAGAAGCACTTAGCGTTGAGAGCGACGGTTATGAGCATGTCGTAGAAAAAGGGTGCAGGTCCAGAATTTGACGCAACCAGCTAATGTGCGCTTGTGCATGCGGTGCTCATACATGCATAGAAATATTTTAAGATTCAGCAGCAAAAAAAAAAAAAAAAAGTAGATCGGCCACATTTACACAGTAGCACTTAACTATGTTATGACCGCATGTCAATGGGACATCTGCGCTTTGTGTGTTGTAGGCAACCGACATTCATGCTTCGTAATATAGTGACACCCCTAATAATAGTCCCCAGCCGGTTTTATCAAAATCTGTGAAAACCAAAAACCTGAAATCGGAGCTGTCTTCGAATAAGAAAAACCCGAGCCTCACGGGCATAAATCGATGGCTCTGTTGTGCAAACTTGAAACAGCGCAAAAAAGATAAGGGACAAGAACGAGATGTGAACGAACACAACGCTGTTCTTGTCCCTTGTCTTTTTTGCACTGTTTCCAAGTTTGCATTATGAACCAACTAGCCCAACTTCACGCCTTGTTGCAGCTCTATTGTGCGTTGGCCCCCTTCCATGAACTGCCCACAAGGCTGCCGGTTCCTTTGGGCACCAAACCCCTCATCCTGTTTCCTTCCCTCATCAATGTCGGCACATTTTGTTTAGGTTGGTCGGGTCGCTCCCATTCTTCCTGAGTGTTGGGGAATCCCGTGGCTGTCTTCTTTAAAGTAAGCCACCGGAAAACACTGAATCCGTGGTAAAAAAAATAAACCCCGAAAACACAAACTCCTATCGTAACTTCATCTACGAGCTTGCAGCTTGGTCGAATGCTACTGTGTGAATTGGTCTGAAAAGTTTTTTTTTATCTTTTTGTCTGTTGCACTGAATCTTGCTTCGATTGTCGTTTTCTTTCAAGGAGCGAGAAGAAGCCATTGATTTCTGCCAAACTGTCTACGAGGAGGTGACTATAACTTTTAGTATATAATTTTGCATTTCGTGCTGCATGTGCCATGCAGTGATGCGATTGCTGCGCCATTTCTGCCAAACTGCTGACTCTGCTACGTCCTGCTACATTTCACAAAAAATGTGATAAACTTGCACCAAAACTTTATTAACTTTCACTTTATTAACCAAAACTTTATTAAGTTTCACTTTATTAATTCCTAAGGTATAATAGATAAGGCCCCACCACATGGTTAAATTGTTGCAGTGGAATCACCTTACAAAACTTACTATATATACGTAACTTTATCTCTGTACCAAATACGAACAGTACTGAAAAGTCTCCCAATATTTCTCATGCTCGTGGTCTTTTCTGGCGCAGTAGTTGGCTTCGTTGAGTGCGCTTCTCACTCTGCACTGGTGCAGTGCAGTGAAGTGACAACCGCAAAGTGGGCTTTGCGAGTTTGCACACCTTGCTTCGCCGCAGCACATCCGCATGCTAAGAGGTAGACACTACTCCCAAGCGGGACTTTACGCATTCGAATATTGACTAAAGTATATACAGTCAAACCTCGATGTAAGAAACTTTTATGTAACGAAACCCCCGATGTAACGAAGTACATAACTTTTTCTAACCGCAAGTGTATGCACGCCACATATTTTTTACCTTTATGTAACGAAGTCCCGTTTGCCGAATTTCGAGATAACGAAATTTCATGGACAATTTGTCACAGACTTTTGGGTCCCAAAAGAGACTTTGAGAAGCACATGCGCTAAAACGGGCCGAATCTGGCGAGTGTGGTGTACAGAACGGCTACTAGAGGACACTAGAGCCGCCGCCGTTTCGTCCGTCGGCTTCGTTCGTGCTGAGTAGTTCGTTCGGAGGCCTAACTAAAAGTGTGCGTCCCTCGTTGTCCTGGGCAATAGAGCCTTGAAGGCGATGGAGCCGCCCCTGACAACATTGATTTCAAGGACTTTCTATTCGCCGACTCTGCTGTCATTGCGACGGAGGAGGTGACCAACGAGGCGATAGCTAGCGATGTTCGTGGGAACTCGCAAGACTGGGACGACATCGAGCCTGATGAGCAAGACAACTGCTATGTGCACAGTAACCGTGAAGTAGTGGATGCGATCGATGTCTTGAGGCGGTTCGCGATCCCACACCAAGACGAAGACGCAATGCAGGCCGTCTGGCTATGCGAACGTCGTGTGATGCCTATAATAACGCCAAGAGTGGCTCAGAAAAAGGGGATAGACTACTTTCAACCGAAATAAAGGCGTCCTCGGTGAGTTTTATTCACCCGAGAAACATTTGTGGAAACTTTCTTTAACGTTAGCCTCGAATTTTTATGGAGCGATATTTCATTGTAACGAAGTAAATTCCAAATTTTACCGACTTCGTTACATCAAGGTTTGACTCTATATATATATATATATATATATATATATATATATATATATATATATAAAAAAAGAAGAAAAAAACTACTATATGATAGATTGCTTTTGTTTTTCAATATCAGAATATAGCAAGGATGCTTGGACATTGTGAGATGTTTATGAACTACTCAATTAAGTAAATTAAAACTAAATTAGCTGTGAGTGGATGGAAGTTTCGAAATGGGCTTAACAAGCTCATTTATATTGATTTTTAAGAGGGTGTATTTATTTTTCACATGCCAATTTTTCTAATGAAAAACTTTCAGCCTTTCCACTCTGGTGAAGAAGGGAAAGCAGCGGAGCTGTACAATGGAAAGTGATGGCCAGCCGCAAGTCGGCAAGCCGGAGTGAAAAGGCTGCCGCCATCTATGAGCGACGGCAACAACCAGATACGTGGCTTGCTGCCGTCGCTCATAGATGGCGGTAGGTGTCCAGAGTTCGGGGTCTTCATTTCTTGACGGGGGACACGATCCTGGTGAAACTAGCCCTTAACAGCTCCGCTATAAAAGTTCTACATAAAGAATGTCATTGATGTTCGTAACTCTAATGGCCGAAGCTTTGTTTTTATCTGGACTAAAGATTACAGTATTCTATCATTATTTTAGTGGAATATACTATTTGTTTTACCTTTGATTCCGTGCCTAAGAAAATATAGTTCATACTGTCCTTCATCAATCAGCATATTGTTGGAATGCCTGGTACTTCTAAGTGCAACCAAACTGCTTGTTTTGTGTTTGAAGGAATCAAACCTGTTTGCGGAAGGGGGAAGGCAAAGTAGACAATGTCTTTGCAGTACTTCTGATAAAAATAAAGTGTGGGATTGTGCTCCAAAAGTTATTTTTGCAGCTCCAAAATTGACTTTTAGTTGCTCGAAAAGTTGCTCCGCAATGACTTATAGACCAATCACATCATTGGTTGTGGCATACTTGTAAATCCTTCAGAATGTTGTAAAAGACCTACAGGTCCACACAGATAGTCTGTTTAGAATGTCATTAATAGCATTATGCACATGCAGTCTTGCCCTTGTCCCTAGACCAGGTATGTGAATATACCACATTACTTGCCCAAATAACCATACGTGTATGTATTCCTTGTCAGAGCGCGCACAGATACCTAATATTTGCGCTTTACCGAAGGAGGACAGCAAATGGAAGCTCTTTTCTCAAATCATGATGACCAGAGCTCACTGTGCCTCTTGAAAATGCAGTTGTGCAGGTTTTCTTTTTGCAGGAGTTCACTTAGATTCAGGTGAATACCGCAATTAGAATGCATGTTCCATTTTCATAGATAGAACACAATATATGGAGAGAGTGTCCTCTGCCTCTTTAGCGTGCATCATCTCATTGACGAGAGCGACTTTCCAGGTAAAAAATTTTCATCTGGATGTTAACAAGAATAATGGGGGTTCATCAGTCTTCCTTCCTCACCCTTGCCTTGGATTTGTGGTTGCCGAACCCTTACATCAGGACGATCCATGTAGAACCAGGCTTGCTCCGCTGTAGCAGTGTCCCTGCAGTGCCAAAACTCCGCAGGCAAGAAATCCCTATAAGGCCAAAGCCCTGCGGGCAAGTAATACCTCTAGGGCCAAAGCCCCGCAAGGGAAAAATCTCTATAAACAGGAGGGTAACACGTTGCTGCTTGCCCCCGTGCCCATACAACGAAATTCGGAGACTCGTGAGACCGAGTGTGATGCATTGTCCAACTTCCCGTTTTCAGCCACAGCTGCACATGCCCCGGCGGTGCACTCAACGCCAGGGTGCATCTGAAGATGACCAGCAACATGTTGTGAGAACCCTTTCATTATCTAGAAATGGGGATGAGGAGCATCTGCCATGTCCGTACCGTCAGTCAACCTATGACACCTAGTATGATGATGGCTACTCGCTTAAATTTGGAGTTCACAACATCCCCACGACGTAGAACCCCAATTTTCCACTTTATTTCCTCCCAGGATACAACAGTAGTGAGGAAGGGAAAGGAAGAGGAGTCCATGACTCCCCACACCTCTAATTCAGGGTGGTTACAATAATCTAACCTTTCAGGGAAGTGGTTTGGAAGAGAACGTAGCCAAGAAAAATGGAAAGCGTGAAGTGTACGTCAGCCCTTGCAATGAAATGGATTGCCTTTGATTTCACTGGAATGACTGCTTCAATGCAGGGGGATCGGTCGCCGAGTGGGCTAGCACACACCAGCTCGGAGCACGTGGAGCGAAAGCTCGCGATGCAGAACCCAGGGATCCTGGGTTCAATCCCCACCCCTGCCCGTTTCGATCTGGATGAGCATCGTACTGGCGTGCAGTCGTGCATCACTAGTGCAGGATGTACGTTAAAGACACCAGGCTAGCAGTTGTACTGCACTGGTTAAATTTCTCATCTACAGCTGGGGCACCAGACGCCCAGTGAGGCCGATTATTTTCTGGCTGCATAAACATACAGATATCATAATTAGTATTATTGCTTCAATGCAGTAGTTTGCATCTAGTTAACCTGGTTACTTGAGAACATAGTGCATTTATTTCGCAGGGCGATGTGCGGACGTGTTTAGCATACCACATGGTATTGTTTATGAAGAGCCTCGAGTGTTAGTGGTGATGACTCTTTTGTTCATTTATGGCACTTTTTGTTTGTAAGCTTTCTTGGATATATTCCCCCATGTGCTTCTTCTTCTGCTTGGTCCATTTGGTCTGCTGTGTGTTTAATTAAAGAAATGTGAAGGTAGTTTCACAGAGTTTCTCTTCTAACTATTGCAGCCATCCATCGTCTCGAGCTATTCGTTGGCAGCACCCCACAAGCTCTTTCCTCCAGTACCCGAACCAGATGAGGTGGTTACAGGGGATGTGGTAGGTCGACTTCAATCATTCAATCAATGTTGATTGGTAACATTTATAGCATTGGTTTAATCCAGATCGATTAAGTTTCAAGCATTTGCGGGGCCAAATTATGGGCCTTTTTTTGTGATTCCATATAAAAGAACTTCTAGTCTTTTGAACGGTATCGGAAACGAGGAAAATGAAGTCACGTTCAGGCATGCTATCATGGTGGCTTTCATGTTGCCGAAGCGCATGCACATGTACTGTGCACATATGCTTAAAATGTGGTACATCCACAAATGTCACTATGCAGCTCTGTTTGGGTTCTACCGGAACTTGCACAGTTTTCACACACTGAAACAAAGCTAAATTATTATTCGCATCTCATTTTCAGTCATGAATTTTGACTATAATATATAGTGATCCTAGAAAGTCTTGTCACCACAGAAATTTTGGAAAACAAAGCAAATAATAAAAACATGAACAGCGTGAAGACAAGGACATAGTAAAAAGTAAGCAACAGGACACAGCACTGTTTTTGTTTTTAATGTGTGTGTATACCAACTAGCCAAAACTTCAACGTTAATTAACAAAATTGAGATTGCTAGTTTGATGGTGCTGAAGCTGAAAGGCGGTGGCGTGCAGTTAATTGATGCAAATCCTAATAATTCTCTGCAATCACAAAATATACTCCTCCTACTATGTCAAATGCTCTTTTAAACAGTAACATCAAGCTTATTTTAACAATGAAAGGTTTGCCTAATGAGTTGAATAGTAATGAATGAGTAAAATGCAGTTTATTTTGTATTCTTGGCAATGTTGAGCATCTATGGTGTTGCTATGCACAATGTTTTGTTATATGTGCTGTGTGAAGCTACAAGGAGATTCGGCCAGCTGTTAAACAGCTTTCTTCCTTTGCTTCCTCCATTCATGTACTGGAATGGAAAGTCTTACCTGGTAGTGTATGGCATTGTGAAACCGCTGTTAAATGGGATGGGGTGCTTACACAAGTGAGGGCATGTGCTGATACTTCACGGTCGGCCCATGACAGATAGAAACGTGTTATCTCGCAGTCATCGGAAGACTTGTGGCAACCCGTGGATCGTGAGTGCCCAGCAGTCATCAAAAAAGAGCAGGAAGAACCACCAAGTTCGTCTCACGAGACCTCGCTTCAAAAAAATGTCGTCATTGCCAAAGACCCAGACAATTTGCTTGAAAGGCCCACCACTCAGGAAAGTCCAGTCATCTTGAAACAAGGACAAGTTTCTGAAAGTGTGTTGGATGAGTCAAAGATACAGAAAACTGTAGTTATCATGAAGAAAGAACTAGGTCCAGGAGGCTTGCGGCACTATACGTTTCAGGAATTTCCAGTTCAGCAAAGCCCGGCTTTGCCGAAGCCTACTCAGCAATACCCGGCTGAGCAGATCCCAGCTCGTCAAACTTTAACTCAGCAGATTCTGGCTCAGCATATCCTTGCTCGGAAAAGCCCAGCTCAGCAGGTACCAGCTCAGCAGGTACCAGCTCAGCAAATCCCGCCAAAGCAAGTCCACACTCAGCTAAGCCCAGCTCAGCAGATCCTGGCTCATCAAAGTCTGGCTCTGCAAAACCTGGCTCAGCAAAGCCTGGGTCAGGAGATCCCAGTTCAGCAGATCCCGGCTCAGCACACTCGAGTTCCGCAGATCCCACCCGAGCAGATCACGGCTCAGCAAAGCCCAGCTCAGCAGGTCCCAACTCGGCAAAGCCCAGATTCAGCTCAGCAGATCCCCTCTCAGCAAGACCCAGCTCAGCAAAGCTTATCTAAGCAGAGGCTGACTCAGGAGAGTTCAGTTCAAGAGAGCCCAGCCGTAGCTGAACACACACCAGAACCTGTAAGTTTGCTGATGTTGACGATTCGTGCCATGTTGTGTGCTGTCCCTCGATCAATGTCTAACATGTGATTGGCACATTCAATCTCACTATCTAGGTGGACCAGCATCGAGAGCAGGCTTCCTCATCTGCTGCCCCTGGCCATAATGTGCTCAGGTCGCTCCTAAACGCTCCGGTATACTGTTTGTTTTCTTTCATTCCGTGTTGTGTCACTCACTGGCTATGATACCCACTAGTGGCATAGCCCGTAGTTTTTTTTTTATTTTCAAGGGGGCCTAGGATGATTGGGATTTGTTTGCCTTGGGGAAGAGGAAGGGGAGGAGGGGAGGGGGGGGGGGGGGGGGAGTTAACGCATGTATAGTATATACCGAATGTTTATGCGAAGTTTTCCGAAAATTCCTACCAATAGAACAATTGAGAAAAAAAAAAAAAACTCTTTTCGGGAACAAACTGCCAGTTTTCGCAGATGACAGGAATAAACAAAAAAAAAAAAAATTCTTGTTAATTAGCTAAATAATTAATTACAATTTACTATATAACTTTTTAATTAGTGAAAATAAACATGGTTTAAATTAGAAACTTGCTGAGCATCGGCGACAAATCCTAGATCAGTCAATCTTAAGAAGACTTAAAGGGGCACTGACACCCCAAAGGTCGTATTTATTTTTATTGTCTAAAACGATGCAAGTTGCAGTCATAGACACGCAAAAAAAACCGCATCGCGAAAAAAAATTTTTCTGCGCGCGCGCGCGCCGTTTTATTTTTGGCGTTTGATTTTCCCGCCTCTCGCCTCCTCGCTTCTTTTGATCGGCGACGTCAAAAATCAGGAAATTTAGAAGCTTTGTAGGCGACATCTCTATAACATTTAATTACGGCAATCCTAAAACATGTTTTTTAACGCAATTGCGAACGCACTACGGCCCTTCTTTTTGAAATACCGAAAATCGGGAGTTCGTTGTGGTGCCGTCTCCTGGATTTGTATCCTCCAACGGAAAACAGGCGACCCCGCTCAAAACCGGTCCGCCGCAACGCCGCCGCGCACTCCTTTCCTCCTCGATTTGGGTCGCCATGGCAACAGCAGGGAGTGGTGAAAGGAAGTCGACTCTCAGGTCTCCGCAATTTTTGACGTCAAGGCACCGGCGCCGACCGCGCGGGAACTTCGAATTCGGCATTTGGAAATTGTTTTTTTACTTCACAAATACTGAATTCCCAAATTTCAAATTTTGAGGGTAATGTCCCGGCATCGTTTTCAATCGTTTCGGATAATAAAAAAAAATATGATTTTGATGTGTCAGTGCCCCTTTAAAGCATGTGTGAAGGGAATTGGGGGGGGGGGGGGGGCGGGGGGGGGGGGCCATACGCTAAAGCTTTTACTGATGCTGCAGGCACAAGACTGGCGATGCAGAAATGCAGGTGAATGCCATCCGCGTTTTTGCACCTATGGCTCCGGCCCTCATGCTTTGCTGATCCCCCTATCAGCAAATCATGAGTGCTTTGCTGATATGGGCACTATTTGAACGAGATTAGACGGCAGAATTAACTTAATTCATTTTTCCTTCAGGACTCAAAGGAATTACAGACAGGAGTAGAAGACATTTTTTGATTCCATTGCATTTCCTTTATTTACCCACAGGGCATAAAGCATTACAGAGGGGTGTTGGGGAACAATGGGTCGCTAGTGAAAAACTCGCACGGAAAAAATGATCAACATCATGATGAAGGGGGGACACCACCTTAAAATTGTAATTTTTTAGAAAAAAAATATTTTTTTTTTATTTTTATGTATTGTGGTTTCGCAACTAATAGTGTATACTCCTGCAAATTTTTATTTCAATATTTGAAGTATTTATGGAGAAATAAAACATTTTCGGTAAGCCAACTATGCAAAATTACATGTTTTTGAAATGTGAAACCTCTGTTTTCTATTTTCAGACTGCTGTAGCTTTGCACTGGTGTGACCTAGAATGATGATCATACTCTCGTTGGAAAGACCATTTCTTCACAGTTTCAGTACATTAAATATCTTTGTTCGAGAGTAAACTCTATTCGAACACCATAGAAGTCCAGCTTTCCTGTAGAAGAGGCTATGCATATGGCCAAGAATAGAAAAGCCCGCCCTGATTGAACACAAAACTGACTAAAACCAGGATTCATTTATAGACCGACACGTGGATTTGTCTGCTTTGTATTTCCATGATGCTTGCCCCGCCCATACTTGCTGATGTTGGTTCGTGTATTGCAAGCATACCCAATTCCTGACTATATTTCACAATCAATGTCCACATGCCGACAACAAAATGACACTCGAAGAAAGCGTTTTAAGCTCGGACTCACTCAGCAAAGCCATGCTGGAGATTGGGTGTAAGCAGAAGGCACCATCTATGCTCTTGGTGCCTTTCAGTTGCCACCACCATCAGGAAATGTGGTGGTGTGGAAACTTCAAACACGTTCTCCTCAGTTTCACTTTTTTGCAGCAACTTTCATTTTAGGGAATCTGTCATTTCAGTGAATCGCTGAATGTATTCTTTGCTGTGGATGTTCTGAACCGAAATTTAACGAGGAAGGGGGCTAGATATTTATTTTCTATTTAAATAAAGTCCTTATTGCCAAAAAGTAGAGTTTTGATGAGGAGAAAATGCCCCATTATGTGGAATGCTTTTCAAACTGACATTTTGCATAGAAAAAACATGGATTTTAAGGTAAAAAATAGATAGCCCCACCCACCAAATGTTCTAGTTAAGGCTGAAGCTTAGAAATGCTTAATATTCTCCAGCAATTTTATACAATAGATTTCCTTGCCAAGTGAGGCGACTTGCATCAGTAGCTGTGTACCTCCCCCTGTAGCTTATCGGAAAATAGTCTTACAGAGATGAAATTTCATAGAGTGCATTTAGGCAAGGAAATTTGATCAATATTGAGCAACTGGTTTAAAAGTCGACACTTGAAGGTGGTGTGACCCCTTAACAAAATCGGGTAAAGAGTCTAATCAACGCCCTTTTTGAAAAGAGCACTGTCAACAACTGAAACAACAGATTAGTAATTGCACTTTTAAAGTCAGCAGTGTCAGTGATTGCGACAACAACCGTGCCAAAACGTGCATGGAACATGTAGATGCTCGTTGACTCTGAGTATGTTTGTGCGGTTTTCGCAGTCGCTCTCCTCCACGCTCAAGGACCAGGCCGCACGCTGGGGTTTTGCCGGACTGTCGGACCACGGTTACTGCAAGTCAGGCCCGTCAGAACTCCGGAGGCGGGTGAAAGAGGCCACGGTCAGGGAAGCCCTCGCACAGCTTCCCTGGTGGGTGCAGTGCACGATGAAGCCCACGTGATTATCCCCCGAAACTGCCATTCGTTCGTCGACTTCTCGCGAGGCTGCCCGTACGACCTTCGCACACGGCACCTCCTACGTCACACACTCGTCACGGAACTGCTCGCTCAAGGCTGGTTCACACTCTCGCGTTGGAGCGTGCTTGAGTAAGTGTGCTCGAGAACGCTAGAGAATCTAGATTTAACAAGATACTGAATCGAAACTCGAAATACACCTCTCACGTTCAGGAACAAGTTAAACGTGATCAACTGATGACAATCGCATGCTTGTATTTTGAATGGATAGCTATATTTTTCATTCCAAAGGATCGATTCCAGCGAGCGCTCCTAGACGAGCCATAAATGGCCCCTCCTCGCTCCCCGCAGGAGTTGAATAGGCCGGGAGGGAAAGAAAATCCGGTTCAACGGTGCTCGTGCGCACGCAGCTTGCCGCCGTATTTCTGCGGAGTGGCGCTGCTCTTAGGGTCGGAGCGACGTAACGACGTTCGGATCGTTCCTTTTAAATGATGCTTCGGCGTCTTTTCGAGCAAAAAATTGGTGTCTTCTTGGTGCGGACAGAATGGGGTTGACATTTGGACAATGAAACAGGCGCCTGAATTTTGTTGCAGTATTTCTTTAAGAGAGGGTGCAACCAAAACCATGTTTGCAGTTTAACAGCAGACGCCTCCCGCGACGATCGGTCGCAGGTACTTGTGCGTCGCTTCGTCGCGTGGCGAAGAGGAAAGTGGGCGGGGAGGCGGAGACACTAGCAGACGATCCATGCTTTCGTCTCCTCCTCGCAACTCGTATTGCAAATGCTGCCCGTGAACCACGCGACCCCCACGTGCGAAAAACGGTCGCTTATAACATCGTCGGCAGTGTTCCAGGGCTGCCCGTAGATGGCACCAATGCGCCGTCTCGTCGTAAGCGGTCATACGGGGAAATGCAACACACGTAAGTTCGCTCAAACGTATGTGCAAACCAGCCTTAAGTTTCTGCACCTTTGGTGCGACTCGGATCGTGTGGGTTGCCCCTTCCTGCCTCTGGGCGGTTCGTTACGCGCCAGTCGAGTGTGGTTCTCCGCAGGAGGATGCTTGCAAATGACTTTCTTGCTCCACATTCGTACAAACTTGCGTTTCCGCCGTGCATTCGCTCGTTACGAAAGGGCACCGACTGCAGATGTGCGGTCGGTTGCATTGCCGAAATAAAGAGTGTTTGGTTGCCTCGTCTCGATTTCTCTTTACTAACGAGTTTGACTGGTTCTTATACCGTCGACGTCTTTAGTGAGGACCCAGCTTTTGCAAACCTTGCAACTCGAAAAATAGAGTGCGAAATTGACCGCACAATTGTGTCACTCCGTGGTAATGAATACAGAATGTATCACTCCAAATCGCTATATCCTGTTCCCATCGAACATTCCCGAAACTGCCACTGCGCAAAATTCTAGAAATACTGAGCCTGCAAAAATAAAGTTGTTTAGTGTTTTGCTTTCCAGTTTACTCTGTTTCGTTATGCTTTCTGAATTGTTTGCAAAAACGGACTGAACAGGTCAAATCGTGCCGCTGTCATCGGTAAACCATGTTTTCTTCTGGATTTGCTTGCAGATGCTTCTTGAGGTCTACTAATCTATATATGTAGCATGTCCAATCTCGTGGGAGGTTGGAAAATCATCTTAAATAACCATACACCATATAAAGAACACTCCCATATAATAAATACCCTCATCTCTTTCGTCCTTCCTGCGTCCATATATAATATTGTCATCTAGAATGAATGTATGTTTGATTAAATTATCATTGAAGAGGTCTATGTGGTTCCTGAAATTGAGCTGTTCTGAAACGAGGGAATAGATTAAATCAATTGGCAGGTTGTAACACAAAAGGTTAGTATAACTAGCATTGCTTCAGGGTAGTGTGAATACTTTGTCAGTTGCTAGCTGCTGTTGATGAAATGGAACATTGTTATGCTAGGATAAATTAAAAAAATGGAACCCACAGCTGAAAGATAGAAAAAAATCAATGCAACATTTTGCCTCTCCAGGCGAGCAGCTCCTGGACACTGCAGGTTATATAGTACCTTACGTCAAACTAATCTGAAGATACAAATTTCTGGTGCAGCACGATGTATATAAAATTCCCGCCGCATATGGAGCTTTGAAGCAATTGGTTAACATACTGCCTATACGCTCCGCGCAGGAACTATAGGGGGCGCTTTGAAAAACGCGCGTAGCGCCGCTAGCAGAGGAGCTGGCGTTTGACAGTGAGGCGCGTTCAGCAGCCTGCGGCGCCTTTTCGCATGCGAAGCTGTGGCGGTGGAAGCGCGCACGGACAAAACTTTTGCTTTTTGAGCCGACACGTTGAGGGTGACGTTGCATGAGTGCTGGGGCAGAAGGGCATTTAGCTGTGCTCCACTTCTTATAAATTGAGTTTGAGTCGTTATTAGGGGTAATTTCTCTAGTTGCGGCCGAAAAAGGGGTTGGAGCAATTTTCCGAAAAGCACGACTGCTGCCACCATAATTGCTCTGACTGGGAAATTTGTTTCGCTCGTTGCTGTAAACGGGACTGCTGAAACAATGATATTTGGAGGTGAGTGAGATGTTCACTAGGTTTGTGCACGAAGTGTGCCAAGTTTAATTAAGACAGCAGGTGTGAAAGTTATGTTTCTAACGAATAAAGTAATAAAGCTGTACGGGGTATCCAATATTGGACCCAAAATGTTGTGTTATAACCGGGCTGTACGAAGTGCCGATTTGGGCACACAGGTGCTTGGACTTGACCAGTAACATAATACAGCACTTATTTTACCAAAAAGAGGTGGCATGGGGAAACTAGGTGGAAATTTGGTTTGGGTGGCGTAACTCAATGGTTACCGGTTTTGACCATGAAAGGGTTGCCAAGAGAATACCACTTGTCGTGGGAGGTGGATACTTTACAGGTAGGAAGGCACTAGTGGACCGTACTCCCAATTGAAACAAATTTATGAAAGGTGGTTCGAAAGCCGAGTAAACAAAGTTGTTGGCCAACACATGGTTTGGCCGTCAAAGGCTTTTGCGGTCAGCTGTTGTGTAATAACCTGTTGCGCGAGGTGCTGATTTTCGGCACACAGGTACTTTGACATGACCGTAACTTGGCAGAAAATTTATTATACCAAAAAGAGGTGGCTTAGCGAAAACAAGTGGAAATTTAGTTTGGGCGGCGTAACTACATGGGAACCAGTTTTGACCGTCAAAGGCTGTCAAGAGTATACAACTCATCATGGCAGGGAGGTGCACACTTTACAGGTAGGAAGGGACCAGTGGACGGTACTTCCATTTCGAACAACTTTGTGATAGGTGGCTCTAAAGCCGAAAAAAAAAAATTGTCTACAGAACTCGGGGTGTCAGCGTTTCCACATCCAAAAGGAGGCTGATCAAAAAAGAAAGCACACCACATAAACTTCCATACTCAATCGTCGATTCTCCAGTGATTCTGAGTTTCATTGTGGTTGTCACTTTTTTTTTTTTTTTTTTACCGTTTGAATTTTTTTACATGGAGTACAGATTGCGTGCCATACTTGTCCGGAAATATCATCGACACGTACGATGGGGACGAAACTTCTTTGGAGGGCATTCCTCCAACGAAATTGGCACTGCCTACCCGCGAGTGTGGGATGGCTTTTCAGTTCGTCCCATCGGCGCTAACACATGTAGGAGTCACTGGTACGAAAACAAACGTAGAGCGCAAAGCGGCATATGTCAGCCGTGCCGACACAGTGGCAGATATGATCGGGAGACTAAATTTCTCACGTAGTACGGCACGGGTCGATCGTTGTCGCTGTCCCAGAAAACATCGGCGAGGTGAAAAACTGAAACTTTGTCCCCACGAGATACGATGCATAACTATTGAAGCACTTAACGACGCAGCACCGGCAGCACTTCATGCTGTGAACCCAGCGCAACCGCACCGCTCCGACTTCAACGCGTACCGACGTACGCGGCGTGGTTTCGGTTTCGTTTTCTCTGGGGTTCTCACTGCCTACCTTTGGCAACGGCCGCGCGGCGCCGCGCTAGTCGCGTCGCATAACCTCGTGCGCATAGCTCTGGTCGCACGCAGAGCCCTTTGTCGCGCGGATACTCCTTCAAAAATATGAACAAATATGCGATAATTTATCTTGATTGCTACCCAACTCGCTTGCTACTACGGTATCTGATATTGATGAACTTAGCATTTTTAATATTCTAGCCACATCAGTTATCGTAATATTAGAGCCATCGCACTTGGAAATAGATAGATAAATCTACGAGATAAATGTCCCTACCTCCACTGCCTCAACCCTCAACCTCCAACGGGGGACCGGGGGACAGTGTGTACAGTGTGCAAGCTACGGAGCAAGCGTGTGCAAACAGTCCACGTACGCAGTAATCGTCGCCAAAGCCTTCAGCTGCGTGGAGGTGAAAATCGCTAGCTCAGGAAGTGAAATATCTGAGCACGTGCTGAAGCAAGCGCGGCACTGCCTGAACCAAGGAATCAAGGTCGGGCTCGAGTCTCCACTGCTCCTTTATCCTTTCGCCACCTACTGCTACTGCTCAGAGCCTGCTATACTCCGTTTCACCTTATGTTGTACCCAGGGGCGGATGCAGGAATTTCCTGAGGGGGGGGTCAGGGTCAGGTGTTGGTCAGCGTACCATATGTCTAGGAACCCCCCCCCCCCCCCCCCCCCCCCCCTCCCCTCCCCTCGTTTCACGCCCTATATTTTACACATGCAGAAATCAAGAGGGGGGTCAGGACATCCGGACCCCCCCTCTAAATCCGCCCCTGGTTGTACCGCAGACAAGGCTAAAAGCGCGAGCTCATAGCGTAGGGAGCTACTCTGAACGCACGAGAGCTTGTGCCGCCTTGCTGTGCCCTAGAGCAAGGAGCTCGCGCTTGTAGCCTTTTCTGCGGTACATCATAAGGTGAAACTGAGTATAGGTTGTTTGCACATGACGTCAATTCGCCATTTTGTTGTTAGTTTGTTTTTTCAAACAAATTTACTACATTGAAGGGTCACATCGTAACTGGTTGAGATGATGTCACTGGTGCTCTACGCATTTGAGGGGCATGCAAATCCTTGGAATGCTCGAGTTTGGCACACACCTGACAGCTCACAACAACAAAATGGTGGACCAAATCACGTCAGTGAAAAGTGCAGGGATTGGTGTTCCACGCGCCACATGCGCACGCCTTCCCTATAAAAGATTCGAAGTAAATAACCAAAATAACGCGTTGACGAACGCGCGTGCATCAATGCCATTTGTTTTAGGCATCTGCTTTTAGAAAAGTTACAGCTGCTGAGGCCAGCACTTGTGGGGCGTGGAACTCCAATCCCTGCATTCTCCTTGATGCTTGGGTAATAGAGCAAAGTCTTTTTCGTTATACATTTCGTTATAAAACGCTTCTTTCATCTCCTTCGTAATTTTCGCATTGTTTCATACTCAAAATTCTCGAAGCCCGAACTGTTAAGGCTTTTTTTAAATATTTGTTTATTTTGCCTTACACGGTAGAATATGGTTTGCGTGTGTTGCCTTTATTAAATGTATTACATGTATTACAAAATCATTCTATAGAAGTTAGTCTGTAGAAGTCAGTCTATAGAAGTTAGACTCCTTTGCACTGCAACAAATTTCTTGTAAATGATAGTTTTTTTGTTTTGTTTTCTTTCACTTTAGTCAGTGCTATATGCCAGGAACCTTTTAATATATATTTCTGGGGGGTCAGGGGTATCAACCCCATAAGTTTCCCCCCGCCCCCCCCTTTCCTGGCTACACTACTGCCTTCAGGATATGTGCAGGTTCTCATCACAGTACTGCAAAACCCTTAATGTTCTCGAGCCTTCATTTTCGCAAATTGAAAAATTCGCGAAATTTAAGGGCACACGAAAGTTTCGATCGTTAAAGGGGCAGAGCAACGATTTTCAGACTTTTAATCTGAGTCACCTATGGAACGAAAAACAAGAAACTGCATTTTCTTCCGAGCGCTAGTTCTTATTTAAAAAAATGAAACCAATCGAAGGTCGAAGTGCCCCTCAACTCTCCGCACCGACTTTCGAGTGACGTACTACATCAGAGACCCCAGCCGCTTCCTCCGGCATTGTCGACTTTCAAAGGATTAGCCTCATCGAAGGTTGCGGCGAGCAATGGATACAAAGGACAGTTAGTTCGCTATGGGGCTGAGGGCGAGTGTTGCAGTGGAGGGGGAGAGGTTTTGCTGACTTCCGCATACCCCCAGAAACGCCGTCATTTTAGTTCCCGTAGCTGCCACAGGCGGCTGCAGATCGGCAAATAATTTGTTTTTTGCTTTTCGATTATGCAGCAGAATAGCAGTTTTTCGGGGAAAGGTGACGCATTTTTGGTCACTTGGGCTTGTATAAACAATATAAAAAATGCAAACTGGCAGTTCTTTCAACATTAAAACCATTGCACTGCCCCTTTAAGAGTTTCAATGCCGGCATCTGGAATTCGTGAAATTTAGCGACTGCGATCATGTCCTCTGTGACCGATTCGCGAAAATATAGGGTTTCACGGTATTTCTTTATTAATTTACCTTTTCAGCCACATTGAAAAAGATTTACGATGGAGGCAAGTCTGAGCGACCACATCCTTAGCTTCTCCGTCGACCTATACAAGCGGCTGAAACCCTCTGGCAAAGACACGACAGGAAACGTCTTCTGCTCACCTTTCAGTATTGCAGCTGCTCTGTCCATGGCCCTCGCAGGAGCTAGAGGCAACACTGCCAAGCAAATCGCTGCCATCCTGCACTCAAACGACGGCAAGATCCACAACCACTTCTCGAGCTTCCTTTGCAAGCTACCCAGTTACGCCCCAGATGTGGCCCTGCACATCGCCAATCGCATGTACTCTGAGCAGACCTTCCAACCGAAAGCGGAGTACACAACCCTGTTGCAGAAGTCCTACAACAGCACCATCAAGGCTGTTGACTTTGCAGGAAACGCCGACGGAATCCGACAGGAGGTCAATGCCTGGGTCGAGGAAGTCACCAGGTCAAAGATCAGGGACCTGCTCGCACTTGGAGCTGTTGATGCATCGACATCACTTATATTGGTGAATGCCATTTACTTCAAAGGTCTGTGGGAGTCTCAATTCCAGCCTAGTGCTACGAAGCCGGGAGATTTCCACTTGACGTCACAGACCTCAAAGACAGTGGACATGATGCACCAGGAAGGGGACTTCAAGATGGGTCACTGCAGCGACCTCAAGGTCAGTGCGCTTGAGATACCCTACAAAGGCAACAAGATGTCGATGGTCATTCTCCTGCCCGAAGATGTGGAGGGACTCTCAGACCTGGAGGAACACTTGACCGCTCCAAAACTGTTGGCTCTGCTCGGTGGCATGTATGTGACGTCCGATGTCAACTTGCACTTTCCGAAGTTCAAACTGGAGCAGTCTATGGGTCTGAAGGGCGTACTGATGGCGATGGGAGTCAAGGATTTCTTTACGTCCGTAGCGGATCTTTCTGGCATCAGCGCTGTGGGGAATCTGTGCGCTTCGGATGTCATCCACAAAGCTTTTGTGGAAGTTAATGAGGAGGGCACGGAGGCTGCAGCTGCCACTGCAATACTGATGGATTGCATTCCACAGGTGGTTAACTTTTTCGTTGATCACCCATTCATGTTCCTGATCTGCAGCCATGATCCAGATGCTGTTCTCTTCATGGGATCCATCCGTGAGCTCTGAAAAGCATTGCCAACCAATCTGTGAAATTATCTCTTGGTCACAAATGTGTGACAATTTTGCAATATTCAGCTGGTGTCTGGTGGTAACTTGTGAAATCTTTTTGTTGGATGAAGACCAAAGCAAATAAAGGTAAGTGCTTAAAGCCACGAAACAGTCGTCAACAAGCATGCGGGCTGCCAAAGACGTCACAGGACATTGTTGAGATGAAAGAACATAAAGGATACTTCCTGAGCAACATTTCAGTTTTTGATGCATTGTTTATTCTCCTTGCTCTTTGCTACAAACTTAACTTGTCATGTAGAAAGCCCTCACCGTTGTTGGAATTATGCGTGCAAATAACCAAATGAAAGTGAACTAGCTGATGAGCTTGTTAAATTAATGCAATCAACTGATGCCTTGTGTTCATGGGGTCAATTTGCGTGAATGTGTATCTGTTATGCCAAGTTCACCGAAACCTTGCTGTCATATGGCCACTGTTTGAAAAAGTTTCGATAAGTTAGTGCAAATTTGTATCCAATCTTTTATTGTGACTGCACCTCACTATAGTCGGCCTACCGGAAAACTATGCAAATGTGCCTTGTACACAGAGGGGGTCTTTGGATGTCCCAACCCCCCTTTTGAGTTCTACATGTCTAAAATTTTAGGACAGAAAAAAGAGAGGGGTGGGGAGTTCTCAAACATCTGTTATGCTGACCCCTCCCCCTCTTTTTTCATATCCCGAAACTCTTGTGTTATGTTTGGAGAAGCATGCTTTTAGTCATAGCTATCTGCTCACTCATTGAGTATACTTGTTGAGTCCACAGTATAGTATGTAAACAAAGTAGTGCACATTGTTAATCACAGAACTAAGTGCTAATGGAATGCAGCAACATGACTTCCTGCTGCCATAACCAATTTTTTGAAAGGATCCCCCAGGTTGCTGAATCCGAGGAGATCTCTGCTCAACGAGTCTGAAATCTGCAGCATTTTAATGTGAAAAAAGCTGTTTTAAACTGCTCTTTTTACTTTTCGCTTACTCTCGCCCCCAGCCACCTGGTAGGCAAGAAACTTGGGTTTTCACATTTTTATGCAGAGATTGACTTTGACGACATTAAATACTTCAGATGTACGTACAAGATTTGTTTGACTTGCTGTTGTGCTCTCTTTCTCCCCCCCCCCCCCCCTCTATGTATGTATGTATGTATGTATGTATGTATGTGTGTGTGTGTGTGTGTGTGTGTGTGTGTGTGTGTGTGTGTGTGTGTGTGTGTGTGTGTGTGTGTGTGTGTGTGTGCAAATGTTTGTAATTAAAAAAATGTTAACATGGAATTTTCTCAGTCATGTACAGTATGCATTATTTCCAGGTAAATAATATCGGCGTTTG